AAATAAATTACATTCAATATTCAGGATACAAGGAACAACTAATTATTGCAGATGATAAATAAATTCATGTCATTGGCAATGAAGACAAGATCCTTAGAGAATTCGGACTTGCAGTAACTATTATGCAATTAGATGATGATCAAGATCTCTTGGCTTGTGGATTGAGCAATGGTTAATTAATCTTATTATAATTTTCGACTGGTATCATTGTGTAATAAGACCATTGGCATGCTCATTAAATTAATGCATTGTTATTTGCAGGAGCATCACTCTATTCTGCTGGTTAGGAAGGTGTCATAGTATAATGGCATTTGAGAGTTGCAAGAAAGGCCTTCTTTCCAAGATAAGGAGGAGAAATTGTAGCTATGTGTAGTAATGATGATAATCTCATTATTAATATAAAAGGAATCAATCAAATTAAATAGATTTCCTTGATGGGCTAGAATAAATTACCCTATTTTCAAGGAATTCATCATGTTTATCCTAATAGTTTCATCACTTATTAGAATAAATTAATCACATAAGGAGCAAATGGAACCTTATAAGTTATTCATCCTAATCAAGGAACACTATTACACATAATTCCTATATAACAACGAAATTATGTGTCTGATATTGAAGATTCATACAAAAGAGATAGAACCACAATTAATAAAGTATTTTTATTATATAAATTATAGTTTGCCATGTTGGATAGATTTTTGATTGTTGTTTTGAGTTCTGAACTTAAGTAGACGTTATCAATCTTTGAAAATATTAATAGTTTTGAATTTAATCTTGTAACAACTACTGATTATGAGATTGAAGGAATGGATACAGGACATAATTCAATAATCACTTGGGGAAATGGAGAAATTAGAATATGGAAATAAATTAAGTAAGCAAAAGGATAATTTAACTGGAATTGTGTTTTCAGAGGACATGGATATAAAGGAAGAAACATTTTAACAGCATATATTAAAGATGAAACCACTATTGTCTTAGTCACTTCTATGAGTATATTGCACATCAATACAAAAAATAATAGCATTATTAAAGAGGTGCCTTTGGATTAAACAACTCCTGAGGTTGCTCATATTTACTAATCTGGTGTTTTAGTTTGTAATGGTGGAACAATTACATTCTATTAGGATACTAAAAAATAGATTATCACCTAATTTGGTAAGGCCAAATCAATCAGTAAATTGAATGACTTTTTAATTGCTATTTAATATGACAATGAATAAGCATTGATTGTAGATGTTAAATAGTCTAAAGTTCTCCATGGAATTGCTTCTCAGAAATTAATCTCAGCAACTATCAATGGCAGGTTTACTATATTCATATAATATCATTAGAACTTTATTATATTCTTACTTAAGCCAGAATAATCACTACAAGTATGTAACAGTTCTAAGCACAGAGAGAAAGGCTTCCCTAATGATGGATGAGTAAGATACAGCTCATTTTGAATAAACTGAACAACCTGAAAAGCCAATCATTGAAGATGCTGCACCACTTGATCCTAATGTTTATAGGCGTTTGCAATTAGCTAAATAGGCTAGATAAATGTAATATTATTAGTTATTTTAAGAAAGGAACTCAACATTAAAGAATTTTTAATCCCATAGTCACAAATGTTGCCTTCTTTAACATTCTTGGCTGATCGAGTTGTTGATGTTTTGAAATAAGATCTGAGTGAATAACAAAAACATCAATCATATGGAATTGATCTAAATCAAGAGGAATAAGAAGGTAATCAATAGAAGACTTCAATCTAATTACATTAATTAAAGAAATTGTTTAAATGAAAATTTATGTTAATATATTATAATGATCAATATGGATGATCAATTTCAATTATTTATATTTTAAATCTGTATCTTCGTATTGATGTAGATGTTATGAATACAAGAATTTAGAATGCTGAAATCAGATATTATCAGATGTATAAATTGTAATTCATAAATAATAATATTTGTTTAACAAATTGCTTTAGTTCATTTTTATATTGTAATCTCAAGTTCTAAGACTTCATCATTATCAACCACTACAAAATTACTCTTTAAGATGTCCCTATATGTCACTTATATCTATTGTAAGTAATTTTTTGCCAAATAGTTTTCTAAAATCTTTTCATATATCTGAGGATTCAATTCTAATTACATATTTTCGATTCCATTGGACTAGATATTCAATTTATATGGAATAGACTATCCTGGATATAGGATACTGCCCTATTGTAAGTAATCAAAATCTTAAGATAGTTTAATTTGTTATTCTGTCACTGTGAATCCGTTGTGATGTTCCTAATTTTTTATTGCAGCATTCAAACTGAAATTCATAAATTTATGTTGATTCAAATCAACCTTCATCTAAGCAAAATTTGCTTTAATCTTGAAATACTTTATAATAAAATACTTTGGGTGGAATCTTTAAAAATTAAGAATTTCTAGGCAAAGTCTGATTATTATAGTAGCCGAGAATCTCTTCTAGATTTTCAATTTCGAATTAATCTCCTAATGTGAGGCATACTTATTGTTCCTTGTTGAATGAAGTATAGATTTTAGCATTCTTGAAGTGATATTGCACAGTGTTCAAAAGATTCTAGAAATGTCTCCTTTTATATTTGATTAATTATGATACTTTAAACCATATGCTATTCCAATAAGGTACCAATTATCATCATTTATCTCATATACTACATCACTTTAACATAACTAACACAAATTATTGGTGTAATTATTTAAATCGCATTCTTTAATCTCTTATTTAATGGCTTCAAAGAGATCTTAAGATTATAAGGAAATCTTATTTTATTATTATTCTAGTTATTATAAAACTTTTACTTTCAGTCAATTAAAAGAAATTTAAGTCAGCATTCTTAATATGTTTAGAGTTGCTCCTAAGTTGTTTCTATCCTTACCTTTATTCCTTTTCCACTCGTGAAAGAATTTACTAGAATGAAAATTCTGTATCAATTTATTAATTTAAAAGTTGAATTTGCGATTGTTACTTTTACAAGTGACTAAAGTTATCTCCTTTAATAGGCTAACTTTCCAAAATAACTTAATTATTCTATTTAGTTGCCATCTTGTATTTTTGTTTGTTCAATAATTATTAATTTTGCAATTCAATCAACTATTATTACTACTTTAAAATTTCTTATTGTTATTTTTATTATATTAACTTTTACTGATATTACTCTTCTTCTAATTTTCTTTGTTTTTCCTCTCTTGCTTTTAACTTCTTTCTTTTTTTCTCTTTTTCCATTTGTTCCTGTTATTTCTTCTAAGCCATAAAGATCTCAAAGTGTTCTTCATTATAATCCATTTCAGTTTCTTCTAGTTGCAAAAAACTACTTTACTATTTCTTATGATGAATTAAAGTATTCTTTGAAATTGATTAATCTTACTTTGTTTCTAAATCAATATATTCAATTTTAATAGTGTCATCAACTTTCATATCTTATTGTAATAAGGAAAAAGAATGAATTTTGTTGACTGAAAGCAAATTTGATGTGTCTTCAACTTCTTATTATTTCACTTCCTCAATGGTGGGTTGTTAAAGAGTATTAATTTGATCTACAATTTAAGAATCATTATTTTATGTATCAATATTGGAGGATGAATTGTATACATCAAATTACACTACATCATTGTCTTCATTATCAGCTTCTTACTCATATGAATAACTGGTAGATTAACTTTCATCTACAGGTATTAAATTTGGAGTTTCACTTTCTATAATTAATGTCTCCTATTATGAATATACTTAATTTTATGTTCCCTTAATGTTCTCATTTGAACGTTCTATTTTCAAATTATCTTCAATTGAATCTTAAGATTATTCCTTAAAAATTTAGTTTTCTTCATTAACTTGCTCAACTTGATTATCTAAAGATAGTTACTACTCTTGTTTTTTGCCTGAATGTTCTTCGACTAATTAATCTTGACTGATATATTATGTTTCATTTGATTAATTGTCGGTGATTGGTAATACTGTGATGTTACTTTGATCAGTTAATCCATCTTATTCTTAATTGTTCAAGACTTATTCATTGGAGATATCATCAAATCTAACCTCTTAACTTATTTAGATTTAAGGTTCATATTACAAATCTTCAGTATATTATTCATTAACCTAAAGCGTTGGGACTGATTATTCAATGACTTGTTCCTCTTAATCATTTACAATTTAAGAAGTATAATCACGATTATCAAACAACTCACTACTTTATGCATAATTAGATGCATCATCTTCTGCCTTTTCCTCATTTCTATGTTATTACCTTTCATATTCATCAATGTTAAAACCATTCTCTAAGGTTTCATCTTAGGATTTAATGGGACCTTCATCAGATTTAATTTCTTTAGACCCTATTTTAACTTATTAAATAACTGGCTATTCCTCTATGGCCTATTCGGAATTATTATCTACCTAGTCATTTTGAGCTTCTTATAATGTTTCTTGCTAAGGTTGCTCTTCCTAAATGTCATCTTTTTTTATTTCCTTCTCTTAGGTTTATAATTATTCATCCTTTTCTGATTCGAAATCTTACAATTCACTTTGCTCTAATTCAATTTATTTTTCAACTTATTAAATTTATTCTTCTTCTTTTTATTTTTCATCGATCAAATGTTACTATTCTTCTTCTAATTCATTTAATTTTTTCTCATCCTCTAATTTTTTTTATTCTAATTCTTGTTTAATTCTTTCTTCTTCTTAAATTATCTCTTCTACTTCTCTTTTTTTCTTTAGCTTTTCAGCTTCTTACACTTCTTCAAGATAATTTGAAGTTTCTACATTATTTTCCATCACAAAACCTTATGACAATGTATTTTCTACCTAATTCTCATTAGGAATTTCTTTATTTTCTACTTCATCCTATGTGTTTTCAGTTTATTCATCTACAATTAATTTTTCATCTTAATTTTCATTACCTAATTATTATTATTATTCATTCTAAGTTTCATCTTCTAATTCTTATTAGTCATCATAAGGTTATTCCACTTCAAATTTCTATTATTCTTGATCATCCTAAAGTATTTCTTAATTGACTTAATTTTCATTTTATTCTTCATTATCAACCGTTTAAGTTATCTAAGAATCTTGCTCTTATTCATTATTATTATTATTTGCTTCTTATTCAATATTCTCAAATGACGGGTTAATTTATTCATCATTTTATATTTCCTATTAGTTTTGAACTTCTTCTTAAACAATAGTATCTGATGAATCTGATTTAAAACTCTAGGATTCATTCTCAATCTAAGTTTTCGATTCAAGTTGTGACTCAGATTCTTATTAAACAATTTATTAAATATCTAATTATTCTTATTATTATTATTACTCTTATTATTATTCATCTTCTTAATTTTATTGTTATTATTATTATTATTATTATTATTATTATTATTATTATTATTACTATTATTAAATATTTTCATCATTAATGTTGATATTTTCATTAGATATTATATACTCTTGATGAGATTCATCTTGTTCTTAGTCTAATTCTTCAAGATTAGTTTCACCTTGAGATTGTGAAGGATCCTGATCAACATTTAAAGATTCTTCTTCATTCACCACATTTCTATTTTCTTACCCATTTATCTAATCTTCAATCTCTACATATTTGCTTTCTAATTCTACTTCTTGAGTTAACCCTAATAATGCATCCTATTTCTCTTCTACTGATTTCTCAACTTATTACTAAATTTCTTTTTCTTTTTTTTCCTCAGCCTTCTTATTTAAGAGTTTTCTCAAAGGATTCTCATGTACTGGTTTTATGTTTTACTCTTATACAGTTTCTTCTTTTGGTTATTATGTTTCTTATGTTTCCTTTGATTGTTTCTATTTCTTGAATTCTTCAATCTTTTTCATTAATGTTGTTTTACCAACATTCTAATCTGATGGATTAGCCACTTATTCTTGGGTATTAACCTCTTATTTAATTTAAATTGCAGCCATAACTGGTGGTTATTGAGCCTATTTTTTTTTCATTTCCAATTTCTCTCTCAGAGTCATTTTCTTTTCAATAGTTTGATTATTTTCTATTTTAGTTTCTACTTAAGCTTCAACTTTAGGTTCTTCTTCTTTTATAAAGTATTTCTTGAACTTTCCTAACTTTTCAGGATCAGTTTGAAGTTCCGTTTCTGCAATAGTTTCAGTTTATGGTTCGAGTCCATCACTCAATTCTTATAAGTAGGATTGAATTTCAATTTCCTTATGCTCTGGTTCTACAATATTAATCTCCTCCTCATCTTGAACTATCTCATGTTTGCCAGATCGTACACTTTTATAAAATTCTCTAAAGGAAACCTCATTCTTAGTATCCTCTTCATCAATCTACAAGTAAGGCTTTTACTATTTTAATTATTCGGTGACTTTCTTATATATTAGGTCTTCAGATCCTAAATCAGATTCCTCTTAGAATTTTGGTTGCATTTGATTCAACAAGCTCAGTGCTTCTGATCTAATAATAGTTGTTATGCTTACCCTGCATAATTTATGTGGATTAGCATACATAATAGTAGGCTTGTCCTAAGAGTATGCATTATACGTTTTATAATTATATAATATATTGATAATATAAACAACAAAAACCATAGTTCAATTGATTAAACTTGATTCAAGCGATCAAAATCATAATAGGCTTTGCATTGTGGAAAAAGATGAAATATCTATAATACTAATTATCGCAAAAATCATTTATTACAATTTCTGTTACTTGAAATTTATGAAAAAAGGATGTTGAAGTTATTCCTTAAAAATTACAATTATATAATCTGAATTATTAATAATCATTCATAACACAATAGTAATCTGTGTCAAAAACAGTTTAATATTCAAGGTTGATTATTTTATTTGAGTGAGCATAATACTTATTATGATTATAATCACCAATAGAGAATCGTTCTGATAATTTACTTATACACTTGGAAAATGTTCATAAAATGTAAAATTTTCAAAATAATTAACATACATCAATAAAAACTAAAACTTTATTTAGTTGTCGGATAAATTTATAATGATCCACATGTTTCTATTTATGTCAAGCAAAATATCAAAAATTGTACTAATAGATGTTTATGCCTTCAAATATATTGAAGTATGTTATCAAATATGCTGAAATATAGCAACCAAAATATTTCATAAAGATGAACAGTAATAAATTTATTTTTATTTTATAAAGATTATTCATTAATTAACATGTTGTTATTAATAGTATACACAAAGAAATAAAATAGATCTACCTCCAAAAATGAACATACAATAAAGCAATTTATAAATGTTGAGAGTTCCATTTAATTAATTAAGGTTATGTGTAAAAATTAAAATAAGAAAAGAACACATACATATATATTAAATCATTATAACGCTTTTTTTGATCTAAAGAATACTACATTACATTCAGAATTATCATCATCAAAATTTTCATTATCTTTCTTTAATGAAATTAATTGAGGATTTTGTTATTTTGCATATGAGATAACTTAATACTTGCTTTTGATTCCAAAATTTTTATTAGGGCAGACATTTTATTGTATTAGATCCAAAAAATCAGTTTGGCTACTTTACAGATAGATAATCTTTTCTTTAGTTGGGATATCAGTCAGTAATTCATTTTATTAATTTTAATGATTTTTTTCTTGTTTCATTTTTTTATGTAAATGCCAAGGGGAAACGAAGAATTTAGTATTCAATATTATATCTCTTTAACTTTGATACTTATTTTAAGTTTAATTTTATTTATAAGTTTACTAATGCAATGGTTCTAAAGGGTTTGATGATTATTTTGGAATAGCAGATTAAAAAAGAGCATTTTTTTATACATTAAGAGTAGGTCTTCTATTTTAGAAATTGAGGAAATGCTTGTAAGTCTAACGATCAATTTTAGAGTTGGCATCAACATCACTAGCAATTGTTTTTTCTTTCTATTAGGATCTATTCGTTAATGAATGATTTTGTATTTTTCTACTGGTTGATGGAAGTGTTTCCATTCTGTATTTGATTGTTTTCAAATCAAACAATTTTTAATATTCATTTTTTGATCGATATTGCATTTTGTTTTATTTATTATTTTTTAATTTTAATATATTTAATCATATCAAATTAATATAAATGATACCAAAATAGTCTAGTTCATACTTTTCACTCTTAAAAATATATATATATATTCAAAGTGTATTAATTAATTATAGTAATTATTCTTTCCACTGTTTCTTCTCCTCTTCTGTAACCTTGGCCAAGGAAAGTTCGAAGTATTCGAATTACTATTTAATTTGAACTTCATTCTCAAATTGGCTGGTATCCAAATCTTCCTTAAAGATTTAAGAATATTATCCTTGTTATGAGTGTAAGTTGTCAGAAGATATGGATTATTCATCTAGTTCTTTTTTTTATTCATTCTAATCCACAATGGTTCTATGGATCTGAGTCGATAAACAATAAACATTATTACCTCAAACATGAATTGATCGTTGATTGCTGCAAACTAATTAACATTCTCTTCAAATTCCTAAATAAGCTTCGATAGTTCATGTGATGTTGTTGATTCACTTTGTTTAAAAAGGGCCTAAACTTTTTTTATGCTTTGATGAAGGATTTGCGCTTAGGAAATAAACTGAATATAATAATAGGGAATAGAATATATACCATTTCATAGGGATCTGTGTGTGGCGAACCTAAAGAGGAATTCATATAGCCATAATTAGAGGATACATTAGTATATTTGTTACCCAAAGAGTCTTTATCTATTAATAATAATTTTAAAACATTATTGTACTGGAATTGCTATCTTTGAGTTTTATTAAAGGGGCAATATCAGCAGCATTTTGTGGTTCATTAGAATTCGTTTAATGGAGTTGTATAATACCTTGTCTTTGAGACAGTTAGAGTTCTATGTGCAAATCGGATTTACATACTTAAGATGTTTTCATCTTTTTAAGATTGTCTAAGTGTTTCAATGGTTTATTCCAATAAGCCTTTGTATTATTACGCTTCACTTTCAAGTGACTTGTTACTTGATAAGAGTTTCTAGAATCAGAATCGAGCATACTTGATTTTGCATTTTCAAGTTCTGTATGAACTAAGGGTTCTAATATTGTTCATATTGATTGTCGATGGTGTTAGTAGAATGTATAATCTCAACATCGTCATCTTCTAACATGTTGGTACTAATTTAAAATAAATACACTAATAAATTTTATAAAGAAATATAAATATGTTACAACATCATACTATTTTTTTTCATAAAATAGTCTAAATGAGGGCAAGATTTCGAATTAAAAAAATATAAAAGATTTATTAATTTATTAAATTAATCAATATTATCTCCAAAATGAATAACACATTAAGTGATAATCTGACTTTTTTGCCTAAGGATTTTCAAGGAACTGAAAATGGAGAGGGTCAATTAAGTGATTAGCAAAAAGTGAAGTAATCCTAACAAAATATATCACAGATTGGGGAACTTGGGCATGATGACACCAATGAGTAACACTTTGACTTATGATTTTGAACAAATGACTTTGGACACTTCACCAAAGGAGAGTGAAGTCAATCATAATTACTATGCAAATATTGACACCATAAATGAATAGGAAGAACATAAATGCAAACTATAAGTAGATTTACTCTTATATATAAAACAGAAATATCAAAGTTTCAAGATCAATAAAGAGTAGATTAGGAAATCACCCAAGCACAAGACTTGCTAACCATAACAGACAGTGCCATAATTGGAACTAGGAGAATAAAATCTAGACACTCAAATAGATTAGCAATCCCCAGTCACTTCTTCGATGAATGCCCAGACATTGAAATTTATCAAGGAACTCTGGAATTCAGATAAGAGTGAAACTGAATACTTTAAAGACATGGTGGATCCTCAAATACCATATCTAAATCAGCCTATCTATTCTCCAGTGATGGATGGTCAGAGTCCCATATATGAACCTGATATTGAGATGGATTTGTACATTACAAGTTTGGTGGTAAGATTTAAATTCTATCTTAGGATTAAGTATGGGGCAATCAGATAGTCAGTAGGAAATTGCAGAAAATGATAGAGTCAGGATCACATCAATAGAAGGAATTGATTGTGTAGAAATTGGAAAGAGTTACACCTTAAGTGGAAAAGGACATATTCGGCAATTATGTTGTTTAAAAGATCTTCGAATGCAGTATATATAATATTCAATCTATAGCCAATAGTAAATTGCAATAGAGGATGTTCAATAAATTAAAGCCTCACTTTTATGATTTATCCAAAAACACTTTCGGCTGCAGAGTGATGTAGAAATTGATTGAGTATACCTGCCAACGAAATGATCTACAAATCATAATCTTGTAACAATTACAATCTAATATGCGATCCTTGATATATGATTTGAATGGAAACTATGTGATTTTCAAAATGCTAGAAACCTTTGATAAATTAAAGATGGAATTCATGATCCCCATAGTCGAAGAATCAGTATCTCTTATACATCATATCCATAGTTCAATTACATGGGATAGCAAATCTATGGTTGCAAAATCATTCACAAAATTATTTAACAATATTCTCAACAACAAATCGCTAAAATCATTAGATTGTCAGTCTAAAATTACAATATCTTGAGTTAGACAGAGTATGGAAATTATGTACTTTAACATATTCTCTAATACTGGATCCCGAGTCAAGAAAAAGCCTATCTAGTTCAATTAGTCTTGCAATAGTTCTTCTAACTTAGCATAAATAAATATGCAAGGTATTATTCTTACTATCTAAATTGCTAGTAACACTGTTGAACGAGCATTGGAAGCATTGGGCAAGCAAGAATTAATTTCTATTATGAAATGGCTACTTTGCAAAAGTCCTAATCAATAGTAAATCATATTTAATATTTCAATAGCACAAGCAATTTCGTAGTATTAGCTAATCATCAATATGCAAATTATGTAATTAAGAAATTCTTAGTGCTAAGCGATCACAATGTATTAAAATATATTTCCGATCATTTGTAGTAGAATCAGTATGAATAAACAGCAATCAAATCCACTATTCATGGTAATTTTCATCCTTTTAAATTTAGGTCAAAGAATAAGTAGCTTCTTAGATAAGCAAATTTAACATTGGCCTTGATTGCCAAATATAGTCAATTTCAATGAATAAATATAAAGAAGATATTATAATTATTTTCAATTTCAGATTAATTTTAGATACAAAATACTTTTTGCATCAAAGTTGTAATACCATCTTATCAATGTCCAAATAGATTTTATCTATAAAGCATACAAAGTCTAAATTTCTATATTATTAAAGATTTTCAAATGTAGTGAATAAAAATAGAATTGATAAAGTTAATTTTATTATCATTTATCTTGATCACTATTTTGTAAATTGATTATATTCCCGCTTCGGAACTGCAATGATAGAATCATACTATTACTATTGATAGATGGGCTTAAAAGTAATATCTCATTATTAACAAAAAAAAGAGTTAGTTCCTACTCCAGTTTTATATTTTATATCTTAGACATCTTCCTTTTCAATTATTTTATAATTATATTCTAATTTTGGTTCTCCTGCATTCTATTACTGAAATTCTTATTAAATATTCAGAGTCATAATTAATCCCAATAGATATTTTGTCTTATTTTTGATATTAACAGAAAAAGATCAAAACATATTTATATCAAAAAACAGAATTTATTTATATTCACAGATAAACATTTATCAGTAGCTATAAATATTCTTAAAGTTTTTCTAATGATGTATATCATAAAATATCAACCTATCATCTATTTTAGAATATGGTATGAAATCATAACTTCATGTTTTAGAATCAACCCACATGGGATATTTTAAAGACAGAAATTAAGCATCAGATATTGATTGGATGTAAATGTAATTCTGTCTATTGTTATTATTGAAAGATGTAATTGATAAAATGATATTATCTGAATTTAGTGTGATTTAGGAATATAATTTTATGTATAAATAAAATGATTATCTGTAAGGATGGGATATTGAGTAATCTGTGGATTCTGAGGAAAGCGAAAAAAAAGAAGTCACTCAGATTTCCAACATAACGAAAACTCAACCATCAGATAGGCTAAGCTTTAAAAAGTTATTCTTAAAGAGTCCTTAACTTTCACCCATAAGAGTCAATCCTCCAAATCATTAAACAACTCCACTGAGGGAATCAATAAAAGAAAGGTTTGTGTTTGTTAATCAATTAATCAATAAGAAATATGATGTGAACAAAGGATGTGATTATGATATTGAGCAATCTCATCATGCATTTAATATAAAATTGCATTAACCAATCAACATTGCAAATTTACGAATAAAATTGAATGCTCTTCCAAAATAACCATAACATACGAAAGCATACACTCAGAACTAATTGTAAGCGATGATGCAGTTAAAACGCAGAAACTTGTATTTGAGATCGGTACTCAAAAAAGTATGTGTGTGTTGAATATTAAAGGTTTGTCATGAGAGTGATGAACGGTATTCTAATCATCAAAAAGGTCAGCAACAGGAAATCTTTCTCGGTTATCGATACATGGATGAAGATCTGCAGAAATTGTAGAGTCCAAGCAACAGCATGAATCTCTAGTAAGTCATTGTTTATTATATCTAGATAGCAATCCCGTAAGAATAGCAACAGAAGACCTGTAAAGGTGAAGCAATAATTGTGAGCTTAATTAACTTTATTTTATATATTTTTTTGATTAAAGATATTAAATAAATTATTTATTTGAAATGGTAAAGAAGGAGAAGGGAAAGCCCAACCCTTTGGGTGAAGTTAGCAGAGATTACACCATCAATCTTCACAAAAGGTGGTTCATAAGGAAACATTTCAAAAAAAAGGCCCCAAAAGCTGTCTCTTATATTGTTAATTTCGGGTATTAAAATGAGTTAATTGTCAGCAAGAAAGAATATGCTCACAGAAGATGTCAGAATCGACCCATCTTTGAATGAGGCTGTTTGGGCTAGAGGAATCAGAAATCTGCCCAGGAGAATCAGAGTCAGATTACAAAGAAAGAAGAAGGAGGAAGATGATGGAAAAGGCAAATATTATACACTTGCTCAACATGTTCCTGTTGATACATTCGATGGCTTAAAAACAGAAATCACCAAGTCATAATGATCACATTACAATATATTAATATTAAAATATAATAATCAGTTAATGCTAAATAAAAGTTCAAACTCATCTACTATTTGTCAGCTATGCAAAATGACTGCTTAAAATCCAATCCAATTGATATGTTCACATTCCATGTGCATGAAATGTGGAGTCAATATACAAATCCAAGAAAATACAAGGTATCACATTTCAATCCAAACAATAGTCAAATCTAGAATAAATTTAGAATCCAATGTCCAAAATGTCGTAAATTGACACACACTTATGATATCAAGAATTTGTTGATAGAAAATAATGAATTATATCTAATCACAGATTCAAGTGAAATGGAAAAAGAAGTACTTAACGAAGTAAGTCTCATATTCAATCTAGAGCCAATTCTCACTCTAAAAGAATTAATAAGATGCTATATTGGGAAGAAGATAATCCAATGCCTATTAAATTTAAGATTTATCGTAACCAAACAATAAGAATGTCTAAAAGATAAGCGAAATGTTTACTGTACAGGCCACTCACAATAACCCACAGAATGCCTTTAATCATTCCTAGTTTAATAAAAAGAAACCAAATTTAGGAAGTGAAAGAATATCTCCCAGTAAACAATAATCAAAGCCAACCTAATCAAATCACTAAAAAAAGCAGTCCTATTAAGTACCCTAATAATAAGAAGTTGCAATTGAATGTATTAAATTTAATATTCTAAGGCAAGGCTAAAACATAAGCGAATACATCAAACATTTAATAAAACAAAATCAATGACTTCTTTAAACCTAATTCTAATACTCCTGTTGCAACTCCAACAACTATTGCATCCTAATTATTGTTTCAATAAACCGACAATAAAAAACCTATCTAACAATAGCAATAAACCATATATTAATAACAACAATAATACTAACAGTAATTGTAATAGCAAAGTAAAACTGATAAGGTATTTGACACGAAATAATATTATCCTGAAGAAAAGAAACTATCAACGCCAAAATATAGCGAAATGATAAAAGAAAAAGAGAATCAACTTTTAAAAGAAATTTCAAAAGATAGTTCAAACACATCCAAAGAAATATCAGATAACTCTAGACACAAAAGAAGTTCTACAGGTCTTATCTAAGAAACCGAAGAACAAGCCTCTGTATAAATTATTCAGTCTTACTTTAAAATGGTTCAGAAGAATGTTTTGAAGCTAGAAAAGGATGTGATTGCAGCAGTTAACAATAAGTAAGTAGATCCTCAATGCATCTATCAAAAACTCAAAATGCTAACAGCAAGGGTTGGTGATAATGAAGGTGAACTCATTTAATCCATTAAGGTTATGTAGAAGTTACATTCAGAAATAATGGGACTTTCTACTCCATCCTAACATAGAAAAACTAGTTCTCATCAAAATACAAGTCACAGATACACTAATACAAGTAATTATGTGAAAAATATTGAAAAAAGTGATTAAAGTATTGGAGCCATGCCTTAAGAATTAAAAATATATAAAAAGTTTTTATGATTTCTATTTATATATACATTATATTATCAAGCGTCTAATTTAAAATGTTTTAATTCACATGGATCATTAATTTCTATAGCAGCTTTCTGTGATTGTTTGATAAATTCTTTAACTGCTTTCTCATTCCTTCCTTATTTAAACAGACTCTAAATTTAATATGCTTATATATACTTTAAGGTAAAAATCTATTTAAGTTTTGCGTTTCAGTATGAACTACTAATCTAAGTTCCCAAAAAGTCTTTTCTCGGGAAACTTTTCCAATCGTTAAACCGTCTATTTATTGAGTTTGGAATTCAAATCCTCTAACAAACTATACCTTGTTTAGAATATCCAATAAAGTGATCCATAAATCACCTTTATTTGGTATATTGTAAATTGCTTTTCTATGGTTTTGTAATTTATAACCTCAACTTAAAATTCACAATTCTATATATAAATACAAAAATTTACTTATTGATCATATTGCTTACTGTTTAAGTGTTTTTTTACTCTTTATTTGTTTTATCTGTTTAGGAAGGCCATTATTGGGTAATTTGAATTGTTTTCATTCTCTTAATTAAATTTTGATATATTCTAGTCTTGGAGAGTTTAGTTAGCCATTTTTGATGGTTTATTTAAGAAGAGTCTTGGAAAAGTTAGACAGATCTAAACTTTTATTAATATTAATGAAATTTAAGCAAATTCTTTTCTTAAAAAACATTTATTGATAAACAATATGATTATATTGATAAATTTATTAATTGATAAATTATGTCTTTATTAAAATAATATAAATAAAATAAGTATTTGCCAAGATACGAATTTGTTTATTTATATCCTAAATCCATTCATTTATGTCAAATATTTCTCATCTCTCATAGATTTGTTCCATATAAATACTCTATAAATGAATCTAGGTCATATGTTACACTTTTTTATAATAATATTAGTTAACTTCAATATACTGAATATTATATATATATACATACATTATACAAGATTTATAAAAGCATCCATTTGACTTATAAAAAACAAATTTATTGCACTATAGAATAGTTATTTTTAGTTAGGTCACAAAAAAAATATATAAGATGACCCTTTTTACAATATTGTAACATTGAAACTAAATTGGATCTGAAAGAGACTTTTTATCATCCTTTTTTGCTTTTTATAAATAATGCGATTATTTAGCTAGCCTCTTAATGTTGAAGTAGAAACCATAGCTCAAACTTGCTAGAAATATTTTATTCGATTTTATCTCTAAATTATCTACGATGTGTTGTTTTCTTCTAGATGGTCTTAATATTGTCTGAATTTAGTATTCAAAGATTTTAGAAATGTTTGAATCAACATCATAAGAAAATATTCAACTTTTAAAGAATTGGAAGCTTTTTTACTAATTTTTACATAATAATATAATAATTATTATGAACTAAGTAGAAATTATTGAATTAATTTATTGATGCATAATTGGAGAAATAATGAATGCATATAAAATCTATTATATCATTGTTTAGTAATGTATATGAGTGGTAAATATATATTGGTTATTTAATTGAATTTATTGTTATAAACTTGATTGAAAAAATTGTGCTAAAAATTAAATGTTGCACTTAAGAAAACTGCCTACGATATATAAAAATGATATGGAAAACTATTAGATTAGACGTTTTGAAAAAGCTACTCATTTTAGAAAGATTAACCAGAGTGTAACGAGTAAAAAGAAAATGAATCGCATTCTGCCTTAATTGCTAATGAGTGCTTAAAAAAAATTTTTTATTGAACTCACCTAATTAAATGAAAGGAAAGGAAAATATCTAATGTAAAGAATGATATTTAAGTAGATTTAAATACAACAAACGAGGAAAGAGTTCGTAGTCTAGTAGAGAAGGAACCTTGAATGCTTCAGCTTAACTGGTGATGGTTTCATTACCTTATTTTTGTACAAATCACAATAGAAGAAGATTTATTATGAAGAAATGGAAATAGATAATATGGGCTGTACGAATAGTAATAAGATACAAAAATATATTGAACAACCTTCAATTTTTTGAACTACTAAACAGGTTACCAAGGAGACGGAAAGTATCCTCACCCACATCAGTTTATCGTAGTCCAAGAAAGAGACGTTTAGGAGGAGCTCAATCAGTTGATAATAATTTTACTCTTGCAACAAAAGGATATGGCGATGAAACTAACTCCAGCAAGACTTCCAGAAAATTGAAGAACTAATTATCAGATAATTACTTGAAATCTACCTACTATCAGGATTTCAAATAAAAAGATCAAAGATTAGCCAGGTTAAGAACTAATAGTTTAAACTAATTGCAAAATTCTCAATAAAGTTAACAAATGTAAACTTCAAGGACCTAAATAGTGTTGATAAGAAACTTTAGAGTGAAAAAATTATGATTAAACTGTTATAATATACACAAGATCATTCAATTGGTGGCCATTTCGACTTTATGAGCTAGTGATAAGCTTCCTATACAAAGTCAAGACATTCTTAAAGTAGAAATCTAACTTGTTTAAACATATAATTACTGTTTATCTTTCGACCATTTCTTAATGAGATCATTCTTGGTTGTTATCTCATTGAACATGAGTGCCTTTATTATTTTTTATGAATATGGTTGCATATTTGATTCTCTAATTTCTGATACCTTATATTTGTAATATTTTTAGAGTATCTAATAGAACTACAATATTTCTCCAGAATACAGAAATCTTGCAAATTTTGAATAAAATCCCAATTAATCCTTAGGGAATGGTATCTATTAATTAATATTAATAATAATAATTACCTCTATCTCCTCTAAAACCCAAGAATTTTCTATTACAGCACTTCCTTTGCACATCATTCTATCATTCTTTGAATCGTAATACTCACTATTTTCATAGATTGTAAGCTTCTTTAATTAACTAGATCGAGTGTCCAAATCATATAGGAGAGACTTATTTGGTACTTCAGTTAGATTTACCATATAAACTTTAGGAGTGGTGATTTATGAATGTTGTTCTCCGAAAGTCAGCAGTTGACAATATGATATATATTCGCAGTTCTATTTTCCATAATATATACTTGTTGGATGTATGTGTACCTATTCATATTCTCTAGTAGTATAATAATAACGATTGATATTTCTTTCTGGATCTAGTTTACACTATAATTTTGCCACTTTATGTAACCCATTTGTTTACACTATTAACTCAGCCAATACGAGTTGAGCTTCTCTTGATGGTCGTTAATACTATTTAATTGCAGAAACACATTGAGTTACTATGGTTTTGTCTTCCACTATAACATTCAAAATTTCAAGAATCTGTAACAAATTATAATAGATTTCTTTGAATGACTTACTAATAAAATGGTATTGCTAAGACAATTAATTAATTTAATATTAGATATCTTGACCATCTTTAATCTAAGATATTGCTGTTCCAACAATATTCATTAAATATATTAAGTCACTTATTTTATATCCTTCACCATGCTTTTCTATAAAAGCTTTCAAATTTTTATATGATTAGAATTGATCTTTAATTTATTGTTATTATTGTTTTTATTCTTATTCCAACTGCTTGATTTCATCTTATTCGTTATCATCTGCTTAAATTTGAGTATGAACTTGAAACACTGATTTATTGATTATTTCTTCAACACTTAAGATGCATACCAACAAAATGCCATATTAAAGCAAATTCCTTATTCTTGTTTATAGGAGGAATTTACCATATTTTGGACTTAATGGTATTTAAGACAATATGATACCTAATTGTGTAATGTTTGAATTATCAGAATTAGTTTCTTATTTGACTTTCATTGCTCCCAATTTGATCAAATTACCAAGACTATCTTTGATTTCTTTTATATCTGGATTTGTCAAGTATGGAAATTTATAGACATCTTTGATTCCAATGCTTTTCATTTGTAGGATGACATGATCCAAACTGATTTAAGTGATTTCTGGATTGTCGAATTTTTAGAATTGATTTGAGTAAACAGCAGTTGAATATAGCCTATAACAATAACCAGGACCTGTTCTACCTGCTCTTCCACTTCTTTGATCGGCAGCTGCCTAAGATATCCATCCAATAACATGTTTTTCTAATCCAATTTTGGAGTCTGTGATTTTCCTTTTTTGTTTTCCAGCATCAACAACATAACGTATAGTTGGAATTGTGATTGAAGTTTCTGCAACATTAGTGGCAATAACAAACATCCTTTTTTTAGTTGGATTATTATGGAATATGATTTATTAATTTTTAAGATCTAATTTAGAATAAAGTGGAACTACAATAAAATCTGATAAGTCTGAATCAATTTTAAACGCATTATTCTATGTCATTTAAACAGTTCCAACTAGATTTTTTAATTCTAAATAATCAGCCTTATCATCTATTTATTATTATTATATTTCTTATTATTATTATTATACTTCTTATTATTATTATACTTCTTCTTCATTATCTTATTAATTTAATTATTATTGATTTTCTTCTTCACTATTGGAGTATTCTTCATCTATTTGTTATTTTCTCGTTCCTTATTGTAATTTATCATTTAATATGCTACAACACTAATGGATTTCTTTCTGTCCAGTCAGAAATATTAGAACATCTCCTGGGGGCAGTGTCTAATGAATTTTAACACACTTTTCAATGGCTGCCGAAACGTAATCATCCTTGGTCCTACAATCATTACAGGTACTTACACTTTATTGAAATATATTTGTACTGGATATTGACGAGTTTAAATTTTGATGAGATTGAGAGCTCTTGGAAATACTAGTTTATTATTTAAGAAATCATCCAATCTTAAAGTGGCACTCATGATAACTAACCTTAATGGTTTATTCATCTTTGCCCTTGCAATAACTACTCTTGATAACACTCCGATCAGCAAATCTATGTTTACCTTTCTTTCATGAGCCTCATCAATAATTATTACAGAATACTATGGTACCATCACACTTGTTTGCATTTCGTTTATTAAAATACCATCAGTCATAAACTACATTAAATATAAAATCTACTTTCATTTTCATTCGATCAACATCAATTCCACTAGATTCATGTTTAACTTAATAAGATATCTCTTTGCCCATAGTAAATCCAGTTTCATCTCTCACTCTTTATGCCAATGAAATTGCTGCCAATCTTCTTGGTTGTGTGATTGCAATTGCACCAAATTCTGTGAATCCTGCCTCATATAGAAATTAAGGAATTTAAGTACTCTTACCACACCCCGTTTCTCCCGATATTAATGTAATTAGATTGCCTTTAATGGCATCAATGATGTCATTCTCTTATATTAAAATTGGTAATTAGGCTCGTTGTTTGATAATATTTTCATCTCTATTTATTGATTAATTTTTGAATGAATTTATATCTGTAAGCAAGGTATCGTAATTTGTAATTGATTATGGATCAATGTCGTAAATATCATCCTTCTCTGGATCATATTCTGATATCAATTCTCTTGGTTATGCTTAAACCTATCCTTTTGGGATTCTTTTTTAATCAAATGACTCTAAACTAATGTCTGGGAACAGTTATTTGGCCATGATTTCTAAGCGTTCTGCCTCAGACATTTTTTAATGAGACTCATGTTGTTGAATCTGGATTGGATTCTCATTCTCATATACAGTGGTCTGAAATATATTCACTTGTTATTTGCTATTGCTATCCTATTGAGCTTCTTCCTTATTTTCATTAATGACTTCTTCCTCCATGTGATTTCCCACAGAATGCTTACGGTCTCTTTTGCTACTTGTGGCATCCTTTATACTGTTGAGTTGATTCATCTATTCTTGTGTCAATTAGGATTTAGCCAATGCAGCCAACAGTTACTGTCTCTTGGCTTCCTTTTCTTTCTTCTCCTAGATTTTCTTATCTTTCTTGTTCATATATTAAATTATTAAAAATGAAGAATTCAATAGGCCAAAGAAATATTATACAAAATTACGCCTTAGATACTAGTTTCTATCGTGTGAAATAAAACCAATCAATACTAACCACCCGCCACTCCAAATTGCCTTCATTCAATAATCCCATTCCAATTTCAACTCCAACATCTCCTAAGGACTAACAAAACATGTGGAAGACAAACCTTTGTTTTCAAAATGACAACTCCTTCAGTCACAATCGAAAAAGACAAGAAGATCCCTCCAATTAAAAGAAGAGTGCTAGTCCTCAATTAAGATAACTTCCTAGAAAATCATATCATTTTTAGTTAGATTAATAACCGAAGCTTTTCTAAGCACCCAAATCCTCAGAAAGACGCAGCTTTAGAAACTCCATCTATTCTAGACCTAATTCACGACTTATAGAAGACCAGTATACTTTGAAAGTGGCAACGACGAATAATGAATTAGGAAGGGGCAATTTTAAATTTCATTATGTCCTGGGAAAAGGTGGATTTGGAAAGGTTTGGAGAGTTGAGATGATCAAAACACGTAAACTATTCGCTATCAAAGAGATGAGTAAAGCAAAGTAAGTCTAAATTTAGCTAAAAGGGTTTTGGCCAAAAAATCTGTCAATTCAGTTATGAATGAACGTATTCTTCTCTCGCAACTCAAACATCCATTTATAGCCAATATTCATTACTCCTTTTAAGATAGAGATAATTTGTATCTTGTCCTGGATTTGTTAACAGGGGGTGATCTCAGATATCATATTGGAAAAATGCGTAGGTTTTCAGAATAACATACTAGTATAACAATTATATTTAATATTCTTAGAGTTCTTGATTGCAAGTATGCTATTAGCTTTGGAGTATCTACATAAAAGTGGAATTATTCATAGAGATATCAAACCTGAGAATATTGTACTTGACAAGAAAGGATATCCAAGATTAACAGACTTTGGCATTGCTCGTATGGTTAAACCAGAAAATTCTTAAGAAACCAGTGGTACTCCTGGTTACATGGGTATTGATGTTATTTTTATGTAATCAGCTCCAGAAGTTATGTTTAGATTAAATCACAGTTTTGGAGTTGATCATTTTGCATTAGGAGTCATGGCTTATGAATTTATGATGGGTTAACGACCATACTTAGGCAAAACTCGTAAAGACATTAGAGATGCAATTATTATCAAGTAGATATCGCTCAAGAAACAAGACATTCCTCCTGATTGGTCCTCGGAGGCAGCTGACTTTGTTAATCAATTGTTACAAAGAAAACCTTAAGCTCGTTTAGGATATGGTGGCACTGAAGAAATATAAAATCATCCATGGTTCTCAGGGTTCCCATGGAAAGGGTTGCATGAGAAATAGTTGACATCCCCATTCAAAATAATGAAATCTTCAGATGAAGGCCATATTCGGGAGATTTCCTCTGATCATGATTCGTAAGATGAATTGATACAGAAAAATATATTATTACTCAGATAGGAGACCATTTAAAATCGATTTGAAAATTATACATACTCAAAGGAACAGCATCTAACAATCAAGAGATTTTGATTAACATATTTTTACTTATTATAAATCCTAATATAATAATGTTATGTTACTCATTTGATAATTACCTTTATGTTTTTATAAGTTCACTTCCGATGTAGGTTACAATTGAATTTTTTTTAAATTCAACCAAATCTAAAAATAAGGAAACAATTATTCACAGAATATTAATATTAATATTTAAGAAAAATATTAAATAAATTTAACTAATTTTATAGGTTTCATTTAATCGGTTTTTCATAATAACTACGTCTAATATATGTTAGTACCCGAATTCTGTTGGTAATTTGTATGCCCCAGGGCCTGGAGATTCAACCCTTATTTTGGTTAGTTCCCTTTTCGCTCTTGTGAAAACAGTCGATTTTGTATCTGCAAATTTGGAACAATAATAAAGTCCTTTTGGATCAATGTCTCCTGTATGTTGATATTATCCTGGCCCGGGAGTTAGTTCATGAGCAGGAGAGAAACGAGTGCTTTTGGCCTTAGGTGGAGAGAGAATGATTGCACCAGAACTATGAGTTTAAATTAAAAAATACTCTCTAAACTTGCTAATTTTATATTTTCCATTTTCATTTAAAGCCTCAGGCAAATTGTACTGTCCACTAATAATTGAGAATAATAACGATACGGTCCAGGTTTTCTATCTTTGTCCTTTTGACTCTCAGTTCTCATTCTCATTGTATATTTAATGGGAGATTTAGATTCTTGGAACTCATATTATCCTGGTCCCGGGGTTTTTTGGATTAAACCAAGAAAGATACCATCGTATTTATTGCTTTTCTTAGGGATGCTTATTTGATATGAATACATCTCTGCCTACAGGCATGGTCCAACCATTGCTTGCGTTGAGTGTAGTCTTAATTTAATAGTTATTTGGGCCTGGTGTAATGCTTTCTTAGATCAAATCTGACTTTTATCCGTATCCGATTCCTGCTCCACGTTTGCTCATCATGCTTGGGAGTGAGTAAATATTAGGACATCTAGATTGATGGGTAGGATAGATTACGCTGAATCCTTGAATTCTTTGAATCGATTAGCCTTAGGGAAAGAGTAAAGCTATTTGGAAACAGAGTGATTCAAAGGAGATTTGTTTATTTATTCGAACGATGTGTTCATGTTAATTATTATTATATTATTATATCTGTTATATCTCATACTTCATTTTCTTATACTTATTATGTAGCTAATTTGGCTTGGTTACAGAAACATTCAAACTACTTCACTTATCTCTTAAGTGAATCAAGTGATTTATCCACTTGCATTTTTAGAGTGATCAAATTTTCAGGAACAGTAGTTCTCAACTTCTCGACTTTCTAAAATTGTAAATACAAACAATACATTGCAAAGACTGGCCAAATCATCAGTGATTGGGAACAGGTAATCATAGAAAGTCTTACTGAAATCGTTACTTTTAGTTTGGAAGATTTGAATAATGACTTCGAAGAATTTGTCTTAATATGGTTCCAAACTCAGGTAACGTCTCTCATTATTGAATCCAGCCATTGATTCTGCAATCATTTTGGCTGATTCTTTATCGTTGGGATCAACGTACTTTTACCAAAGAGCAGCTCTTTCTTATTCGTTTGCAATAAGAGCTTTGCATTTCAATTGAGCTCTTGAAGCAGCATCAGAAGTATCAATTTACAACATCTTTTCGAGGATCTCTTTTCTTAATTCAGGATTTGAATCATATTTCTAAGAGGCATAAACTAATTTAACAATTGCCCATTTGGTATCTTTGGTGCATTCAATTGAGGATAATTCTTGATTTTATCCTTAGAACCAAGCCAACAATTCATCGACACATGTGTTATCATATGCAAATGCTGCCATGTTGTTTCTTAATAAAATCAATTTATTTTCTTATTATGGATCTTTACTAACTTTGATTATTTGTTCTAGGAGGAATGTAAATACTCTTTTACCAAGAATCTTCTTGAATCTATGGTGATTATAATAACTATTACTTTCTTGGTGTCATGGATGCAATAGCAGATTATAAGTATAACAATTAAGTATTCAAAATTTCATCTGAATTTTCTCTTGGTAGTTAGGCCAAAAGGAAATCAACATACTCCTCTGAGCTTATTTTACCATCTCTTACACTATCAAAAAGAGCTCTGTAAATCAAAGTTCTAGTTAGGATATCCTAGACTGCTTGTAAATTTTAACTGAAATATTTTGTGGACTCTTAGTCAAGAAGTACCTTCACAAAGGATTAATCTTCGTAATTCAACAATAATGCTCTATATCCCTTACTACCATCATAAGTGATAACATTTTCTTCTGTTGCTTTGAGTATAGTGTCAATGGAATCGATGCCATTATCATGGAAAAATCCTATTTTAATTTTATGAATTCTCAATGTAGGGAATTAACTTAGAGCAGGTCTTTAAAAGACAGTTAATTTAGCTTGATGAGATCTATCTGTTTAATCCCATTAAGGTTCAATTTCATTCATACCAGCAGTTTCAATCCATTGTTATTTCCAATAGGACAATGTAAATTCTGGATTATCAAATTTCTCTTATAAATGATCAATTAAATCTTATAAAACAGCATTCTTCCATCCGAATTTTCTAAAATAATTTCCGCAAGCCTCTCCAAATTTAGCTGCTCCCATAATACACATTAATTATTTCATAACTGAGGCTCCTTTGGAATATGTAATTCCATCGAAAATATTCTCTGCTACTTCGGTATTGATAACTTCACCAGCAATTGGATGTGTAGTAAGCATTTAATCTTCTCTGTATCCCCATCCCTTTCTCTAATTAAACATAACAGGAATGTTAGATAATTTGATTGTTTCAATTTTAATATTTTCCTAACAAAAGTGGGAAATGAATTCAGCATAACTTTCATTTAACCATAAATCATTCCACCATTTCATTGTTACAAAATCTCCAAACCAATGATGAGCCATTTCGTGAATAATTGTATTAGCAAATGAAGTATAACTAGTTGCTGGCTTCTTCTCCTTAAAAACATAAAAATCATTAAATGTCACGCATCCAGGATTTTCCATTGCACCCCAATTGTACTCATTAACAAAGACAGAATCATATTTATTGAATTAATATTTGACTCCAAAGAAATTCTCATAGAATTTCATACTTTTCTTTGTTACTTCAAATATGAAATCTTTTAAGTTTATCATGTGTTCTTTTAAGCTTTCTCTGCAATATATAGTCTATGGTATATCATCTTGTTCTCCTTAAAATTTGACTGACCAATATTCTCCTGCAACTAAAGCAAATAAATATGTTGGCAAAGTTTTTGTTCCACCAAACACCCAAAAGTTGTATGAATCTGAATTCTCGAGATTTTAGAGCTAACTCTCCACCAATTCTTAAGGCAGATAATCTTTAACGACATTAGCAGCCTAGGCAAAATTGAACTATTAATTTTGATCAGCATTTTCATTTGAAATAACTACCCACTCTTTAGGACATACTGCAGTGAATCTCAATTTGGCTTTCAAATCAGGTTGATCCATACATGGGAAACTAATTTATTAATATATTCTTATACAATCTGTTTGTGAAATAAGATTCACATTAACTATACAGATATTATTTTCCATCTTTATCAATATAGCCATGTAATCCACATCCATCTTTAGCATAATCCTACTCAAATTAGATATTAACTCTATTCTTTTAAGATGTCCTCAAGAATTCTTTTGGTACCTTGATAAATAATCCATTCCAATCCAAATTGTTAATCTTATTTTCATTGACATACAAACTAACCACCCTCTTTCCTCTAAAATCAACATACAAATCTGTCAAGGTGTGTTTTGCATCAAATTCCAATGTTACTAAACCACTATATGATTCACCTATGCGTAATCTTTATTAGATAGGTACCTTTTTTCAACAATAAATCCACTTTATATGAAATACTATCTTATACAATTTGACCCCATCTTTGAATGGCTCCTGTTTAAGTTAAAAATCGATTTTATCCAAACTCGTTTTCAGCGACAGGTGGGTTTTAAGTCGCGATTATGCGAGATTTCTTGGCCTTATCGTATTAATGATAGGTAAGAGCAACACCGCTCAAACCCAAAGCGACAACGATTCCAATTTTGGCTGACTTCGAATCCGCGAATTTCTTTAAAATTTACATATTTAATTTATATTAAAAGGATATATATTAACAAGATAGCACTTATCAGAGTAAGGATGACGTATTTCTTCATAAAGAAGCATAAATATGTGCATTTTCATCATAAATATTATTTATATAATTGTTTTCTAATTAATAAATTTTTGCATTAAAAATAATATTCCTTAATTTATTTAGAATCTTCTCTACTAGTTACTTATTTTATGGAATGAATAAGTCTTATAAACGCAAACCCTCTTCTGATCTTATAATATCAATTAAAAATATAATTTTAATATAATCAAGGTTGCATCCCTATAAAAAATCATTTAAAAATTAAATACAACACAATAATTTTTAAATATTCTGTCTTTGAAAATAATTCACATTCTTATTATAATTCTCCTGATTCATTAAGTTTATAAAAAGACTTAATTGAAGTTTATAAATTTATAAAATGAATAATTAAAATCATGGTATTATCTTAATTGTGATGTAATTAGTTATTTTATTTTATATAAAAAATGCAATAATTTTATGACACAGATCTCCAAAGTGAGCATCCGCCTTCAGATATTTTGAGTGAAAAGGACATTCCTAAGGAAAAATTACATAAACAAAAAATGCTTGTAAAAAAGGAATTGCTTCACGTCAAAAAGGAAGTCAGATAAAGAGGCATTAGCTATGAAAAACCAGCTTATTATGATAAAGTTAAAATAGCAATGATTGAAATAACTGAAGAGGAATACAATAATGGAGATGAGAAATTAATTCTAGAAAATGCAAAAATAGTGGAGTAGCACATTTTATCTCCATAAAATGATAGATGGATTGATAAGGCATTGTAGTCTATGAAAAAACAAGAGATTAGTATTTACATTCAAGAACATTTAAAACATGATGAAAATTAATTGAAAGTCTTGGAAAACAAAGTATACACTCTAATTTAAATGATCGATTGGTAAATCATAGTCGATCTCTATTAAGATTAAACCTATTTAAAGTACATTCTTCAATTGGGCAAGGGGGGAGATCGTTGCGAAATACTTGATGAAATTATTTATGAAATAAAGATCTTTTAGGGAGAGAATTTACTATTTACTGATTCTTAGGATGGTCCATCACCCATAAAGTTAATAAAATCCAAAGTAGTGTATTCAATTTTGAAGACCATGAAAAATAAGGAACTTTCATTGTGTCATATAAAACATGATTCTTATTTGTAGAATGAAAATTAGGAATTCCTATAGTCATTAAATTATGATAAAGAAGCTAAAGTAGATTGGAAAGTCGAAATAAATGTGAAAACCTTATTCAAGATTGATGATTTATATGGCGATGGAATTCTAATAAAGACAACTATGTATAGAAGTAGAAATACTGCAAAACCTGATAAAGTGTCACTAATTGATTTTGATATGTGGATTTATTCGATGTCAACAGACCCTTATCCAAAGAAGGAAAATCTCTTATATTCATCCACAGATGAGGATCCCATCTATGATCGAGTCGAAGCATAAAAACATAATGACGAGGATGAAGAACCCAGTAAAGGTAGTCTATCATTGTATATTGATGATCTAAAAGTATCAAAGTTAATGAGGCTAGCTCTTTTGAGAATGAAAAAGAGGGAATTAAGCATCATTAGATGTTATGAAACCAAGGATCTTATAAAACATGGCTTAGATTATGAAGGAATGAAAGGAATGATTGAAAAGGAGCTCATCTATGTGATCTATGTTCATACATTCAGCGAGGGTAAGAATAACTTCAGCATGTCAATCGATGAGAAGATAGAGTAAGCTATCAGGAAAAAACAAATCGGTTTGAAGTGGATTTCTCAGTAAAATTATAGAAAAGCTTTGAAAGTATTCAAAACCATTAATGCCTATTTTGATTATGGAACATTCACAGAGGATGATAAAGAGAAAATGAGAGAAGTATCTTAATTATATCTAAGTAGTTTCAAATATCATCGTTATTAAATTCTTCATTGTGTCAGATGAAACTCAAGGATTGGAAGGACATGAAAATAGTATGTGAGAAACTCTATAAATTAGATAGCAAAAACTAGAAGGTTGTTTATAGATATTGCTATGCTTTGATGAATTTGTATGAGTATGAGGAGGCCTTATAAATTATTACAGAAGAGAATGAAGATTTAATTAAACTTAAGAAGGAAATTAAATAGCTATATTCTTAATATAAAAATAAGGAGAAGTAAATGTATTAGAAATGGTTATCTTGAACGTATATTATGACATTTATAAATATATTGTAATCACACTTCTTTTAGATTTTTTAGTTATATTAATTGTTTGATATATATATTAAAAATACTTTCAAATTACCAAATGTTGAAATAATATAAATAAAATACATTTATATAATTTATCATTTAATTTTCAATTATTACTTTAAATTAAAAGGGAACACTAATGGATTAAAATTAACTTTCTGACGCAATTCAGAAATTAGAATTATTTTTTAGTTGTCGTTAGTTGGATGATTTGGACACAATGAGTGTAAGCGATCCATACATAGTTCTATTTTAAAAAACTAATTAACACAATTGTAATGAACTGCCTTTGATAAGTTAGGGACTAAAATAGGATAAACAGAATTAATTTGGAACAATTTAAATCCAAATTTTGCAACATCAATTATAATAGATTATTATTTTGAAGTTCACCAATATCTTAAATTGGAAGTACATCACTATGTTAATCAACATGAATCAAAAGTAATGAGAAATATAAAAGCTTATAGATAATCGGAATCGCAGAGACTTCTCTTGCAGCCATAGCAGGAGCAAGAGATTAAATACTAATGGCAGATCTGTTTAGTCTATAAGGAAAAAAAAGTGGAAAAATTGTTGTCAAGGCTGATTAAGTGAAACACTGTGATGATGATTTAGAAATCACTGTTTCTGGTTAAAATATACCTGACACCAGAATTGGGTTTTGGCACGGTGCTTGTCCATTCTTACGATTCTATAGATTGAGAAAGGATGATAGTAATCCGATTTTGGTTTATGAATCTGAATTTATAAAGGACTCTTCAAATCCTAATTGGAAAACTATATAATGCAAATCATAGAAAATTTGTAATGGAGATTATTAAATGCCAATTAAAGTAGAAGTTTGGGATCATAGAACATCAGGTAAGCATCTGTATTTGGGAGAAACTACATTCTGCATTGAAGAACTTAGAGATTCATTTACATAGAATAAATTATAAAAAAAGGAATTCAGAAATAAATAAAAAAATAATTCTCCAGCTGGCACAATTACTTTTGAAAAATTCAATCTAAAATGCAAATATACCTTCTTAGATTATTGTGAAGGAGGTTAATAATTGAACTTGATCCTTGGTATTGATTTTACTGCTTCAAATGGTGATCCTAAGGATAAAAAATCATTGCATTATATTTCATAAGATGAAAATTCTAGTTAATATTTATAAGCAATTACCAGTGTAGTTGAAATTTTAATAAATTATGATCATGACAAGAAAGTACCAATCTATGGTTTCGGGTGTCAACCTGCATTCAATTTAATTAATACAAACTAAACCTTACATCTCTTTCCTTTGAATGATAATCCAGAAGATCCTGAGTAAATTGTATAATGATTCATTTAGAGTATACGGATTAGATGGGATCGTCTAATGTTATAGAAATGCTATTTAAAAGATGCAATTAGATGGGCCAACATACATACATCCTGTCATAGCAAAGGCTATGGAAATGGCACTACAAAGTAAACTTAAAGGAAGCGAGAACTACTTGATTTTAATGATTCTAACTGATGGACAAACAGATGATTTAAAAGAATCAATAGATGATGTAATAGAATCATCCCATTTACCATTGTCAATTATCATTGTGGGTATAGGAAATGCAAATTTCAAGAAGATGACCATACTCGACAATGACGACAATAGTATGGTTAATAGTAAAGGTTAAAAGGCTCTAAGAGATTTAGTATAATTTGTCCCATTCAATCAATTTAAACATGATTCAACTCTGTTATCAAGAGAAGTCCTGGCTGAACTACCTAATCAGTTGGTTGAGTATATGGAATTAATGAAAATACCTCCTAAACCACCGACATGTAAATAAGTTATTTATTGAATTAGATAAAAAGAACCTTCTACAATATCAGTAATTTTAGTAAAATCAGCAGAATAAGGTTAACTGGCAACCCGGTAACACAGGATTTGCAACTCAAAATTAAGGGTAAGGATTCGCCTAATAAGGGTTTTGAAATAACTTCGTCAAATAAATATAACTATCTATAAGTTATCCATAGTTATATTTGATCATTTATATTTAGATATATGAATTTGTCTTAAAAATAGATAGTTATATTAGTTATTCAATGTTTAAATAAAATAATGTTGTAAAATAATATCGATGAGAATGAGGCAAGTCTATTATTCAAATTTATTTTGATTGGAGATGTTGGTATTTATGATACACTGAATCTTTGTAGCTGTTGGTAAGACATCGTTGCTTAAGTAATTTGTCGAGAAGAGGTTTTGTGATGACTATAATATGACTATTGGAGTTGAATTCAATATCAAATATATCTAAGTGAATGATCATGTCATTAAATTGCAGATGTGGGATACAGTAAAAAGATCCTTAATGAAAAGTCTGGACAAGAGAATTTCAAAAGTGTGACACGTTTGTATTACAGAGCAGCAGCGGGAGCTATCATGGTTTTTGACATTACAAGACGTGAGACATTTGAAAACATCCGTAATTGGCATCGTGAGGCCCTTGACAATGGCAATAGCAGGATGAAATTTCTACTCATTGGCAACAAGACAGACCTTCAGAATCAAAGAGAAGTAGAATCTTATGAAGCAGTTCAATATGCCAAAGAAAATGAGTGTCTATATACTGAATGTTCTGCTTTGTAAGGATCTAATGTAGAAAATGCATTCATGGAATTGGCACATCAAATCTATTAGATGGCCATGGAGGACCCCAACTTAGTGAATGAATAATATGGGATTAAGCATGTCAATAATGCCAACTGTTCCATGTCAACAAGCAAAATTGTAAATCAAAATGGTTAATACAAGAAATAGTTATAAAAGGTAATCAAGTAGCATCACTAATAGATAAATAATCCTAATACCGAAGAATTTATTGAATATTATGGAGATTAGAATTAATCCAACCAAAAAAAGGCTTAGTGTAACAATTGCTGTGCAGACATATGAAATATACTAAAAAAAGAATACTCATAGAAGATTTATTTATATATATTTGCAATAATATTTATTTTAAACCTATACTCTCTAATGATCAACGACAACAGAAACCCAGCATTTTTCCAACAGCCAAACCAAAATCAATATAATATCATACTACCCAATACTAATTAGCCAGTTATTGGTTAAAGATAGGGATATCCTATTTAGACCACAACCTAACCAATTATTTAACAGCCATTGCAATTCTAATAATAATTTCCACTTCCACCACAAGTCAATTATGTACCCTAAAACATATAATCCAAACCTAATGTGTTGCCTACTGTCTACTAAGAGAAACCCACATAAGTCATAAATATGGATGGTAACAATCTAAATTATTCCTATAGAAATCGAGGCACCTTGGAGATTAAAGTGTGCAACTTTAGAGAGACAGATTTTGGAATTGTAAATTCAATTGAGAAAAGGACCAGGCCCTACTGAACCAGATGCTATTGAGGTTATTGATGATACTAGATTAAGAGAATTAGAATCAAAGAAAGCTTAATTGCAACAGATGATTTAGGATAGAGATAGAGAAATTTCTGAATTAGAGAATCAAATTCATTAATAATAAGAATCAATTGAAATATAAATCTAAGAACGAACAGTCCACTACTCAAATGAAATAGAAACTTGGTAGAAGAGGTTCTAATAATTAGAAAGAGATTATACATAATCATAAAGATAATTATAAGATTTACAAGAAGAATAAAAGAGATTAGAGAAATAAAATTAAGATGTTCGTACATCCTAACAAAGAGTGGGGTAAAGTAGAAATTATTGAATTATCATATATTGATACATAAAACATAAGTATATTTAAATAAATCAAATATGACAACTTGCTTATTTCATTGATTCTTAAGATGATTAATATAAATTTTGTTTTCAATCATATTTTATTTAATATAAATTTCAATATGGAATTCATGTTCATTTTTTCTAACATTCAACTTGATATTAGTTATTTATTTCAAATCATCTAAAATAAATTTTATGAATTCTATTTTCTAATTATGGAAAGATTATTTATTAAATACACAAAAATGAAAATCAAAAATTTGATCAAGCTACTAATAGAAGTTTTATTGCTGCATCTAAACTTGCACATTATTGGATTTTATTTAAGAGAAAAGTCTTTACATTAATCTCTCTAACATCATTAATTTATAACAAAATCTTTAAGTAATCTATAACACCTAACAATTCCTTTAAAATATAAATTATTATTACAATATCTTTTACATTATCAATATATGGTATAATTGGTATACCATTTTCTATTTAAAAAGCATATGAATAAGCAGCATTATCAATCAAAACAATGTCTTTTAAATCTCTATTTATTATTCTTAAATCCTTAACATATATTCCTTATTAAGTTTGTATACAATTCTCTCTATAAAGTCGATGAGATACCCATTTACGAGATGGATCAAGCTTGTCAATTATTTTATCAGCATATAATTAATGAGAAGCTGTAAATATAATTATTTCAAAATGTTTTGAGCATTCTGATAAAAACTATTATGCATATGGTCTAACGCTTATTCCTGCCTAATTAATATATTTAAACATACTTCATGAACTTATCCATTTGGCATTTAGATTGGTATTTTAAAATCAAATTTCATTTATTACTATTCATTACAATGCATCAGTGTTTCATCCAAGTCTAAAACTAGAGTTTTTTAATTTTCTATAATATTAATTTATTTTACTTATTTTTTATAGCTGCAGCATTTTTGCCTCTAACTTATTCTAATCAGGCTATTACATTTATTTACTTAATTACAAACTATGAAACTGCTGAACGAAATGATTTATATACATTTAAGCATACAATCCTTCTAGGTTTAATCCTTTCAAATAATTTCGTAAATTATCCATGTAATATATTCCCAAATTTATCTAGTTAAATTAATTAAATTGAGATTCTTCAGAAACCTAAGATTCCTCTTATAACCATTCAAATGACTCAGTTCTCTTTACTCTTAATGCTTTCAATTCTCGATTAAACTCATAGACTTGACATTAAGAGTCACCATCTTATTACTGATGATAATTTGCCTTTCTTAGTTTGTTTGCTCTTTATTTCTCTGATGTTTTCAATATATCTTATGATTCCTTCTATCTCAATTAACTATTATTAAGGGAAGCATCTTTAATCACTCTTCTTGCGGGCTAGTTTTTAGAAATTCCAGAGTTACTAAAGAACGGATGCTTCAAACCGCTATATTATTTTATCGGTGATTAGCACTCAATTTCCATGTTCTCCTCTGATTTTGGCTAAATTATCAAATTTGGACTCTTCACTAATTATCAATAATTTCCACATACCTCTGATTCAAAATTACTCCTTCCACTTTTATTAGACATTTTTGATGTATCTCTATTAGGTAATAATAACTTTTCTAATGATTTTTAACTCTCTTACATTAATAAGGATTTACTAATCCAAGACAATCTTTTGGAGTGCTTCTTCCTTTTCTTTAGAAGCTGCTCTCCTATGTCATTTAATTGACATTTGAGGAGTTTGTGTAGATTTTGGGAGGGGATGGTTTACGACTACTACTCAATATATTATCCTTTGAAATATCATTGGAATGGAACTTAGAACTTCGTCTTGATCTCATTGACTTATATCACCCTGAATATTTGATATAAAATTTTAATATTAATTTTCATATAAATGTGAGATAATTTAATTTCATAGTTTTTAGTCATCAAATCCAACTTGTAAAAATTATCCTTTGTTATTCATCCTTAATTTGAATACTAAATTCTTTCAATTCTATAAAATTTTTAATCCTAATTTTTAAATTGCCCTGATTTTAAGTAAAAAAAGAAATCTAGACTCAACGAAAAAGGATTAAAATCTTAATTGCACATTAATTATTATTAATAGAAAAATTATTGAATTTAACATGATTTCTTTAAATTGCTTAATCTAATATTTAAAAAGGCAAGTAAATTAAACAATATTATTTATCGAAAAGCATCATGTTATAACTGTCGTTTTTATATTATGAATTATAATCCTAATTTATAATAGTATTGCTAAAAATTATTATGGAAATTAAAACTATCGTATTGAGTGGTACTAATATAATGGATATTTCCTGACTGAACTTACCATTGTTAAAATTTAGCATTTTAACAATTTTTATTTAACTATTAATATCCCTCTCAATAAAGAGCTACTTTAATGTTAGTTTTTATAAAAGATAGATTCAATTCTCAATTATTTCATAAAATTCTAAAGGAAAATTGTGTTCTCCTTTGATTTAAAATGATTTTGTAATAAACTTCATTTTTTCATATGTAATATAAACTTTTCTTAGATGACCTGTTCATTATTTCTTTACAAGTTTTTTAAAGCAAGGAATAAGTATTTTTACACTATTTGAAGTTTAAAATGAAAATAATTTAATTGTCTAAAAAATAAATAATCTAAATAATGAAGATTACTGAGAAAGTAGTATTAAATATATATCAAGAGTCTTAAATTCGGTTCTTATTCTTTTACCAACGCACTAGTTTACCTTCAGCCCATTCTCCTTCCTTTTCTATTCCATTCGATCCTAAATAGGTTCCAAATCCATGCTGTTTGTTATTTAACCACTGACCTTTATATATCTTAGATAAAATATGAAACTTACTCTGCCATCTGGCCATTCGAATGATCCAAACCCTTCTTTAACCCCATTCTAATAGCTACCTAAATATTTTCTATTATCTGGCCATTGGAAAATCTAAAATAAAAAAAACAATTTACTCCTTAACCATCCATTTAATTGTTCTTCCATTAACCACTATAAATTCTACCATCCTCCCATTTGAATTCGCCTTCTCCTTCAATATTTCCATTAACAAATTCACCATTGTAGACAGATCCATCAGCCCATTTAAATGTTCCTTATCCATTTTTGAGACCATTTTTATAATAACCCTCATACACAGATCCATCACACCATATTTCGGTACCATAACCATTTTTTACATTGTCTTCCCATTATCCTTCATATTTAAGACCTTCAATGCTGTAAAGAGTTCCCTACATACTAAATTACTTTAACTTTTCCTGAAGCCTTATTATTTTTGAATTCTCCTTAATAAATGTCACCATCCAATTTTATTAACCTACCTCTTCCTTGGAACATGTTATCAGCCCAATATCCTTCATAATATGAACCATTAAGCCAAAATTGTCTACCACAACCATGTTTCAATCTCACAAAAATTATTATTTATAGTACCCATTTTTCCACTGTCCTTAATAAATGCAACCATCATTCAATTGATGGATCTGAAAATTAAATTTATTCTCTTCTTCATTATCATAATTAAATGATGTATATTATTATAGAATCTTTAAATTAAAAATAAAGTGTCATATTACCTTATTCACTCTATTAACTAAATAATCAGGTACTTTGTCCAATAGTTTTATTTTTTCTGCTTGTAAGCATTCCAATTTTGTAGTCTAAGATGGTTTAGTGTCCTAAAATGGTGTAGAGTCATTGAAACTTAACTCATTAGAGTTGTATTTCTTTTCCTTCATTAAAATATTTTTTTCTTTCAATTTTTTGATTAAGCCTTATAATCTTTTTCTTACTAAATAGCCTCTAACACAAGCTAATGTAGGTTAATATCTATTACCTTGTATAAGTTTAATTTAATTAATGTAGTTCAGATCTTGTTCAGAAATAATTGTATTTTGGATCTAAGTTTACAAAATAATTTGGCATTTCCTTTCTTATCCTTAATACCCTAAACAGCATTAGCCCATTGAATAAAGAGTATTAACTTTCAATTATATATTATATTTATTAATATAAAAACATAGGTTTATGTATTATTATTCAAGTTGTTGATTCATAACAGTGAAAATTATTCGAGATTCTTTCTTATTTAATATTTCTAATATAAAAGTATTAAATTAATAATTATTAAAAATATGAAAAACTAAGTAGCAAAGAGCGTCTCTCATTCTACCATTCCAAAACCAGGAAAATCCTAAACTCATAAAACTCCTGAAAAGCATGGAATCCCTAGAAACGTTAATTATTATAGCCATTTTTTAGCAGAACCATACATCACAGAAAAAGATATTGAGTTTGTGCTTCAGTTAAGAAACATGGATAATGTAAATTAGTTGTTTGACAATAGGCAGAAATGACATCAAAGTTAGCTCGGATTCCTAATCAAGTTTTTTCAAGAGGAGATCAAAAAATTGAGTCTTAAAAAGAAAGACATCTTTCCAGAGATGTCAATTACACAGGAAATTCTTCTTCGATTTTACATTTGGTGAAGGGTAGAATAGGACCTACTCCCCACATAAGTCAAGCAGAATTTGAAACTGGTCTTAGGTCCTATGCTAAAACTGATAAAAGTCTTGTTGAAAAAGAACGCAATTGGACTACTGTGCCGAAAACCAAAAGGAAAGATTTTTTTCCTGAATTTTTGCCTAATTATAAGGAAGAAGTATAAAAAAGGAAGTCTCTTAGCATTAGTGGAAATAAATTATCTAAACTAACATATAGTGGTAATTGTTAATCATATAAAATAAAAGCTTTTGATCCAGATACTCATTACCCTTAATATTCAATGAAATTTAATGAGAAAAATATTTAGCACGTAAGACATATGTTTGTGCCAGGTACTAAAATGTCCACAATATAATGGCAAGAAGGTTTAAGACCTTTAGTACAGATAAAAAGATAGAAAAAGGACAAAAAATGATATTATATTTATTGATAACATTATACTTATTATTACCTTAAGAATGAATAATTAAGGAAGAATTAAATGACTTAAAAATTGGAAGTTTGTTAATATTACAATTATATCAATAATAATAGGATTTATTTCTTATTAAAACAGATCAGTCTTTGTCCAGAATATTTGAAGAAGAAGATTAGATTAGTTAGAAATGACAAATCTATTCAAATTAGAATTAATTATATCAAGTTATAAGGTATTATTATATTGCTTTTGAGTAAAATTTATTAATATTGTAAAGAGAAAAATAAAATTTTGAGTTATTTATTTTGAGTTTTATAATTATTAAAAAATTGAAATGGGAAATTTATGTGATTTTATGAAAACAGAAAAACAAGAATTTTAAAGTTCTCTGAATTAATAGACTACCTTGCAACAAATTTAAGAATGTATGCTGTTTATTAAGACTCAGAGGAATTAGCGATTAAATCAAGTAAGATTCTTGATAATTCCACATCATTCATGCCTGAACAAACTCAAAAGCGAGTAGGATTAGAAGATTTCATTATGTTGGCTACAGTTGGCAAAGTATAAGTTAAATTTATAAGGGTGCCTTTGGAAAAGTGTACAAAGTTAAAAAAAAAGACAATTAAAAAATATATGCTATAAAATGCATCAATAAGAAATTAATATTTGATAGCAAATTAGAATCAAATGCATTATTGGAGAAGAATGTTTTAAAATAAAGCAAACATCCATTCATTGTCTAATTGAAATATTCCTTTTAGACGCCAACAAAATTATATTTAGTAATGGAATATATCAATGGAGGAGAATTCTTTAAAATTCTTACAAAAACAAAAGGTTTGCCAGAATCTATTGTAGCATTTATTGCAGCTGAAGTAGTTTTGGCGTTGGAATATTTGAATAATTAGTTGAAAGTTATATATAGAGATTTGAAACCAGAAAATATACTACTCACAACCACAGGACATGTGAAATTAACAGATTTTGGTTTAGCTACTTTAAGAAAAGATGAAAATGTTAAAAATTACACTGTATAAATTAAAAACAATATCAGCTAGCAGGAACCCCTGAATATTTAGCCCCAGAAATCATAAACAAACAAGGTCATTCTTTTGAAGTTGATTTATGGACATTAGGTATCTTAATATACGAAATGATTAATGGGTATCCACCATTTACAGTCCCAGACAGAAATACTTAAAAGATATTATAATTAATTCTGCAAAATTAGCCAAATTATACATCTATAATGAGTGATGATGCTATTAATTTAGTTTAAAGATTGCTTAAAGATAATCCAAAGGAAAGAATAGGAGCTGAAATAGTATTTTTTTATTCTATATTATTAGGGATATTAAGAAATAAAATATCACCCTTTTTTTGCCAAAATTAAATGGTCAGAATTATACAACTTAAACATTAAGTCTCCTCTTAAGACCTTTGCAGAACAAAATGCTTCGAGGTCTGAAGGACTCAGAATGCCTAATATTCAAATTTAAGAGACTCCAGACCTTCCATAGGCAAATTTATTCGGAATTAGTTATGGAGGAGGTGATGATACATATACCTCTAAGAGACTGAATTGATAGATTATTATATATTAGTGGGTATTTAATAATTTGAAGTGAACTCAAAATTCAAAATGGTTAATATTAAAGAAATTCTACTATCTAAGAATTTTATGTATTCAAGTGCTTAGCTTATTAAGTATATTTCAAATGTTCATTGCTACATGTAAATTAGATAATCTATCTAATAAAATATAAGAATAAATATTTTATTATAATCAAATTATTGTTAAAAGGGTGAAACGCAGAAGCGAACAGCTGAAGAAGCAACACTGGAAAAAGGACCGTTTGGATTATTAACAATTACTATGAATCATAATACTCAAGCTTTTTTAGAGCTAAGAAATAATAGAAAGCATTTAGGAAGAGTTAAAGCTTTCGATAGACATATGAATATGGTATATCTATCTTATATAAACAATTAAGATTCTTGAGAATCTAACTGAAATGTGGATAGAAATATCAAAGGAAACAAAGGGAAAAAGCCCATGCTACAAATAAAGAAAGATTTAAAACCAATATAAAATTATATTTTACTATATTCCAAAAATGTTTTTAAGAGGGGATTCTGTAATTTATACTTTGAGAAATCTAAAGTGATATTATTTCAATAACCTCTATGACATAGTGGTAGAGCATCAATAAAGCTGTTTTACAAACTATTATCTTTATTTGAATTTCCAAACCATTATGCTTTCAACTTATTAGTCAAATTATTGGCTGTAGACAAATATATAAATTTCAGACAACTAAACCTGTGGAAAATAAAATTTTAATTTTAAATTATAGCTTTGCATTTTAGAAATTTCATATTTTTTTTACCAAAAAATGAATAACTTACAATTTTTCTTTGAATTGTATAAATCTGCAAATTTTAAAAGTCTTAAAATCTTAGAAAATTCATTAAATCTATTCGATAAGATTTTACTAACTTCTACAGAATAATAAATTATCCTTTGAACATTATAAAAAGAAATGCGGTTTTTAAAGATTAATTTATCAAACTCTAAAACATGATTCATAAAATTAATTAATTAATGAATTTTATACAATATTTTGAATATAGATTTACTACTTATTCTCTAATTATAAAGTTTTAAGAATCTAATATATCTTTATTGAATGTATAAATAATTTTCTAAGCAAACCTCTTTAAAAATATTTATAAAATATGAATACTTTGTTTTTAAGTATTTTAATTCTGATTACTTAAGTATACAGTTAATGTACATCTTAATAATATGATGATGGATTAGGAGGCTGTTTAAATTGCCTTACTGAATGTGCAACATGTTCTGATGGGACAACTTGCGATAATTGCATATAAGGTTGGTATTTGTCTGGCAGTACATGCTTGAATTGTGATGTAAACTGTTTAGAATGCTAAAATAACTCCAATTATTGCACGAAATGCAATATACTCTAAAATAAATATTTGGATACTACAAGTAATACATGCGTATCATGTGATCCACCAAAATTCAAAAACCAGGAGAATTGTGTAGATACTTGCCCTTTATATATAAATTCAGTAGATAGCACTTGTGTTAATAGTTGTTACGAAAACTGTTAAACGTGTTTATTATATTATAATCATTGCTTATCATGTGCATCAAATATGTATTTAAATGAATCATTAAATATTTGCTAATTGAATTGCGATTCAAACTGTGCTACCTGTTTTGAAAAAACAACAACATGTACTTCATGTGACTCGGGTAAATATTTAAATTCGTCCTCTCATTAATGCTAATCAAGTTGTGACAGTAATTGCTTGACTTGTTAGACTACAACAATATATTGTATTTCTTGTGATACAGGATAATATTTAAATGAGTCAAATCATTAATGCTAATCAAGCTGTGATAGCAATTGCTTGACTTGTTAGACTACAACAAAATATTGTCTATCGTGTGATTCTGGCTATGCATTGAATGCAACAACTCATTAATGTGAGTTAATTTGTGATAGTAATTGTCTAACTTGCTAGACTACATCAACTCATTGCTTATCTTGTGATTCTGGTAAATATTTAAATTCATCAATACATTAATGCGAATCAAGCTGCGATAGCAATTGTTTAACTTGTTAGACGACAACAACATATTGCTTAACGTGTGATGCAGGTAATTATTTGAATTCATTAACTCATTAATGTTAATCGAGTTGTGATAGTAATTGTGCAACTTGTTAAACTACAACTACTTATTGCTTGACTTGTAATTCAGGTAGTTATTTAAATTCATCAACTCATTAGTGCTAGTCAAATTGTGATAGTAATTGCTTGACTTGTTAAAACACCACCATATAGTGTTTAACTTGTGATATAGGAAATTATTTAAATTCATCAACTTATTAGTGCTAATCGAATTGTGATAGTAATTGTGCAACCTGTTAGACCACAACGACATATTGCTTAACTTGCGATTCAGGCAATTATTTAAATTCATCAACTCATTAGTGCTAGTCAAATTGTGATAGTAATTGTTTGACTTGTCAAAATACAACCACGTAATGTTTAACATGTGATTCAGGAAATTATTTAAATTCATCAACTCATTAATGCGAATCAAGCTGTGATAGCAATTGCTCCACTTGTTAGACGACAACTACATATTGCATAACTTGTGATACAGGTAATTATTTGAATTTATTCACTCATTTTTGCTAACCAAGTTGTGATAGTAATTGCTTGACTTGTTAAAACACAACAATATATTGTTTATCGTGTGATTCTGGCAATACATTGAATGCAACAACTCATTAATGTGAGTTAACTTGTGATAGTAATTGTCTAACTTGCTAGACTACATCAACTCATTGCTTATCTTGTGATTCTGGTAAATATTTAAATTCATCAACTCATTAATGCGAATCAAGCTGTGATAGCAATTGTTTGACTTGTCAAAATACAACAACATATTGTGTATCTTGTGATTCTGGTAATTATTTTAAATTCTTCAAATCATTAATGCCAATCCAGTTGCGATAGCAATTGCCTGACTTGTTAAAACACAACAACATATTGTTTGTCTTGTGACTCTGGTAATTTTTTAAATTCATCAACTCATTAATGCTCATCAAGTTGTGATAGCAATTGTTTGACCTGTTAAACGACGACAACATTTTGTATATCATGTGATACGGGTTAGTTGTTAAATGTAGGAACTCATTAATGCTAATCAAGCTGTGATAGCAATTGCCTGACTTGTTAAAATACAACTACATACTGTTTATCTTGTGACTCTGGTAATTATTTAAATTCATCCACTAATCAATGCTCATCAAGTTGTGATAGTAATTGCGCAACTTGCTAAAATACAACAACCTACTGCTTATCTTGCGATTCAGGTAATTATTTAAACGAATCAACTCATTAATGCTAATCAAGTTGTGATAGTAATTGTGCAACTTGTTTAAATAAAACAACCAATTGTTTAACTTGTGATTCTGGCAATTACTTAAATGAATCCATAAATCGATGTTAATCGAGTTGTGATACTAATTGTTTGACCTGTTAAAATTCAACCACATATTGCTTATCTTGTGATTCTGGATATTCATTAAACTCAACAACTCATTTATGTGTGTTTACTTGTGATAGCAATTGCTTGACTTGTTAGACTACACCAACTAATTGTTTATCTTGTGATTCAGGAAATTATTTAAATATATTAACTCACCAATGTTAATCTACTTGTGATAGTAATTGCTAAACATGTTAAACTACAACCACACAATGTTTAACATGTGATTCTGGAAATTATTTAAATTCATCAACTAATTAATGTCAATCAAGTTGCGATAGTAATTGCGCAACTTGTTTAACTACTACAACGTATTGTTTATCTTGTGATTCTGGGAATTATTTAAATTTATCAACCCATCAATGTTAATCAACTTGCGATAGTAATTGCGCAACTTGTTAAACTACAACAACATATTGTTTAACATGTGATTCTGGGAATTATTTAAATTCGTCAACGAATCAATGTTAATCAAGTTGCGATTCCAATTGCCTGACTTGTTAAAATACAACTGCATACTGTTTATCCTGTGACTCTGGTAATTATTTAAATTCATCCACTAATCAATGCTCATCAAATTGTGATAGTAATTGTGCAACTTGTTAAAATACAACAACCTACTGCTTGTCTTGCGATTCAGGTAATTATTTAAACGAATCAACTCATACATGTTAATCAACTTGCGATAGCAATTGTTTAACTTGTTAGTCTACAATAATATATTGTTTATCATGTGATTCAGGAAATTATTTAAATTTATCAACCCATCAATGCTAATCGAGTTGTGATACTAATTGTTTGACTTGTTAAAATTCAACTACATATTGTTTATCCTGCGATTCTGGATATTAATTAAACTCATCAACTCATTAATGTGAGTTAATTTGTGATAGTAATTGCTTGACTTGTTAGACTACACCAACTAATTGTTTATCTTGTGATTCAGGAAATTATTTAAATTTATCAACTCACCAATGTTAATCTACTTGTGATAGTAATTGCTAAACTTGTTAAACTACAACCACACAGTGTTTAACATGTGATTCTGGAAATTATTTAAATTCATCAACTAATTAATGTTAATCAAGTTGTGATAGCAATTGTTTGACTTGTTAAAATACAACAACCTATTGTTTATCCTGTGACTCTGGTAATTATTTAAATTCATCAACTCATCAATGCTCATCAAGTTGTGATAGTAATTGCGCAACTTGCTAAAATACCACAACCTACTGCTTGTCTTGCGATTCAGGTAATTATTTAAACGAATCAACTCATTCATGTTAATCAACTTGCGATAGCAATTGTTTAACTTGTTAGTCTACAATAATATATTGTTTATCATGTGATTCAGGAAATTATTTAAATTTATCAACCCATCAATGCTAATCGAGTTGTGATACTAATTGTTTGACTTGTTAAAATTCAACTACATATTGTTTATCATGTGACACAGGATATTATTTAGACGAATCCACTCATTAATGCTCATCAAACTGTGATTCAAATTGCTAATAATGTTCAATTACAACTACTCATTGCACACAATGCTTCTCAAATTTTGTTTTGGATAATACTACTTTTTAGTGTATTTTTGTTTGTGATTCAAATTGTTTAACATGTTAAACAACTTAAACCAATTGTTTAACATGTAACTCTGGAATGTACTTAAATGAAGTTACTCATCAATGTTAGTCTTCTTGTGATATTAATTGCCTCACTTGTGTTGATACTACAACTCATTGTCAAACTTGTAACTCAGGAGAATACCATAAATACATCAACTAACTAATGTGTTTCTTCTTGTGATCTAAATTGCTTAACCTGTTCAAGCTCACCCACTTATTGTTTAACTTGTGATGTAGGATCTTATTTAAATATATCTAATCATCAATGCTAATCTGTTTGTGAATCAAATTGTGCGACATGCTAGACTCTATCAACATTTTGCTTAACATGTACAATTGGAATGTATTTGGATTAAGCAACAAATATATGTGAGTCTAATTGCGATGCTAATTGTGCAACATGCCAAACAACTACAACTCATTGTTTAACTTGTAATTCAGGTATGTACTTAAATCCAAGCACAAATTTATGCTAATCAACCTGTGATAGTAATTGCTTAACTTGTTAAGGCACAACAACATATTGTTTGTTGTGTAATGTTGGATAATATTTAAATGTATCAAATAATTAATGCCAATCTACTTGTGATTCAAATTGTGCTACTTGTTAGACTTTAACAACTGAGTGCCTCTCATGTCAGAGTGGCTGGGAATTAAGAGGTTCTGGTACAGTTTGTTATATCATATGTGATTCAAATTGTAAAACCTGCGAAACAACTGCTGTTAATTGTCTTACTTGTTATGACTTGATGTATTTAAATGTATCGAATAATCAATGTTAATCTACTTGCGACCCAAATTGTGCTACTTGTCAAGATACGACAATTCATTGTTTGACATGCGATTCAGGAATGTATTTAAACCCATCAAGCCATTAATGTTAATCTACTTGCGATACAAATTGTGCTACTTGCTAAACAACAACTACTCATTGCTTAACATGTAATCCTGGTTTATATGAAAATCCTTCAACTTAATATTGTGATGCCAATTGCGATGCAAATTGTGCGACATGCCAAAATTTAACAAATTATTGTTTAACTTGTGCTTCTGGGAAATATTTTAATTCATTAACAAATTATTGTGATTCAACTTGTGATGCTAATTGTGCTACTTGTTCAGGCACAACAATCAATTGCGTATCCTGCGTTGTTGGATAATATTTGAATTCAACTACAAAAGTATGCCAATCCACTTGCGATGCTACTTGTGATACTTGTTAAGGCACTACTACTTATTGTCTAACTTGTTAAGCTGGAAAATATTTATTATTATCAAATAATACATGCTCGGCAAGTTGCGACCCAACTTGCTTGACCTGTTAAACCACTACAACTCATTGCCTCTCTTGTAACCCTGGAGAATATTTGAATCCATCTAATAATCAATGCTAATCTTCTTGTGATCCAAATTGCGACACATGTTAAACAACTACCAATCATTGTTTAACTTGTTTCCCAGCTAATTTGTTGAATTTATCAAATAATACCTGCTAGAATACTTGTGATGCTAATTGTGCTACATGCTAAACTTATGCAAATTATTGTTTAACTTGTAATATTGGAATGTATATGAATTCATCAGCACATACATGCTCATCAACATGTGATGCTATTTGTGCAACTTGTCTCTCAACAACTACGCACTGCTTGACTTGTAATGCAGGCATGTATTTAAATGAGACTACAAATCTTTGCTAATCCACTTGTGACTCAAATTGTTTGACATGTTAAACTACAACTACTAGATGTTTAACTTGTAACACCAACTATTACTTAAATTTATCAAATAATATTTGCTAAAACACTTGCGATGCAAATTGTTTGACATGTTAAGTAACTACAATAAAATGCAAGACTTGTAATGCAGGGATGTATTTTAATAAATCAAGCTTTATATGCCAACCTTCTTGTGATATAAATTGTGCTACTTGTTTGATAACAACAACTAATTGTTTAAGTTGCCCAGCAGGAACTTACTTAAATGAAACTAATAATACATGTGTAAATACATGTAATTCAAATTGTGCAACTTGTGATATTACCACAACCCATTGTTTAACATGTTTTTCAGGATTTTAATTAGATACAAGTACAAATAAATGCACTGTTGTTTGTGATTCAAATTGTGCAACTTGCTTCAGCTAGCCAACACTTTGTACCTCTTGTTTTGATGGAATTTATCTCAATAAAACCACAAATGTGTGTCAAACTGATTGTGATACGAATTGTTTAACATGCACAATTTCAACAACAAATTGTTAATCTTGCTATGATGGTTATAAATTAAATGAAACTACATTTGTTTGCGATTTAATATGCACAGATAATTGTTAAAGTTGTGTGATAGATCCATCACATTGCACTACTTGCTTTGATTTGATGTATGTTAACCTTTCAAATCACGTTTGCGAGTCAGCATGCAACGTCAATTGTGCAACATGCAAAGACACAACTACAAATTGCTTGACATGCAGTTCAGGATTGTATTTAGATAATATCACAGTCACAACTTCTGGTGTTTGTTTAGTATGTCATCCTCCATGTGCCGTTTGCTAATCTCCATCACAAGTAGAAGTATGTGTTGATTGTTAATATCATTATTATCTGGATAATACTTCAACATGTTAAGCCTGTCATCCTACTTGCTACAAATGTACAGGAACTGCAGATGTTTAATGTTCTGAATGTGCTCCAGGAGATTTTTTAGTTGTATCTGGAACTGATAAAACTTGTCATTCATGCACATAGCCCTGTTTTGAATGTTCTTCAGATTCAGTCTGCTTATCTTGCATTCCATAATATTTTCTAAGTGGAACTATTTGTTTACCCTGCACTCCACCTTGTTTTAACTGTGCCACAACAACGTCAACCTGTGTAGATTGCTTTTTAAGTGATTTTAGAGGTGTCGTTAGTGATGTTTGTGTTTGTCTACCTCATTATTATGATCAAAATAATGGTGACAGTGTGTGCCTAATTTGTGATGCTAATTGTAAGACATGTGTTGATGTACCTACTTAATGTACAAGTTGTGAAAATGGATTTTATCTGGATGGCACTACTTGTAATGCTTGTGACATATAATGTAAAACTTGTTAAACCTCAGCAACAAACTGTACTTCATGCGATTTTGATGTTTATTTGAGAACTTTATATAATAACTAATGTATTTGTGATGATGGATTGTACTATTCTGATGCTTAACTTATATGTACAGCTTGCGTTTCACCATGCTATACTTGTTTGAGTGGTAAAGATGGTAATGGAGTAAACTATGATGGAAATTAATGTGTAACCTGTCTGCCTGATAATAATAGAGCTGTTAATAACACCACTAAAACTTGTCCTTGTCAAATAGGATTTTTTGATGCCGGGTATTTAGTATGTTAAGCTTGTACTTCTTATTGTGTTTCATGTTTAACGGATGAGTTGGATTGTGATTAATGTAAACCATCCACATTCAGAGATCCTGTCAAAAAATGCTAATGCTAAGATGGTTACTTTGGAACAGATCTTGTATGTTAACCTTGCTCCTTTCCTTGTTTCCAATGCGAGTTGTAAAGCGATAGGTGCATAGCATGTGCAGTTGGGAGAGTATTAAATGGTAATACATGTGATTGTGCTTACGGATTTTATGAAGATTCTGATGGAACTTGTTAAAGCTGTTAGAGTCCTTGTGCGTCATGTGTCACTCTTCCAACATTTTGTTATAGTTGTGTTGCTGGATATTATCAGCCACTCGGTGAATTATAATGTTTATCTTGTGTTGTACCTTGTGAATATTGTAATCCCAATGATGGTGAAAATTGTACAACTTGTCTTCCAAATTAAAATCGACAAGTCAAAAATTAAGTCTGCGTTTGTAAACCATCTTACTATTAAATGGATAATGTGACTCCATGCATCGCTTGTGAAAGTACATGCTATAATTGTGAAAATAATGGAGATGGCACTCAATGTACTGAATGCAGAGCAGGGGATAATAGAACGTTAAATGCAAGTAAGTAATGCGTTTGTAACCCCAATCATTTTTCATAAAGCTCATCTCCAGTCTGTGCACCATGTATAGCTCCATGCTTATCTTGCATCGTTTCTTAAGCATCACCACCACCTGATGGTACTCAATGTCTTACTTGCTAAACGGGATAACACAGAGTAATTGATCTTGTTAACAATAAATGTCCTTGTGATAGTGGATATTACGAAACTACTGGAGTAGTATTGTGTAGTTTGTGTATATCTCCTTGCTTAGAATGCATAGATAATGGAACTGGAAATGAATGTACATCTTGTGTTGCTGGTTCAAACCGTGTTGCTGTCGCATAAGTCTGCGTATGTGGTGACGGATACTATTAGGTCGGCGCAAGTGTTACTTGTAGCTAATGTTATTACACTTGTTAAAAATGTTAGAATTTACCCACAGAATGCCATTAGTGTGATCCTTTAAAACATCGTTTACTTTCTGGTTCGACTTGCATATGTTAAGATAATTATTATGATAATTTGATGAATGATTCAGATTGCAAACCTTGTACAAGCCCCTGTGAATAATGTTACACTTTCGCAGATGGAACTAAATGCAAAACATGCTTGACTGGAATGAATAGACATTTTTCTAATTTTTAATGCATTTGCGATGATGGATACTTTGAAAACAATGGTATATGCAGTCTTTGTCACGTCACTTGTTTAACTTGTACATCATAATCTACATGTCAAACATGCGACCTTACTAAATATGACTAACTTCCATCCAAAAATGGCTTGGCTTGTGTATGTAAATAAGGATTTGAAATGAATTAAACAGGACAATGTATATAATCCTGCCCTATGGATTGTTTAACTTGCAATGTTAATACCTGTTTAACTTGTAATAGTAACAGAGTCTTATTAAATGGAAGGTGTGTTTGTACTTTACCTGATAACACCAGATTTTGCAGAGCTTCTTGCTCAGAGATTAACTTTGGAAAACTAGCTACATCTTTACCTTCTCCAAGTTCGAACAATTTAATTGATTATCTGAATGCTAATTCATTATCTCCTACTGATATAGAAATGGACGCTCTTATTGACTCTTCTATTTCATGTTCTCTTCAAAGTTAGCTTGAATAAGGTATTATTTCAACTGATAAAAATAACCATAATTCTCTACTGCTTAAATAATAAGAGATTCAAATTGATCAAAGTCCTTTTGGCAATTAAGCTTCCTATTTTCATTTTCTCAAGGACAATGTTCGATATTTACTCTTCTAAAAAGATGCTACTGTCTTAAACTTAAGAATGGAATACAAATTTACTGTAGTTGCAGATAGTGAAAATATTCAAAGCAATGTTGTACCCAAATCATCTCTCAATTAATAAATTGTGACATTCAATATTGATTATTTATATACAGTTGTATTGGTGTTCACTTACAACATCAACAATCCTCCAACTATTACAAGTTCCATCATAAGCAATGTTTATTAATTAAATATTCAATTCAGTTCATCTTAACCAGTTATTTTATTAACAGAATTTTATGAAAACAGTGCAACCTTTAGTGCTGCTACAAATGCATAATTAATAGCTGTAGCAAATTATATAGGCCAATTATATTGGTAGGGCATAGCATTCGAATGCACACCTCACCCTAAGAATACCAAATAAATGTTTTGGGAAAATCATCAATTTTTACTTGAAGTTATACCAACTAATTTATTGCCATTAAAAGTAACAGATGGATCCAATTATATTTCAACAGCATTGTCTTCAAGTAAATTCAGTGGAAATAGTGCATTGATTTAATTAAATAATGTAGATGTTAATTATTAGACTACATCTATACAATATGATAGTAGTGGATTCTCATATTTCACTGTCTAATTTCCAGAAATATTAGTCTTTGGTTTGCACATGCTATCATAATTCATATTCAATCAATTTACAATATAACATTTTATTACTAGTGGATATTAAATTAGCACATAACAACTTACATATACTAGCAATAATTACCAATTTGTAGGATATATGGTTGATATATATGGTACAACATCTGTTAAGACTTTGATATTCGGTTACAACTAAGGACACACATTTAATGTAGTTTAAAATGCAAATAATGTTTTGATAACGGTGAGTGGAGCTAATGTCAAATAGATTAATTTTGCTGTTATGGCTTTTGATGATACATTAATAAATAATTCTTATCAAACCATTTTTGAATAATACATAAAATTGTTAATAAAATCAATTGAATTATCGACTAGAACACCATTAAGATATGTCAATCAATATTGGGTTTAGAATCCTTTATCAATACCTGGGACATTTGAAGCATTAACTGAATAAATAGGAGGATACTTTATAAGTAAAGGAACAAATGCAATAAATACTAAATTTCCCTTTGATATTTCTCATAAGATAAGCACAGATCTTAAATAAAATATTATCTATACTAATGGATATTTAGTAAATGGAGATTCTGCCTTTGGTAAATTAACTAAGTACTTTACATAAGCTAATAATAAGTTTGTTTTAGGGGCATAATTAAATAATATTCTGTATATTTCAATTTCAATGGCTTCAACAGATACATTTGTATCATGTTCATAATCAGAAACTTTGTATAAAGACATCTATGCTTACATAAGTTTGTGTAAGAGGACTGAAACTTAAGTTTATTAAATATTTATCATCAATTTGAATGAATATGATGGTTCTATTGTATTATCATAAAGTAGTACTGAAGTAAAGATAAGCAATATTCAAAAAATCAAATAAATATATTACTTAATGGTATTATCTAAAAGTTCAAATAATTTAAATACTTATGCTATTATTTAGGATATTTATCAAGGAGTCTTAAAGTCCACTGGATATTTTGGATTTGATTTTCAGTGTTAAACTTATAATAATGATTTATAATGTGATATATTTAGAAATGGGTATTAGACATCTATGAACAATGAATTTGATCCATTATAACACTTAGTTACTGATGTTGAAAATATGAATGGTAAGAAATGCAGTTATTTTAATTTTGATAATGCTGTTACTGTTCTTAAAAACTATTAGGTTCCCTTAGATGCTTTGCTAAATGCTTTGGTTTAAAATAACTACTAGGCACTGGTAGCAGATAATAACTATCAATATGATGCGTTAATATTAGGTAAATTAACTTCCTCTTCACAACCAAGCACTTACATTGATGTACCTTAAGCAGGTGTAAGTGAAATTTAAAAAATTACTCCAAAATATTTTGGAGCATAATCCCAAATTTATTAGTTTACAATTAATGCAGTATCAGTGACACTTATCGAAACTAAAATCGATGAAATTATTATTTATAACAAACTTATTCCAAGCAATAAAGGAAAATTAGATCTTTCTACATCATATTTTAGTGAGTATGGAATTGTATTTTAATCAATATGCTACACAACATATGATTCTTAATTATTTCCAAATACCTACGAATGCTTTATTCGACCATTAAATCCATAATTTGATACAATCAACACAATTGTCACACCTCCTCTTAAAGATTTAACTTATAAAATATAACAATAGGATAACATATTCTTAATTTATTTACTTTTTGCAGATTTTGGAGCTATCCCATAGCCAAGTGATGTTGTTTAATCAATAAGTCTAGCAATATATGAATAAGTTTTGAATTCAGTTTAGAATGATCAATGTAAATGTTGGGGGAGATACAGATAAAAAGAGAATAATTGTAGATGTTAAGATGGATATTATCCACCAGCAGATACAGCATTTGGGTTACTTGATTGCTAACCCTGTGATTATAAGTGTCAAACATGCTAGTTTTCTAAAACATAATGTATAAGTTGTCCACTGAATTCAAACAGAAAATTAGATCTAAATTTGTTTACTTGTGAATGTAAACCAGGTTTTTTAGAATTAGGTGTTATTATCTGTAGTCCATGTCACTATTCTTGTGGAAAATGCATTACAATCCCTACTAAATGTAGTGAGTGCGACCCTCTATATCATAGGACTTGGGATAGTACCAACTTTTTATGTCTTTGTAATGATGGATATTATGATGATGGAGTCAGTTAAATTTGTGCAAATTGTGATCATAGTTGTAGTAAATGTTCATTAGCAGGTAAAGTATGTTAAACCTGCGTATTATCTGTTTTTAGAACTCAATAACCAGATAATACATGTCCATGTGATCCTGGATATTATGATGATGGTGTTAATGCTTTATGTTAGCCATGTGATTATACTTGTTCAACATGTGTAGATACAGCAACTAAATGCACTGGATGTAAGATCAACTCACATAGATCTTTATCTAATAATGAATGCATTTGTGATACTCATTACTATCATATACATCTAACTTGGGATTGTTAACAATGTTCAATTTATTGCAATAATTGCACAGGGCCAACGAGGACAGAGTGTTCTGATTGCTAAGCGCTTTAGTTTAGAGAATTGATAGTTACAAGTTGTCAGTGTATGGCTGGATATTTTAAGGATACTTTAGATTCCGTCATCTGTCCATAATGCGATTATCCGTGCAAAACTTGTAAGGTGATGAGCAATTAGTGTTAATCTTGTGAACCAACATTTAATAGATTATTTGATTCATTTAATAAACGATGTTATTGCAAGGATGGTTATTTTGATGATGGTACAAATGCATAATGTTAACCATGTTCATATAGATGCAGAACTTGTGTAACTAATTAAGATAAATGTTTGAGTTGCCCATTAAATACGAATAGAAAATACGACTCTGTAAAGAACACATGTAAGTGTTAGTCATCATATTCTGATATTGGTTTTGCTGCTTGTATGAAATGCAGTGCTAGTTGCTAGGAGTGTTAAACTCTACCAACATTTTGTCTTCAATGCAACACAAATAAAACATTTAGAATAGACAAGAGCGGCATCAATAACACTTGTCCTTGTTAAGATGGCTATTATGATGACGGAATGAATACTGTGTGTAAATTGTGCCATCCTTAATGTAACACTTGCTCTCAATTCCAAGTATGCACTTCATGTAATATCACATATGGAAGAGTGGATAAAAGTAGTATAGATAATACTTGTCCATGCAATGATGGATTCTATGATGACAATCTTAATAAATAATGTCAGAATTGCCACTACTCCTGTTTGACTTGCATGGAGAAAAACACAAAATGTGTTAAGTGCAATACTAGTGGAACCTAGAGAGTGAAGGCAACAGACTCATGTCCTTGCGGTGCAGGATATTACGATAATGGCAATTTGATTTGTGATGTTTGTAATTATAAATGCTAAACCTGTTAATAATAGAGCACTTACTGTACTTCATGTCCTACGAGTAGATAGGGTACAAGTTGTGATTGTAAAATTGGATATATTGAAAGTGGAGTTAAATAATGCACAGCTTGTTACTTTAAATGTGGACTTTGTACTCTCAGTGATTTGAATACTTGTTTAGCCTGCAATTTAAATAGAATCAATTTACCAATTTGTGATTGTGATAATGGGTTTTACGAATTGAATAATGAATGCTTAGCTTGTCCTAATAAATGCTAAGCTTGTGATACTACAGCTACTTGTTAAAATTGCAAGGGAGATCGACTTAATAATCCAGTGTGCTATTGTCCTGATGGGTATTATGAAGACGAAGTCTCCATCAATTGTTAAGTCTGTTTCGGAAATTGTTCTACTTGCAACAAAGACAATTGTCTCACTTGCAAAGGAAATAGAATTTTAGAACCCTTATAATGCACATGTCCTCCAAATTCAATTTCTCATATAGAAACACCATATTGTTCAGATTGCAATGTTGCTGTAATCTCTGCTTAATTCAGCAGTGACTTAAGTATAATTTATTTTTACTTTCCATTCAATGTACAATTTGTATCAACCAAGAAAGTAACACCCTATTAAGCTTGCTCCTAAATATTTAACCCAAGTACATTTTAAACACTCGGAAGTGCTCCCTTATGTTCAGTAATATAAGAAAAAATCTTGATTGTAGAATTATCTGAGCAAAGTAGCATAACCATAACTACAGTAATATAATTTAACACTGATATTTTGTTAAAAACTGGATGCAGCGCTGCGATATCGACATTTGTTTTGATTAATTTCTCTTACAATCCTGTGAAAATGGAGCCTTTATTCGAATTAACAACATATAGTGATCCACTTACACTTTGTTAAGATATTCCAATAAATATAATCAATAAATTTGTTGATGGAAAAAGAAATTTAACTGAGATAACTTGGAGCATTGTAAAAATGTATCCATAAACCTCATCGGTCTCTCAGTATTTAACTAGTCTTTTTGCAGATGCTAATGCCAATAATTTATAATCCATTACAATCTAATTTCTTTCTTTAAGTGAATATGGCACATATGTAATTTAGCTAAAAGCAAAAAATTTTAGAGATTAAGTTTATACTGCACAAACAACAATCCAAACTGAATCATATGAGTCCCCCATCATTAAAATTGATCCAGATTAATAATATACATTCGGTAGATGGGAAGACTTATCATTCACTGTAACCCTTAAACATTTATCATGCTATACCAGCTCTGTTGTTGAAATTTTTGATGCAATCAGAGTTAATTGGACAGAAATTGCTAAGACTCCAAAAGATACTCCAAGTGTACTCAAGGATTCTTTCATCTCTGAAACGGATGGTATGACATTTTTGAACACTTTGAGAATACCAGCTTATACAGCAGCTGTTAATTCCACTTACACACTTTAAGTTACAGCATCATTAACTAATAAACCAATTAAGACATCAATATAATTTACAATAAAAATAATTAGTAGTCCTATGCAGGCTTATATTTAAGGTGGAACAAGAACTTAATCTTTTAATGATTATGCAGTCCTGAATGGATTCTGTAGAGATCCTGATCTTGAATATCCATGGAACAAAGATCCAGATATTACATTTAATTGGAGATGTATCAATCTAGCTACTAGCGAAAGTTGCACAGATTCAAATAAAGAGGCTTTAGAGTTAAACGTAACTGATGCTACCCAGACATTTAAACCTAGAGTGTTAGATCCTTATTAACCACTTTAATTTGTTATGAGAAATACTAAATATTCAACTATATTGATTACTTAAATTATCCTATTAGTTATTGAAAATGATTTGCCTAATATTTAAGTAAGTTACCCATCAGGATATGATGGTAGGTAAATATTATTGCATGAAGAACTCAATTTTACATTAGCCACTTCAGTTGATCCTGATTCATTAAAGTACTTTTGCTAAATTGTTTATAATTACAATATTGTGGCATCCTTTACGTTTAAATTCTTATAAGTCAAGTTTCGTATTTGGGATTATTGGGAAGATACTGATACATCAATTAATGGAATCCAAATTAAAATGGCTGCCAAAGATATTTATCATTATATGCCATCCACATCCTCTGTTAATTTATTATTAAACATACCACCCAATGATTGTAAATTTATAATTACCCCATCATCAGGAACATCTATTACTGACTTATTTGTTCTATCAGTCGTAAATTGCTATGATCCCTAGCTTCCTTTATAATATCAATTTCATATTTATTCTAGTTAGAAAACATTAGATAATGATAATTTAATAGGAGAAACAATAAATAAAAAGTCAATAACAGATAAATAATCAAGTTCTTAATTGTAATTAGTATTGCCAACACCTATAAATCTAGATAATAGTATTGCTTATGAATTAGTGCTTGTAGCTAGTATTTATGATAATAATAATGGAATGAAAAACCTAACCAAAACTGTTAAAGTTAATAGTATTTATCAAAAAGTAGAAACTTCAGATTTCCAATCTGTTTTATTGTAAATCAGAAGAGCACTTAAATTAAGTGAAACTATAGATGAGTCAACTCTTCCTTCATTATTCATTGGTAGCTAAGAATTATCAACTCTCTATAATTAATTGTAACCAGAAAAATAGGCACAAATGAAGAGTATTCTTAAAGATATTTATTCTATTCTATCATCATTTTAAGGTAAAATGACTAGTAAAGTATTGGAAGAATCACTTTTATCATCAATAGCAGCTATTGGTAGAACTGGTATCACTTATGAAATGGAAGGAGCGAGTGTTGTTGACTTCTACACAATTAAGCAATAACTGAAGAAAACTTTTAAATAGTTAAATAGATAAATAAATGATTTGGATTATTTTCTACAATAAAAATAGAAATCAGGAGGATCAACATCAAAATTTGAAGATGCAATCAAAGCTTTAGATAATACACTTCTTAATAGTGGTTTTGTGACTGATACATTATTTAATGCTATAAAAGCTAATTCATTTTAAGGAGCAGATATTACAGAATCAGATGTTAACTCATTAAAAGAATAAATTCAATAAATAAATAAATTAGTAGCAATAGCCACTTTAAAGAGAAGTTTAGCCAATGAAAAGCCTAGATAGTATGCAGGTTAATAAATGGGTATGTAGGCCTATAAATCAACACCTGCTTAAATTACAAAAATATTAAGTGGATCAATAACACCTAGGTTTTTTGGAAGCAGCTCTGATACATCAAGTACTGATTTATAAGGATCTGGGAGCGATGATAACTTGAATTTAGAAGAGGAAGCAGATGAAATAAATTATGATGAATATCTTTCTATGTTAAATGGAACCAACAGTACAAATAGCACTAATAGTACGAATAGCACAAATAGTACAAATTCAGGAAATAAGAGAAGACTCCTTTAATTTGTTGAATGGATTTAAAATAAAAATAATCTTCATTATTTAAGAAACTTATAATAAATAGATCCTACTACTGTAAAATAATATGAAGTCAGTATGTCTAATTATGCTACAAGTCCAAATTTGAATGATCCTAAATTTAAATCATAACTTAATGTTAATCAAACTAATGAAGTTACCAATTCATCAAATATTACTCATGATTAATCCATCATTAGCAATTTTGGTACTATTTAACCGAATATCACAATGACAGAGAACGGTAATAGCACAGAAATAAAAAGTCTTGAAGGCCAATCCATTAAATTATCATTTTCTGCTCCATAAAATGATAGTGCCAATTCAACTATGGAATGTGTATCTGAATTGAAAGATACATGGGATACTGGTACATGTAAAATAAAGAAAGATGTGGATTCTAAAGGTAATATTGCATACGTTTGTGATTGTGTTGTCGTTAATCCAACAACAGTCATCACAAAATTAGATAGTTTTATTTCAAACAAGTTAGACTCAGTATTTAATGCTGATTCTTTGAACATCTTTTTATAAATTTAATTTTGGAAATATGCCATTTTCTACATTGCTATTGGATTTACAGGTGCTTATGTTGCACTCATGGTCATAGGATTAAGGAAGGATAATTAAGATTTTATAGAAGAAATCACCAAAGAATTAAATGTAAACACCAATCTAAATCCTAATTTGCAAAATTTAAAGAAAGAGATTCATGACATAGTTATAGAAGAGAAAAGCATGGAAGATTCAGTGGAACAGGAAGAAGAAGGATAACCAGTTATTCAATCTGGTGAATTTGCTAGATTAGCTTTGCTATCTTTAAAAGCTCCAGATAATGCAGATTTTAAATAAGATGAAGAAGGGAAACTAATTGGTGGTTCTGACGAAGAACATGCAGGATTGAATCAGAATGACATTTATCGATTATAAGTAGAACGAAATAGGGCTAAAATCAATTTTAAGTAAGTACAAGATTAGTTACAGCAACATTAACTTTATAATCCCTCAACAAATAAACATTAAATACAAGCAAAAGAATTATCAAATGTAATAAAAAATGTTTATACAATTCATGATTTAAAATATCAACACGGTTAAGAAATCAAACTAAAGCCTTTAACATTAAAAGTTCTTTGGGAAGGAATATTAGTAACTATTATATTTATTAACAATAGACCCTTCATAGAGTATTATCAATATTGATGTTATATGATGATGTTATTAGTAGACCAGCTAGATTTGCTTTGATTTATGCCAAAACTATTTTAGTGTTAGCATTATCAGCATTATTTTCTGGTAACATGGGACCTGTTTACGCTACTATGATATCAGTTGGAATTGGATAAGTCATCAATGTGATTCTATCCATCATTACAGTTACAATGAAAGCATCTCCAATCCTCAAATTTTTAGGAATTTTAATAACGATTGCAATCTCTGCTGTTTGCTGGTTCATCGTATTGATGCTTTCTGCCAGCATGGAAGAGATCTAGGTATTTTGATATAAATATAATTATAGGCAAATATATGGGCAATTTAATTCGCATCAACATAAGTTATTGATCTAATCATTGCAGAATTCCTTATTATAACAATTAAACTTTCCATATATCCTTGGGCAATCAAAGCATTAAACAATCCAGATGAAAGTGCCTCTAAAATCCTAGCAAATTTAGTTTTTATAATAGTGGCACAACCTTAGATTTAAAAGTTCTTTGAGGTGGAAGATAAACCTGAAAGTAATCTAGAAGCTTGAAATTATATCAATTCTATTTTAATTATTCAAATTTAAATTATTTTACTAAATCCTTATCTTTTCGGGTCTTTTCTTAGACATAATTATTTCACATTATATTAAGTTGATTTAAAATTAATATTTAATGTATCTATCTTAAGTGTAAAATGGTTTATTCCTATTAATTAAAATATTGTTTCATAATCTTGTTATATTAGTTAAAATAGAAAATAAGTAAAATACCTAAACAGAGCCCCAGAAATAAGTTAATATTTAAAATTTGGATAATATTCATCTCAGTTCCTAGTGAGAGAGTAATGTTAAAAAAACATAAAAACGAATAAGTTCAGCAAAGCTATTGGTTAATTTCAAAAGCATGAATCAGACAATAAAATAATTTTATAAGGATAAGTTATTGACGATAGAATAATTAAGAAATATATAACCTTTTACAAGCTAATCTACGGGATATTAAGTTGGTAATGATTAGATTTATGGAGAAACAAGCCTTGCAAAACCACTTTTTTCTTTTATTAGCAATTCCAATTTTTAACTTAATCTAAAGTATTTTAACAATATATAATAACCACTTAAATAATCCAACTCTAAGGGTGAAGAAACTTGGAGTTTTCAGAGTACATAATTACTATATCTGTTGATTCAATAATAAAATATGCTAAATGAAATATTCTAACAAATGGAGAAAAGATTTAATTTATTAATTATTATTTATAAATATGGGTGATTAAAGAAATGTGTCATCAGATGATTTGATTTATTACTTCCAGATAAATTACTTGCATTAAATGAGAAGAAAAACAAAACATTAAATCCATTAACCACAACTCTTTGAAACAAAAATTACTAAATCAAATTCATCTCACATACCACCTACCATTTTAAATTCATAAAATCTATTTCATACTTCTGTAAAGAACGTTAAACTAAAACCGGAGAATAATAAATTATAATTTAAAGCATCAAGCATTTCAACGAAGTAGCTGAACTAAATTTTCGTAAATAATAGAAACATAATAAGAAGGCACAGAGTTTCTACAATATAAAATCAACCTGATAGGTGTCTAGATTCTTTGATAACTAGAAAAAAAAGTACTAATTTCAATTTCACAGAAACTAGCTAAAAAAGAATTTTGGGTAGTTTATAAATGTAATTAGAGAGAAGTGTGATTGGCTATCGAAACCAATTAAAATTAATATAGAAAAAACTAGAATTTAATAAATGAGACATAATACAATTATTGGAGAGACTTTTAAAAATTTGAATGGTTGGCAGATAGAAAATGAATATGATTATGACTTTTGAGAAAAGAGGAGGAGTGTAATTTTGAATTTAATTATTATTTGATTGTTAATTTGATATCAATTTAGTATTTCTTTCTTTATGAAATAATTGATTTGTCGAAATGTTTAATATAATTATATTATTAATTATTTTTCTAAATGAATTTTTGTCCGATATGCTCAAATTTTTTATCTTTAGAGAATGAATCTAGTACAGGATATCGATTAAAATGCCCTGGATGCGTTTATTATCACCCATTAAAGGAAATGAGATTAACAAAAACATTTTAATCCAAAGAGCCTGCTCCTATCACATATCCATAATAAAATAAATAAATTACTGATGAATAATGCGACAAATGTGGATGTCTCAAAGCCTTCTTTTGGGAATTCTAAACTAGAGGAGCAGACGAATAGAGTACCATATCATTTGAATGCATAAAATGTGGTCATAAGTGGAAGAATGATAGATGAGTATTCTAAACATTTTGTTTTTGTATAATTTGAACATTCTATAATTCATTTCATAATTTTAGATCAACATAAAAGGTTTTGAGAAGATCAATAAGTTTCTTAAAGGTTTTTTGCAGATCATCGTTTAATAGTTCATTATAGAATCCTAATTAATGTGCTTTCTCTATCTCTTTTTGTGCATTTTTCATTCTTTTCTCAATGACTTCCTCTGTCTCTGTTCCTCTTCCAGTTAGTCTCTTTCTCAATTCCTCAACAGATGGTGCATTAATGAAAATATAATTACACTGATTTGGCATAGATTTGCTAATTTTTTCAGCACCTTAAACATCTATTTCAATCACACAGACTTATCCTTACTTCATCACTTTTTGCACTTGAGCCAAATGAGTCCCATAATAATTTCCGTGCACTTCACTATATTCTAAAAATGCCTTCTTTTCAATTTCTTTCTAGAACTCCTCTTTGCTAACAAAATAATAGTGTTATCCATGAACTTCACCAGGCCTTGGTGCTCTTGTTGTGTAGCTCACACTAAATACAAATTATTGTGGATATTGTTTAAAAAGCATCTATAATAAAGTTCCCTATTAGGAACAATTAATAACTTAAAATTACTTTTCCAACTCCACTGGCCCCTGAAATAACTAAAGGCTTGCAAGTCTTAAGATCTTTTTCTTGATTAAAGAAACTGAAGTATTCTTTAGCATATTGATAAACATTATCAGGCTGAAATATTATTGAAAAGTTACTTTCTCCAAAATAATCTAACTTGTGAAATCATTTAATATCTAATTTAACTCTGGGTGCTTTTTCAAATATTCTATGTGTTCCTATTTGATTTCATGTTTAATGTGTAGAAAGTATGTCTGCAGTTCAGAGTCAAATTGTTATTAATCCATTTATTTATATATAAAAATTTATTCTCAACTAAAAATAATAAAGATTTGCATAATCAGAAATGCCTAATTCTATTATCCTTACCTAAATATTTATATAGTATTTAGCTTATTAAAACAATAATGATAAAAATAGATATTGATAGAAAACTAAAACATAAAACTAGTTATAAGAATTATAATCACATATTTTATATTAAAAAACATAAATAAACTCTACAAGATAAGTTTCATCCTTTTTTGATGAATTATATGTTTTATTTTTTAAATTTTAAATTTAAGTTGATAATTTCTAAGAATAAGAGCATATATGCCCTGCTAATAATGAAATTGAATAAATTTTCAAATTATAAAATTAAAGTAATTTATATTTAAATAGTACTTACCATTTGATTAAAACTAAAATCACAACAATAATATATGTTAATTATAGGAATGATCTATAATATTGGAATTATAATGAAAACCATTAGTGCAAAGAAGCTTAATTGAATAAGAATTATTATGCTTTTTTGTAATATAAATTATTAAATAATTGTTAATACATTATTATGAATTTTGAAAAAAAAAAAGATCAATTCTCATCTGATAAAATCGAAAACAATATTAGGCAAGCCTTCAATTTCTTATTTGGATAAGGAGCATATGAAATAGGATGTAAATTAATAAATAAATGAAGTTTTTTAGAGTACTTGGAAATAATCCATCGAAGTAAAAGGAAAAGAATATTATGATGCAGTTATTTCAGCCATTATGATTTAAGTAGTCAGAATAGCTGATGAAGGATCTGATCAACCAGCCACTCAATATATAGATTTAATCATACTCTTAATAGACGGATTAATATTTAATTTATATTCAAAAAATAAGTCTTCAGATAGGGCAAAAATACATCAAAGTTTATATTAAACAAGTTAATAATCACAGTTGGCTTTGCAATCTGGTAAAATAATGGAAAGCATTGGAAATTACGTTCCTTTAGATGTTAAAGTATTTGTTAAGGCCTTGGAAAGAATGGCGACTAGTTTTGAATTCTTTGAATCCTTAGACATTATGATGAATTATAACGATGCAGACTAAAATAAATTACAACTTAGTCATTTTGTTAACACTTTGGAATACATTTTAGAAAAAGAATAAGTTAGTGACCAAGTGTTGGATGATTATATTGCCAACAAAGGAAGAATTAGTAAATATATTATAGAAAGATAAAGTATGGCTGAGAGAGATGAGATTGAAGAAGTCAATAAGTTAATATTTAGCAATAAATTATTGATTATCAAGAAACTGTTATTCGTCAAGAATGACACTATAAATGTGAAAGAAGTGCATTTTACATTAGGTAGAATATATTTTGCAGCCTATTCAAAGAAAAGGACTAATTACAAGAGATCTTAGTTTTCTTAATTAAAATTCTAAGGGGAAGATATGATACACAATATATTTAAATAATACATTAATTCCTAAACTAAAAGGGATATGCTCTTCAAAGACTAGGATGATAGTGATCCTTACTTTTAATTTCTACTAAATTATATGCAATTGTTATACTCTCCTGTTTACTTTGAATTTTAACAACTACTTGATGACTTACTACTGCCAAACCATAAAATGGCTCCTCCTAAGTTTTTTGCTACTGTTTAACCAATAGTAGAAACTCAATTTATTTCCTTCTTTGCCACCTTACCTCCAGATCTCCTCAACCTCCTTGCCTAATTCAATTAGACCATACAGGATGCTCCTCATTTTACAGACAACCTCTAAGCTACCTTCCCTGTAAAGAACTTATTTATTTCCAAATTTTTATTGAATCCCAACCTTAAGGAATAATTTATAAATCAAGATTACAATATGGATCATTTTATTACTATAGCAAATCTATTTAAAGATCTTTTTTTTAACAACACTAATAGATCATATAGCAATTTACCTCAATTTTAGGAGATGTCCCAAAAACTAAAAAATATATTAGAAACATACATCACAAGTTTCGACAATGATGTATCTATTGATATTTATAGTTACTTTATCACTGATCCATTGTTGTAAAATGATTACAACTTCCTCTACAATTACTATCACAATAATATTAAGGTTCTACCCTCTGATATAAAGGATATTCATATGGATAAGTTTAACAGCTATATGCCTAAAAGAGTTTATGTTAAAGCTAATGAGAAAGGAGAGGACTAATAACAAAAACAAGATCAAAAAGACAAAGAAAATCAGTAAGATTAATAAGATCTTATCAATGCTGAAATAGCAGATGATGATAGATCTGATAAATCTAAAGGAAAACAATATGTGGGTCCTGATTATCAAGAGGATGAATTCTAAGGGGTAGAAAAAGTAGAAAAGGCAACTTAAACTGAAGTCTAAGAAGACGAAGACTTAAAAAATGCTGAAAAGTTTCAGCCTAATTTTAATGAAAAAAGTGTAATAAGTGATTAATCAGTAACTCCATTAGAATAAGAGGAGAAAGAAAAAATTCCTTAAAAAAAATAAGTAACCATCCCTTAATATAATGAATATTATGATATAGATGTTAGATAATAAGAAGAGAAGATCTAAGAAGACACGCATAAGTATTTAGAAGAAATCTAATAATTAAAAATTTAAATAGATGAACTGAAAGATCAACATAGTGATGCTATGGCATAGGTTGAGTTTGATCATAATTAATAAATCAAGAAAATGGTAATCTATTTAATATATTTAAAAGGAATTTGAATTAAATCAATCTAAATTAAGAAATGAAATGTTGGAGAATGAAGTCAAATTAAAAGATTTAGAAATAGAATAAAGGCATGATTAAATAGAAAAACTATTTGACGAAAAAGTCAACCTAAGTTATTAGTTACAAAAAGCACTAGATGAGAAAGAATTATTATAGAAACATTTTGAAGATTAAAATAGAGATTACAAAGAATAAACTAAGTAATTTGAATTGAAAGATTTGATGAGTGAGTTTGATACCTATCAAGCTTAAATCAATAAAAGAAAGAATGATCTAATGAAAGTAGCTATAGATCACGAAATTCAATAATAAAAACATTACAGAAAATTAAACATTTGAATATTATAATAATTATTATTATGATTTTTATTTTCTTCATAATTAGGAAGAACAAATTAACATAAATATAGTATAAATCAAGTTATCTCTTTTTATTTAAAGTTTTATTAACGCTTATAATTTGTTGAATGCAATATCTAAAGATAAATAAATATCTCTTAAAATTTATTCTTATTATGGATAAAGAAGTCTTCAGAAGATAAAATCTAAATTATTAATCTATTGGAAAGAGTTACTTTTATCAAAATATCACTATATATTAATTTAAGATATACATATGAAATTTAAAAAATATACATTTGATATTATAAATGGTGGCGAAAGGCTATTAGAGTTCAAAGATTAGAGTATATTTATAGAATTAAATCTTTGTAATAAAATTATTATTGAAATAAAAATAACACAAGAAAGTCCAATGAAATTGAAAATGAAATTTTTAAATTCTTAACAATAATTTGAATAGAGTTTCATCTTTAACATAATTTCTAATAATCTTAAAAACTATTTCTCTAGTATTTTTGGTGATATAATTAAAATTTTAATTTTTAAACATTAATTATGGGACTTCTTGATATTATTGAAGAGATAATAGATGATGACTTGCTTTTTATTTTAAAATATGGCTTAATAATTTCAAACTTTATCACCATTTTTGTCTTATTGTATTTCAAATCAAAGAAACAATAGGATTAGAAAGAAGTAATAATTGATATATTAGAAAAGGAAAATAAATCTGTTTTATTAGTCACAGCTCATCCTGATGATGAAGCAATGTTTTTTTTACCAACTATTAGCTATTTGCAAGATAACAATTACGAGATTCATTTAATGTGTTTATCAAATGGAAATGCTAATAAGATCGGAAAGATTAGAGAATCAGAATTAGAAAAGTGTTGTCAATACTTGAAGATAAAGAAAGTATATGATAATTTAACTTATTAAGTTAACCATTATAAATGATGAAGATTTATAAGATTCAATGACAGCTACGTGGCCTATAGAAAAAATTTAAAAAATTGTCTAGAAGTAAAATGAATTAGTTAATAGTATATAGATACATATATGAGAATAATATAAAGGGGATTATTACATTTGATAAACATGGTATTTCAGGCCATTTAAATCATATTGCCTGTTATAATGCAATATCTACAATGAAAAGAACAGAAGACCTGAAGGTGTTTGTCTTAGAGACCACTAATATATTTAGAAAGTATAGTTCATTTTTAGATTTCTTTGTCTCTTCCATCCTAAATGATAATCTAATGGTGAATCTAAATATGCTTAAGGCATGGAAGTCAATGCAAATCCACCATTCACAATTTGTGTGGTATAGAAAGCTATTTGTTGTGTTTTCCAGATATGCTTATATAAATACGTTGATTAAAATTTGATATTAAATTTCGAGGGTTTATTATTATTTAAATTTTATGGCACTTATAAATATTACAAATATTGTTTTCGACCAAAGCACTGCACTGTTCAATACTCCAATCTAAATGCAAATCACTTTTGAAGTGCTTAGGCAATTAGATTAAGAAATTGATTGGAAGTACAATAAGACAACATATTAGACTTATTTACATTGGGTCTCCTAATAATGATAAGCATGATCAAGTGTTGGAGCAATTTTCAATGCCTCCTCTTTAACAAGGGACCATGTAGTTTACATTAATGACTGCAGGTCCAAAATTAGAGTTAATTCCAAGCAAAGAAGATTTATTTGGCGCGACAGCAATAATATTAAGTGTAAGATATAGAAACCATGAATTCTTCAGAGTAATTATTCTAAGTTTAATTTCATCATAGGTTGGGTATTATGTTTATAATTCGTATTTGGACCCTGATTTGATTGAGAATGATCCATCTTGTGTTATAATTGATAAAGTTTATAGATAAATTAATGTTTAAACTCCAAGGATTACAAGAACTAATATTGACTGGGAAGGATAAATGGTACAACTCTATGTTAACCCACTCTAATCCAATAATTAGTTTATGTTCTAATAATAACCAATATTCAATGATATTACAAATAATCATTAAGACTTCTAGCAATAATGTTAAGAGAAATAAAATTAACTGTAATAACTTTAACCAAATAACAAACCATTATATAATAATACATAAGGGCCGAGTTTTCAGAGCATTTTTTGATAATTTATATTTTAATTTTTTATTAATCAAGATTTTGAAATTTAGAGTAGATATTTTCGTAAAGAAAATCTGTTGATTTGATTTCCAAACCTCTTATAATAAATATATTTAAATAAAATAATTGGATTTTTATGATTATTTAATAAGAAATGTAAATAAATTAATTATAAACGAGATCCTATAAAATATGTTAATTCTTAACAATTATAATCACTATTAGGATTCATAATTATTTAATAATTAACCTTTTAATATTATATGATATTAAAGTCTCTTAATTAGAGTTTTATAGAATAATAATTTTATCTTTTTCTTATAAACAAAAGTCTTAACCACACCCCACATATATTCGTTAATCTTTATCTCTTATAATAGATATTCCATTTTATCCATTAACTACTAAATATAATCTAAACAACTGCGCTTTATTCTCTTGTTCTTAATGTTATTCCTAATGAAGAGAAGTAAATTGTGATTTCAAAATCTATGATTTTTATTGTATATATTAATTTTATTAAATATTTCGTATTTCTAATGAACAATGTTATTTTTTTGAGATAGTATAAATTTGAGCATCTTTTTTTATTTATTGGAGTTTCATAAACTCCTTTCTTGAAAAATTGAAAACATTTTTAGAGAGTAAAGAGTCATCAATCTGGAATTTGAAAGCATATTCACTTTTTAAATGTCTAGGGTATTAATTAAATATGTCTTATATTTCTTTAGGAGCTTTAAGTTTAAGAAATATCTACACTTCATGCATGGCTTATAGTTTAGAATCATTATTTACATTAGATCTTTGGTTAAAAAACTACCACAGTTTTTAAGACTTCATAGGATTATAATTCTAATGAACGAATTTAAGAACTTATTTTATTTAGTTCTTATAAATGTTGTAGTAACTCTTTATAGTTATTAGTTTTACTATATAGATAGCCATTTATTCTTTAAGTTATATAAAATCAAATATTTTACTTAGTTAAATTGGATGGTAATTATTGGACTAACTGCTCACTTTGGTGCAAAAGATCTTTGCACTACTTTATAAATTGCTTTTCATCGTAAGTGTATAATTCTTCTTGAATGTTATCGAAGTATTCCACTTAATCCAAGGATTGAGTTATATCTATTATTAATTACATTAATTCATTTTGTTTCTTTTCGAATTCATCTTTAGCAGTAAATAACTGCTACGATTCTTAAACAACCGATTTTATTAATGGAACTATTGGAATCATACAATTTAAAGAATTTATAGAATTTTAATAATTTTAATTCTTGTGAAAGTTAAGGATCAACATCTGCCTTTAGATGTTTCTAAATAAGGAATCTGACCATAAATAAAGGCAGCAAGAGTATTTTTCAGTTGGTTATTAATACAATTCATTTTTAATTTTTTAGGCGAAGAACTTTTAAAAAGTAGGTGTAAAATAAGAGTATAACTAATCTTTTCCAATTTTAAAAAAACAGAAAAAGCTAAAATAAACTTATTATTGATTGATCTTTCAGAAATTAAATTTATTTAATGCTTATACATCTCAAATTATCAGGAATTGAATCTATTATAATTTTTGATAAATACCTTTAACCTTCTTAAAAGTATGGGTTATATCTTTTTTGAATCACAAAAATCAATAATTTACATTTATCTAATTTCATAATGAGGCTTCAATTGTAATTTTTGATTAAATGGAATGACATAAGTAAAGCTATCCTTTGTGAATGTAAAATTTTATTTAAATAATTTTTATAGTATTGATGTCATATTCCAATTTTAATTAAGAGTATCCGGAGACTAAGTCCCATTCAGATTACTATGATTAATTAGATAAGTTGGGATAAAATCAAACTCAAGCAACTAGAAGAAATTCTCTTCCCATTTAATTAGAGGATGGCGAAAAGAAATTAAAAGAAAAATACATCCTCACTCGCATAAATGAACTAGGATTGGACTAGAATAAGGCTATATATGTCCTGGAAAATATGGCAGAGGAATGCATTAGGCAAAATGATGAAAATGTAGTTTTACATAGAGTCATTTAGACTATTCTTTTAATGGAAGTACAGTATTTAATTTGTAAGATAGACGTTTCCAAAGGCAACATCGAAATAATAATAAGGACATTATTTTGACTAAATCAAATAATTGATAGGAAAAGTAAGTCCCAATTTTTTTAGTTATTTAAATGATTAAAAATAAAGGGAATAATAAGAAAATTTATTAGGTCTAACTTGCAATATATGCTTAAATGAATTGAAGATCTAAAATATTAAATTAGAATGTTATCATCAATTTTGTTAGTACTTCTTAAAAATAATATTAGAGATTGCCTGCAAAATTATATCATCGATAAGATTAATAATGGATTGGTCGAAGAAATTTATTGTCCATAAATTCATTGCGAGTTTAAATTCAATGATGATATTTTGGAATCCTTACTAGATCAAGACAATTTCAATAAATTGAAGCGATTTAGAAAAATCAGAAAGATCTAATTGGACTAAAATTTTATTTGGTGTCCTAGACCTGGTTGTGAAGAAATAGTGAGAAAAAGTAAAAAGAAAACTCTCAAATGTTCATGTGGACAGCTTATTTGCAATAATTGCAATATGAAAGTTCATAGTAACCAACCTTGCAAAGATCAATTAGATTAAGACATTATTAAATCTCTTAAGAAGTTTAAAATTAAAAAATGCAATAATTGTGGTTCGCTTATTCAAAAAAATGATGGATGTAATCAAATGATTTGTCAATATTGCAAAAATTAATTTTGTTGGCTATGCTAATAGAAAATCACAGATAAACACTATAAATATTACAACTTATTTGGCTGTCCTGGATTGAGATATTCTCATAGAGACCCTTATAAATATCCAAAAATAGTTAGATTTTTTAGATTTTTATTTGTTCTAATATTTGGACCTCCAATCTTTTTGATTGGGTTTATAATTGGATTCATCGTTCTATCATTTACACTGCCTGCTATTATTTATATGGATTGTGTCCATTAAAATAAATTTTAGGATTATCATTGTTGCAAGAAAACAGCCTATATTAGTTTATTATCGATTGCTTGCATATTATTATCACCATTGAGCTTTGTTTTTGTAACCATTTGTTTAATTCTACTTGGAATTTTTTGGTTATGTTATGCAATATAGATGCTTTATCGGTGGCTAAAAAAAAAATGAATACTTATATAAATATTATAAATATTAATATGCTCTTCTCTCAATAATAGGATTACAACCCTAAAGATGTTTACTAACCTTCTTCAATGAGTTATGGGGCTGGAATCTTCAAACCTTAGAATCAGCAACCTTATTACAATCAATAGCCAAGAACTAGGGCAGAGAGAGTATTGTGTAATTTTAAATTTTAGGACTATTTAAAAGAAGTCAATTCGTAATAAACCGTAATGCAATCAAGACGTAAGCACTTATCTAATTTTTGAAGAATTTGACACTCCTTAAAGGGAAGATATGAAAACTCTTTTACATAGTCCAGCACCGAATACTACTTTATTTTAACAGGGTATATTTAATATTCATCTGGTAGACTAAGAGAGGTTCTTAAAGGATTTTGCTGTTCAAGATAAATAGCAAAGGGAATATTAAAATAAATAAAAACAGTTATAATATGAATAAAGGAGACTAGCCAATTTAGAGAGAGAAGGCATGATATGGTAGAGGAATGAACACTATCAATAAAAAGTATTAATCATCATCATAGCAGGATGAAATGAAAAGACAATACCATTAAGAGTAATTTACACAAGGCAAAAGAAATTTAAACGGATTGGCGTACAACCCTTTGACATTAGAGTATGCTTAAAACGAGCAAGGTCAAGCACTAAAAAGACAAGACGAAATGACTTAAGTGAGATAATTAGCTAGAGCCTAAAATTTAGATAATAGAGCCAACTGTGGTTATAATTTACTCACAGGTATAGAATTTGAATTGTAAATTAAAAGGAGAGAATCGCAAAGGTATCGATGACATTGTGCCTGATGATCTTAAAGGTCATTATTAAAATAAATTATAAGAAAGGGATAATCAATTAAATATAAAACACTATGCTCTTTAGTAACAATTGTTATCTAAGCAATATTGAGTTTGTTTTCATCATATCAATATTAAGTATATCTAGTGGTTGTTTTTCATCTCAACTAATTTCGATTAAATAAATAATATCAAATAGAATTTTAATAATAATAATAATTTGATGATTATAAGTTCAAGCTTCAAAGTTGTCTTTCTTATCCTCCACCTCAAAGAACTTTGAAATTTATGGTTAAGCAACTGCAATAAACAGTAAATTAGCAAGAATTTTAGAAGCATTCGCGTCAGGATCATGTAATGCTTTGATTGCCCAAGGGTATATGGAAAGTTTAATCGATATAATAAGGAACTCTACAATGATTAGGTCTATAACTTAGGTTGATGCAAATTAAACTGCCCATATGTTAGCCTATAATAATATTATATCAAAATACTTAGGTTTCTTCCATGCTGGCAGAAAGCATCAATACAATGAACCAGCACACAGCAGATATTGCAATCGTTAATAAAATTCCTAAAAATTTGAGGATTGGAGATGCTTTCATTGTAACTGTAATGATGGATAGAATCACATTGATGACTTAACCAATTCCAACTGATATTAAAGTACCGTAAACAGGTCCCATGTTACCAGAAAATAATGCTGATAATGCTAATACTAAAATAGTTTTGGCATAAATCAAAGCAAATCTAGCTGGTCTACTAATAACATCATCATATAACATTAATATTGATAATACTCTATGAAGGGTCTATTGTTAAAAAATATAATAGTTACTAATATTCCTTCCCAAAGAACTTTTAATGTTAAAGGCTTTAGTTTGATTTCTTAACCATATTGAAATTTCAAATCGTGAATTGTATAAACATTTTTAATTACCTTTGATAACTCTGTTGCTCTTCCTTATTGCTTATTCGTTGAGGGATTATAAAGTTAATGTTATTATAACTAATCTTGAACTTATTTAAAATTGATTTTAGCTTTATTTCGTTCTACTTATAAACTTTGAATGTCTCTCTAATTTAATATATTGCTATCTCTCTCTTCAGGAATAATTAAATTACCTTCTTCATCTTTTTTGAATTCCAAATCACTTTATCCTTTTAAAGTAAATAAAGCTAATTTATTCATATCTTCTTTCTTCAATACTGTCTTATTCTCCTCTTCTGCATCAATTGAGTTTTCGTTGCTTTACTCTTCAATAATTAGATTATTGATTTGTTACTTCAACTTCTTAATGTTGTCTGGAATGTTTTCATCAGTAAATTACAATTCTTTGGTGATTTCTTCTATAAAATCTTAATTATCCTTCCTTAATCCTAAAACCATGAGTGCAACATAAGCACCTGTAAATCCAATAGCAATGTAGAAAATGGCATATTTCCAAAATTAAATTTATAAAAAGATGTTCAAAGAGTCAGCATTAAACACTGCACTTAATTTGTTTGAAATAAAACTATCCAATTTTGTGATGACTGTAGTGGGATTAACTACCACACAATCACAAACGTAAGCAATATTACCTTTAGAATCCACATCTTTCTTTATTTTACATGTACCAGTTTCCCATGTATCTTTTGCCTCAGAATAGCATTCCATAGTTGAATTGGCACTATCATTTTATGGAGCAGAAAATGATAATTTAATGGTTTGACCATCAAGGCTCTTTATTTCTGTACTACTACCATCTTCTGTCATTGTGATATTTGGTTAAATTGTACCAAAGTTACTAACTATTGATTAATCATGAGTAATATTTGATGAATTGGTAACTTCATTAGTTTGATTAACATTAAGTTATGATTTAAATTTAGGATCATTCAAATTTGGACTTGTAGCATAATTAGACATACTAACTTCATATTATTTTACAGTAGTAGGATTTATTTATTATAAGTTTCTTAAATAATGAAGATTATTTTTATTTTAAATCCATTCAACAAATTAAAGGAGTCTTCTCTTATTTCCTGAATTTGTACTATTCGTACTATTTGTGCTATTTGTACTATTAGTGCTATTTGTACTGTTGGTTCCATTTAACATAGAAAGATATTCATCATAATTTATTTCATCTACTTCCTCTTCCAAATTCAAATTATCATTGCTTCCAGACCCTTAGATATCCTCATCTGCATAAGTTTCTGTTCCAAAAAAGAGGGGGGTAATCTTATTACCTAAAACTGAAACAATTTAAGCGGGTGTTGATTTATAGGCTTACATACCCATCTATTAACCTGCATATTGTCTAGGTTTTTCATTAGCTAAACTTCTCTTTAAAGTTGCTACTGCCACTAATTTATTTATTTATTAAATTTATTCTTTTAGCAAATTAACATCTGCATCCGTGACATCTGCTCCTTAAAATGAGTTAGATTTGATCGCATTAAATAATGTATCAGTAACAAAACCACTATTAAGAAGTGTATTATCTAAAGCTTTGATTGCATCTTCAAATTTTGATGTTGATCCTCCTGATTTCTATTTTTATTTTAAATAATAATCTAAATCATTTATTTATCTATTTAACTATTTGACAGTTTTTTTAATTTATTACTTTATTGTATAGAAATCGACAACATTAGCTCCATCCATTTCATAATTGATACCAGTTCTACCAATGGCTGCGATTGATGATAAAAGTGATTCTTCTAAAACTTTGCTTGTCATTTTGCCTTAAAATTATTGTAAAATAGAATAAATTTCTTTAAGAATGTTTTTCATTTATGCCTTTTTCTCTGGCTATAATTAACTATATAAAGTTGATAATTCTTGACTGCCTATAAATAATGAGGGAAGAGCTGACTCATCAATTGTGTCACTTAATTTAAGTGCTCTTCTAATTTATAATAAAATTGATTAGAAATCTGAAGTTTCTATTTTTTGATAAATACTATTAACTTTAACCGTTTTGGTTAGGTTTTTCATTCCATTATTATTATCATAAATACTTGCTACAAGCACTAATTCATAAGCAATACTATTATCCAGATCTATAGGTGTTGGCAATACTAATTACAATTAAGAACTTGATTATTTATCTGTTATTGACTTTTTATTTATTGTTTCCCCTATTAAATTATCATTATCTAATGTTTTCTAACTAGAATAAATATGAAATTGATATTATAAAGGAAGCTAAAAGTCAAAGCAATTAGTAACTGATAGAACAAATAGATCAGTAATGGATGTTCCAGTGGATGGAGTCACAGAAAATCTACAATTTTCAGGTGGTATATTCAATTATAAGTTAACTGAAGTACTTGAAGGCATGAAATGATAGACATCCTTGGCAGCCATTTTAATTTAAATTGCATTAATTGATTGATCAGTATCCTCCCAATAATCCCAAATACGAAACTTGACTTACAAGAACTTAAATGTAAATGATGCCACAATATTGTAATTATATACAATTTAGCAAAAGTACTTTAATGAATCAGGATCAACGGTTGTATCTAATGTAAAATTGAGTTCTTCATGCAACAATATTTACCTACTATCATATCCCGATGGGTAACTTACTTAAATATTAGGCAAATCATTTTCAATAACCAATAGGATAATTTAAGTAATCAATATGGTTGAATGCTTAGTATTTTTCATAACAAATTAAAGTGGTTAATAAGGATCTAACACTCTAGGTTTAAAGGTCTGGGTAGCATCAGTTACATTTAATTCTAAGAGTTCTTTATTTGAATCTGTGCAACTTGCACCAGTGGCTAGATTAATACATTTCCAATTAAAAGTAATATCTGGATCTTTATTCCATGGAAAATCAAGATCAGGATCTCTGCAGAATCCATTCAGAACTGCATAATCATTGAATGATTACGTTCTGGTTCCACCTTGAATATAGGCTTGCATAGGACTGCTAATTATTGTTATTGTAAATTGTAGTGATGTCTTGATTGGTTTATTAGTCAATGATACTGTCACACTTAAGGTGTAGGTGGATCCAATTACGGCTGTATAGGCTGGAATCAACAAAGTGTTTAAAAATGTCATTCCATCTGTTTCTGAGATGACTGATTCCTTGAGAATACTAACTGTATCGTTAGGTGTCTTGGCTACTTCAGTCCAATTAACTCTTAAAGCATCAAAGACTTCAATTACTTTATCTGAGTAGCATGATAAATGTTTGAGCTAGATTGTAAATGATAAGTCTTCCCATCTTCCGAAGATAAACTATTAATTAGAATCTAATTTAATAATTGGTGATTCATATGATGCAGTTTATATAGTTGTTTGAGCAGTAAAAGTTTATCCTCTGAAATTTTTTGCCTTTAGTTAAATCACGTAAGTTCCATATTCGCTAAGTGAAAGAGCAGCAATATTAATCTATTGATAATTTTTAGAATTAGCTTCTGCTAATAGTTAAGATAGATATTAAGCCACTGATTATATTGATGGATTCATATTAACAATTGTCCAAACAACTTCTGTGAAGTCTCTCTTTCCATCCACTTACTTATTGAGAATATTGATTTGAATATCTTAGCAGATGGTGATTTGATCACTATATGAGGAGAGTTCAAATTGAGGATTCAGTTAGACTGAATTGTATGAGAAGCTAGACAAAATAAATTTGCTTAATGCGTCACTACATCCTGTTTTAGTGATAAAATCATCCTTGAATTCAATTTAGAAATCAATAGTTATACTACTCCCCTCGGATAATTCAATTTGTAGTGTGTTACCTTGAGTAATTGAACATAATGGTGAATATCCTAGAGCTTAATAAGTACTAGTGGAGAATGTCAATTAACAAGCTTAAGAAGAAGAGAACTTCTTGACTGATGGAAATTGTACATTGAATGGAAAAGTAATGTAAATGATGCTTAAATCACTAGTGAATTAGGCTTAGATGACAGCTACTTGACAATTGGAACAAAAGGGAGTGTCAAGATGGCTGATAGAGTTCTCAGGACAATCACATTATTTTGGTTTTAAGATTCTATTCCCTTAACAAGTCATGCATTTATCAATGTTACAAGTGGCACAGAATCCATAACAGGGTGAGCAATTTAAGGATACTCCATCTTCATAATAGCCATCTGGACAATTGCAAATAGGATTATTGAGTCTGTCACCTTTACATGTGAAACAAGTGGTAGTGACATCACAAGAGAGACACTAATTTGGACAAGGCAAACATTTGTTATCTAACTCATAATAACTAGTGTCACAATCACAAGAGGGAGGATTGATTCTATTCAAGTTGCAAGATAAACAAGTATTTAAATCAGCCAAAGTGCATAGTCCACATTTAAATTGACAAGCAAGACAATCTTTGACTCCAGTTTCTATATAGCCAATCTTACATGAGCAATCTGAGCCTTGTCTACTTGGTGGACATGAAGTACATGAAACACTGTTCTATTTGCAAGTAAGACATTTAAAATTACAAGGTTGACAAGTCACAGATCCATCATCAAAGTACCCAACATTGCAAGGACAAGAATCCTGCTACTTTGATCTCTAAGTTCCAGTGGTATTACATGAAACACATTTTGTATTCTTTTCAATGCACGTTTAACAACTATAATTGCAAACCTAACATTGTTTATTGATGTTATCATCAAAGAACCCATCATTACAAGGACATGTATTATTGATATTGCTTTTATCGATTCTTCCATAGAGAGTATTACATGAAGTGCAGACAGAGAAACTAGAACAAGTGTTACATTAAGGATGACAGGATTTGCAAACCATATTCATTCCATCATCAAAATAACCAGATTGACAAGGACAAGTATTATTTAAGACACTGTTGTCTATTCTGAAAGTTTTGTTGATGTTGCATGATATACAAGTGGTTGTTGTAGTTTAGCATTCCTAACAACTCGCATGGCATTTCATACACACAGCCACGCCAGTGTCAGAGAAAGATGGCTAACATTTACATGTGTTAGTAACAGCATCAAATTTTCTATTTGTATTTAAGGGACAACTCAAACATTAGTTAGCATTATTGACACAAGTCTTACATCTGTATGAACATGACTAGCACGCTCCACTTACACCATCATCGAAGTAACCTTCCTTGCAATTACAAATCTTATTAAATGAATCAAATATTCTATTAGCAGTCAAATCACAACTCAAACACTAATTGCTCATCACACTGCAACTCCTACATGAATAGTCACAAGGAGGACAAGTAGATGAATCTAAAGCGTCCTTAAAGAATCCAATTTTGCATTCACAACTTGTATCTACTAACTATCTATTCTAAATTGCTTAGCAATTAGTACACTGATTTCTGGCTGTCCCAGTGCAATCATTACAATAAATTGAACATTGTTAACAATCCCAAGTTAGATTAACATGAAAATAATGAGTATCACAAATGCATTCATTATTAGATAAAGATCTATGTGAGTTGATCTTACATCCAGTGCATTTAGTTGCTGTATCTACACATGTAGAACAAGTATAATCACATGGCTAACATAAAGCATTAACACCATCATCATAATATCCAGGATCACATGGACATGTATTATCTGGTTATTGAGTTCTAAAAACAGATAATACACAGGCTTAACATACCTTACCTGCTTATGAACATTTACTACAACTATGATCACAATTTGCACAAAGAGAATTGACTCCATCATCATAATATCCATCATTACAAGGACATAAAAAGTTGGTACTATCCCAAGTTCTATGTTGCAGAATATCGCATTCAGTACATTTTTCAGGTAATGCATTGCATTTTCCACAAGTATAGTTGCATGGACTACATAAAATAACACCTAATTCCAAATAACCTGTTTTGCATTGACATGTAAATAAAGTCAGGTCTAAAACTCTATTTGAATTCAGTGGACAACTTATACATTATGTTTTAGAAAACTGACAAGTCAGACACTTATAATCACAAGGCTGGCAATCAAGTAATCCAAATGCTGTATCTGCTGGTGGATAATATCCATCTTAACATCTACAATTATTCTCTTTTTATCTGTATCTCCCCCAACATTTACATTGATCATTCTAAACTGAATTCAAAACTTATTCGTATATCTATTGACTAATTGATTAAATCTTAGTCTCTGCAGTGGGGGTCTGTCCAAAATCGGCTAAAAGTATATATACTAACATAATGTTATTTTTCTGATTTATCTTGTATTTTAGACTTTGGAGAGGAGAAGTCAACTGCATATCAATTGTATCAAAATCTGAATTCAAAGGTCTTAAGAAACATTCGAAAGTATTTGGAAAGATTTAAGTGTCAAAAGTGGTAACACAAATTGAATTGTATACTACGCCGTAGTTACTGAAATAGTAGGAAATAGACTTCATTTAACCTCGATTATTATTGGCAAGCTTATTATCAATAATAATCTGATCAATATTCGTTTCAATTAAAGTGACTGACAACATATTCTTAATATATTAGTAAATTTGTGATTGAGCACCAAAAAATGTAGGTGTGATCATCTATACTTCAAGTTATCCAGCCTTAGGGGCAAACAGATATTCATTTGGCTTAGCTGATGATGTCAATCTCCCAATCTCCAAAGCATCATATTAAAAAAAGTAATCCTTCACTGTTGGCTATATGTAATTTAACATTTGAGTAGTTACCAGGGTGTTTACAGTATTTTTATTATTTTTGAGAATAGTAGCAGCATTGTCGAAATTAAAATAATTACACTTCTTGCCATTCATATTTTAAACATCAGTAACCAAATTCTATGCTGTATCAAATTCATTGCTCATTGATGTCTTATATCCAGTTCTATAAGTTTCACATTAAAGATCGTTGTTGTAGGTCAAACACTGAAAATCAAATCCAAAATATCCAGAAGACTTTAAGATTCCTTAATAAATATCCTAAATAATAGCCTAAGTATTTAAATTATTTGAACTTTTAGATACTACCATTAAGTAATATATTTATGTGATTTTTTGAATATTGCTTATCTTTACTTCAGTACTGCTTTATGATAATACAATAGACCCATCATATTCATTCAAATTGATGATAAATATTTAATAAACTTAAGTTTCAGTCCTCTTACACAAACTTATGTAAGCATAAATGTCTTTATACAAAGTTTCCGATTATGAACATGATACAAATGTATCTGTTGAAGCCATTGAAATTGAAATATACTGAATATTATTTAATTATGCCCCTAATACAAACTTATTATTAGCTTATGTAAAGTACTTAGTTAATTTACCAAAAACAGAGTCTCCATTTACTAAATACCCATTAGTATAGATAATATTTTATTTAAGATCTGTGCTTATCTTATGAGAAATATCAAAGGGAAATTTAGTATTTATTGCATTTGTTCCTTTACTTATAAAGTATCCTCCTATTTATTCAGTTAAGGCCTCAAATGTCCCAGTTATTGATATAGAACTCAATTTCCAATATTGATTGACAAATCTTAAGGGTGTTCTAGTCGATAATTCAATTGATTTTATTAACAATTTTATGTATTATTCAAAAATGGTTTGATAAGAATTATTTATTAATGTATCATCAAAAGCCATAACAGCAAAATTAATCTATTTGACATTAGCTCCACTCACCGTTATCAATATATTATTTGCATTTTAAACTACATTAAATGTGTGTCCTTAGTTGTAACCGAATATCAAAGTCTTAACAGATGTTGTACCATATATATCAACCATATATCCTACAAATTGGTAATTATTGCTAGTATATGTAAGTTGTTATGTGCTAATTTAATATCCACTAGTAATAAAATGTTATATTGTAAATTGATTGAATATGAATTATGATAGCATGTGCAAACCAAAGACTAATATTTCTGGAAATTAGACAGTGAAATATGAGAATCCACTACTATCATATTGTATAGATGTAGTCTAATAATTAACATCTACATTATTTAATTAAATCAATGCACTATTTCCACTAAATTTACTTGAAGACAATGCTGTTGAAATATAATTGGATCCATCTGTTACTTTTAATGGCAATAAATTAGTTGGTATAACTTCAAGTAAAAATTGATGATTTTCCCAAAACATTTATTTGGTATTCTTAGGATGAGGTGTGCATTCGAATGCTATACCCTACCAATATAATTGGCCTATATAATTTGCTACAGCTATTAATTATGCATTTGTAGCAGCACTAAAGGTTGCACTGCTTACATAGAATTCTGTTAATAAAATAACTGGTTAAGATGAACTGAATTGAATACTCAATTAGTAGCACTCATTCATAATCTAACTAGTGATGGTTGGAGGATCATTAATATCATAAGTGAACACTAATACAACAGTATATGTATTATCAATATTGATTGTCACAATTTATTAATTGAGAGATGATTTAGGTACAACATTGCTTTGAATATTTTCATTATTTGCCACTGTAGCAAATTAGTATTGCATTCTTAAATTTAAGGTAGATGCATCCTTTTAAAAGAGTAAGTATCGAATATTATCTTTAACAAAATGAAAATACGAGGCTTGATTGCCAAAAGGACTTTGGTCAATTTGAATTTCTTAAGGTTTGAAGAATAGAGAATTATAGTTATTTTTATCAGTTGAAATAACACCCTATTATAGCGAACTTATAAGGGAACAGGAAATAGAGGAATCATTAATCGTATCCATAACTATAGTGGAAGGAGATAATGAGTTTGAATTTAGCTTTGAGAGTAGAATATTAGAACTTGGAGATGTTAAAGATGCAGCCAATTTTCCAAAGTTAATATCTGAGCAAGAAGCCCTGCAAAATCTTGTATTATCAGGTAGAGCACAAACACACCTTCCATTTGATAAGACTCTATTACTACTACAAGTTAAACAGGTATTAACATTGCAAGTTAAACAATCAATAGGACATTATTGTATACATAGTCCAGATGAATTCATTTCAAATCCTTATTTACATACACAAGCCAAGCCATTTCTAAATGTGACTTAATCATATTAGGTTGTATTGCATGATAAACAGGAATATGAATTACTACATGTCATACATGTGGAATGACATTTAACACACGTAGCATTCAATTCAAAGTATCCATCATCACAAATGCATTGATAATTGGAGTAATGCCTGTTAAGACCAGCTAAACATGTTTTGCATTTTGTTCCATTAGTATTCATATGGCATTACTCACAGGGACTTGTACAAGGTTTGCAATCTTGATCATCTGTCATGTTATCATAATAGTTATCTTGACATATACAGGTGTTGCCAACAGCTGTACGATGTTTGAGAGGATCACAAAGATGGCATTCAGATGCCAAATTATAGCATTTTTGACAGGTGTAATTGCATGGACTACAAATAGGATTGGTGCCTACTTAATAATATCCATCTTAACAGATGCAGGCTTATAAATCAACAATTCTGAATGTTCCAGGAGGACAAGTTGTACATTCTGCACCTGTTCCATTGTCAGCACAATCGTAACATGGAGAAGAACATTAAGTACAAGTCAGAACTCCAGTTGTCTCATAGTACCCATCGAGGCAATTGCATTTATTGTTGATGTTATCTATGATTCTATTCAGTCCAGGTTAACAAGTAACACATTAGGTTCCATCTGCTGTTAGAGCAAGTGCATCATCTAAACATTCCAAGCAAGGACTGATGCAAGCCAGACATATGAATGAAGATAATTATGAATAGTAATTGCTAGTACATATGCATTATTTATTGGTATCGACAGTTCTGTTATCTCCTGCTTTACACGAAGCACATTGTGTTCCATCTCCATTGTCTTCGCACTCATAACAAGGAGCTATGCATTTGATACAGGGACTAACATTATCAAGTTGGTAATAATCGATTTAGCAAACACATACTTGATTTAACACTTCTCTATTTTAAACGGCTAAGCAGGTCTTGCACTTTGTACCATCATTAGGGGCACATTCCTCACAAGGCACATCACAAGGTAAACATGTTAACTGACCAGATGGTTAGTAATATTTAGCAATACAACTGAAACATTTATCAGGGAAATATTTGCAAGTGGCACAAGGAGGAGTGCATGGTTGACAAACCTTTGGAGATGTTGTCGTTTCGTAATACCCAGGTGCACAAATACAAGCATTGGAACTCAACACTCTATTCACTCCGGTGATACATGATAGACAATGAGTATTTGAGATTTCACAATTCAAACATGGTGATGTACATGGCTGACATACTGTGGATGTTCCAAAATATCCATCGAGACACTGACATTTCTTAGTAGTATCTCTAAAAGTGTTGGGTTTACAAACATCACAATCCGTTTCACTTGTTAGACATGATACGCAATATGATGCACATGGTTGACAAGCCAAGAAACCAGCATCGAAATATCCAGACTTACAAACACAAATAGTTCCACTTAGATTTCTATTGTATATGGCTTAGCAGGAGGTGCATTGTGTTCCATTATAATCAACCCCATTTGAGTCTTATCCACTTAAGCAATTCTGACATGGATCAACACACTGAGCACATATTTATTATGAATCTGAATAGTATTAGCCATTAATGCACAAACATTAGTTATTATAGAATATCCTCAAATTCACAACTTCGTCACATGTTAAACAATTAGTTGCTGTTGTAACACAGGTTACACAATTCCAATGACAGGGCTGACATACATTTGAATCTAAATAGAATTTGTCATAGCAACTAGTGCATTTAGTGGCTGAATCTACACAAGTTTTGCAGTTAGGATCACAAGGGGGACATAAATAATCCCCGTTATTTTAATCAAAATAGTTTTGATCACAAATGCATTAATTGTTAACTATTACTCTATTGTCACCTGGTAAACATGTTAAGCAATGTGTATCAGTTGTTTCACAAGTAAAACAAGGACTTGTACAAGGATCACAAGTGGTTCCATTCAAATAATACTCAGAAACACAACTATCACAAATTGTATCGGATGAGCAATTATCGCAAGGGGATATACAAGTTTCACAAGTTTTATCAGTTCCACTTGTTTGCAAATATTTTCCTAACACACATTATGAACATTCTGTTGCTAATGAACCTGTACATTCATAACAAGTCGAATCACACATTTAACAGGTCGATGCTCCATCAAGATAAAAATTGCTTTAACAATCAGTGCAAATTTCTACGTCTGAAGGAGATTAACAAACTGAACAAGGAGAATTACATTGTTTACAAGTTCCTGACGCGTTGGTTATGTTGTCTAAGTACATGCCTGAATTACATGTTTGACAATTTGTTGAAGTTGTCAAACATGTTTCGCAGTTAACATCGCAAGCAGTCACACATTGATTTGAAATTAATTCCAAATAATTGCTGCTATCGCAAGTCGTACAAGAGTTGCTGTAAATTGCACATGTCAAACAATTCGAATCACATGCAGCAACACATGTGGAATCTGTCAAATTGATATAAACAGGACATGTATCCACGCAATTTATTCCATCTTTGAACTTAGGCGAATCACATGCGATGCATGTATTTGTTCCCTGATCCAAATATAAATTTTGGGATGTATCACAATTAGTACAATAATTTGAAGTTCCAGAGCATTCTTTACAAGTAGGATCACAATTTAAACAATCACTTCCAGATTGATAATACTCCGATGTACAAGTATCGCAAGAAGTACCTGTTGTACAAGTTGCGCATTGTATTTAACAATCCAAACATCCACCTACTCCATCATCATACTGTCTTGAAGTGCATTAAGAATATGCAAAAGGTATAATTTATAAGAGACCAAACAACCAAATTTACATGATTTCGATTATTAGTCAATTTTGTTTTATATAAATTAAATATAATAAAATGAATAAATGCTAATGTGGAACCTTAGAAGTTTATTCGGCATCATCTCAAAATAAAAAAATTATTAATCACGGGAATAGAATCCTTCTTCCTCCATCAATATTATTAGAGATCTGCAATGTTTATTGTGGAACCATGACCTTTAAATTATAGTCTGTTCTTGAAGAAAAGAAGTCTATTTATGTTGGAGTTTTGGAATTCACAGCAGATGAAGGTACTTGTGTAGTGCCAGACTGGATCTTTGATGCCATGGGCTTTTCTAATGGATTAAGCATTCCGATCAATTGCAATAGAATCAATAAGTTTGGAAGCCTCATCAAGGTTTAACCTCATAAAAGTGCGTTTATAAAATTGTCTGATCCTAAAGATATCTTAAAAACCTATCTTAAGAATTTCACCTGTCTCACTTAAGATGAAACAATCACTATAAACTACCAAGATGTCAATTATTTAATAGATATCGTAAAGGTTGAACCCATTAATAAACATAATGCTATTTGTATTGATGAATTTTATTTTGATATCGATTTAATGGACCCATTAGTAATATTATATAAAATATCTAAAGGATTTGACTGTCCATCCTAAATTGTTATTTGAAAGCTCTGAGGCTCAACAAGAGAAAATAATAACATGTGAACAATAACCAGTCTTTCAAGGTATTGGAATTCTTATCGGTGGAGAACCCTTGAATACTGATCAGAGTTCTCACCAAAAGATTGATATGCCTGTAAAGTAATATGATCCTCGTAAACAAAAATTGTTTAATGGATTAAGGTAAGTTTAGCCAAATGTATTTTATGGGCCATCTGTGAAATTGTTCAACATAAAAACTAGGTACAATTTAGTTGATCATTATCGTCATAAATAAATGATCTTATGAAAACTCAAATTGCAAACTTTAAATTCTATTAAGATTCTTAGTTACATTCGAAATTATTTATTCAAATTAGATCATTATTCTTTAAGAAATCTACATTCGGCTTAATTTCACAAGATTTCTTTCAATATAAACATATTTATAACTTTTTTTTTCGAAATTCTGAAAAAATTAGTACTTGTCTTCTGAGTTTAAACCTTAAAAAAACCATTTTAATATAAATTGTTTATTATTATGTATCATTCATTAATCGCAGATGACATTATAGCCTATTTAACACTTTTTGTCGTAGATACCTTCTGAGTTTAGAAACTAACAAAGATGATTAAAGATATTTACTTTTTGTCTGGACTGAGATAATTAGAAACTTGAGGTTGTGGACTTTGCATTCTCTAAGAAAATTGAGCTTGCTTAATTTCATTCTATGATTGCAATCTATACTAATCATATTGTTAATTGTAGGTAGAGCGAACTTAACTCATCTAATTAAATCCAGACTATCTAGTTACTAGAGCACTGCCTTAAACATTTTACACATTTGTTGTCGTAGTAATTACATTAGTTTTCAACTATGAGCTGTTCTAGCCCAATAGTTAATTAACTAAGTACTAATCGCTAGGCTTGTCAATTACAATTTATTTTTTATTTCTAGTATCTAACCTAGCATTTTCTTATTCTAATATGTGTATTCTGGATTCATAATCAGTGATATTGGTGATCAATAATTAAATTTTATTTTCCTAGTCCTTTCTAATGTTTCTCTATCTTTCAATCTCAATGTTCAGAGTTTGATTCTCACTTTCTAATTTGGCTATTCTCTACTACAATTATTTCACTTAATCCAAATTCACATTCGACTATTAAGATCTAAATTAGGTAATTTCAATCTTTGATTAATTAAATTATTGTTCTAATTATTAATATCTTTATTTATATTGACTCAATTCCTGCTGTAATGATTTCAATTAGTATTAAAGATTTTGAGTTTCGCCTGAACTCTACGTTTACATTTTGCTCTCCAAATTTTATCTCTCTATCGTCAATCTAGAAGTAAACTACTATTCCAATTCATTTCTAACTCTAATTTCTTGATTTCTCAAATCCATTTGTAATTAATTTATTTATGAGGTTTTCTACTGAGACTCAAAATCCAATTCTCTTATCCTAGCCATTAACTTTTCGATTTCTCCTTGGTTTTATTTATTCAATTGAGTTTCTCTCTAGATCACTATATGATTTTAATTTGCTTATCCAATTTCTGATCTATATTTTTGAACCTATTCTCTCAAGGTTTAAATATCTTGATTCAATTATGTATTGGCTTATTTATATTGCTATAGTTGATCCCTAAGATTTTAGGTATCAAATTGGCTTGTCTTCTCCTTGACTACTATGAGTTCACTATTTTATTCTTTATATTTAGTTTACAACTAATCATATTAAGTTTTTAATTGATTATATTTATTTTATAAAGTCTAAATTTCCATCGTAAAATTGCTATTCACTTTTTGCTCTAGTTATTATATTTCAAGCCTTTATCTCTCTTTAAATTATTATTACAATAAGCTTTCTTGGCTTGACAATTAATTTCTTAATTGCTGAATTTATTGTTCATACTGCTGAATTCGAGATTTCATAATATCCAGATCTTTAGTATTTGTTTAAGAAAACTTAATTTCACTCTCTCTCTGAAATTGAATGTAGTTTTGATTCAGTGAATCGTACTCATTTCTATACTTCTTTAGTTATTCATTTAATTGTGAAATTTCTTTCAATGACTGATTATATCTTTCTTAAAGAACCTAATAATCACTTTGAGTATTCTTTTATGTGTAGGAGTTGCTGTCAATTTATTATTTCTATTGTTTTAAATGCATATTTTCTTATTAGAGCATATTATATTAAGATTATAATTTTTAATACTCGTCTCGTATACTAACTAATTAAATTTAGGATTGCTATTATTATTGCGAACTTTAAAATTGAATTTACATTTAGGAATATTAACCTTAAAGAGACTAATACTGATTTGTAGAATTTCTAAGTTGTTATTCCAATTCCATGATTCTTTACTTTAAGGAATCCACTTCATAAGAATTACTCTTTTTTTGTTCACTTACTCTCTAAATATTCGTATACTCATTTGACAATCTCTCATAATCCATTCTGTATTATTCTCTCTCTTCTTTTAATTTATTGATTTCATTTAAGTATTATCCTTAACTCTAATTCTTTAACATTCTAATTTCCTCCTCATATTCAGTTTATGTTATGCTTATCCTTTATTCTCTTTCTTGGAGATCAGCAATCAAAATCTAAATATCTGATTCCATTTCTGCAATCTTCCTTTTCAAACCCTCTACCTCTCCTGAATCAGTTCTTCTACTTTCATAATTTGTTTTATATCCATCGAACTCTTTTCTCTATTTATCAATCTCTAATCTTAACTAATCCATTTAAGTCTCATACTATTTAATTCTCTCTTATAAAAATAGAATCTGGTTGTCCTTCTAATAAACCTTTTACTCCTAAGCATATGAATGCTCTTAAACCTCCTTTGCTTTATAACGATCTTACCAAACCAAGACTTCATGCTATAAAGCTGAGATCCTTTTCAAATATCCTTCAATCTCAGCATTTTAGGCTTTTGAACTCAATCTCAATTAAGATTATTAAATTTCTTAAATGTAAGAATCGCAATTAAAATTTAATCTTTAAACTTCTTGTTGTAACTCTGCTATTAGATCTTCTTAAACTTTAACTTTCCTCCTTAAATCATCTCTCTCGTTTTAAATTGCTTTAGATTACTCCGAATCTTGATTTTACGCACTTCTCAAAGCACTCTACTACCATTAGATTTAAGATTACTGAAATTACTAATTGAGTAAATTCTTAGCTTTTATGAGGTCTTCATTCTCTTGAGTAAGTGCTTTAATCTAATCCTTCAATTGATTGATTTCTTAAGGGTTATTACTTAAGGAAGTGAATGAAGGAAAAGATTATTTAGATCTTAGTTATTCCTCTAAAGATTTGATCTATTATTTCAATTAATTCACTTCGAAATCATTTGAAATCACACTTACATTTCTGTCTGTTTTCAATTTATATTTATTATTCTCCTGCCTTAATTTATTGACTTCATCTCTCAATTACAACAATTCCAAATCATTTGTTGGTTAGCCAGTTGTTGTTATTCGACTCAAACCCTTATCGGATTACAGTTATCTGCATTTGTTCTTCCACAATTCCAACTCCTTAAATTGATCTTATATTTGATTGTTTAACGATTTTACACTTTCCTTGAGATTTGTTATTTCTTACTAATAATGAATATAATTACCTCTTTCCTTTGCTTCCATTATTTTCTGAAAAGATCCTTAATCAGTGATAGTTATTTATTCAGTAACGGGAGGACTAACTTTAATTCGATACTCTTCATTTCTAAGGTATATTTTCAAAATTCACCTTATTTATGTGTTGCTATATTATTATTATAGGTTTCTCTATGATTGCATTCCATCTCCAATCTATTCAGTAGTTCCTATCTTATAATGTGTGAATCCACTCATTTTTGTTATGTCCTATAATATATGTAAATAAATTATATTAATAATTGAATAGAAATATCATTCATTCTAATTTAGATATTTTGCTTATATTGATTTCTGACTTTAACAAGTCATTCATTCTATTGTTTTGTATAATTGAGTCAGATTAGTATGGCTTGTTAACAAACTGAGTAGTGCTTTTGCTCTTTACTGATGGGAAATGAGTATTCGTCATTGGAGAATTGGGTCCCTTAGTTTTAATCTAGGTAAATAAGTCTTTATACTCGAGTCATGTGATCACGAAGTTTTTCATATTTAGATATTTGTTCTTGTTGCTTTTCTAATAAAATTTATTTGGTTAATTCAAGTCTTTTTTGTAACTCTTAATTTTCTTCATCAATCTATTGCTATTACTTCCTTCTCAGAGGTGAATGAAGTCTTTTACCCAAAGTGTTTTCACACCATTGAGAAGTGTCAGCCTAAAAATTCTCTTGAATTCCATTACATATGCTTTCTCTCTCAAATTTTACACTGTCCAAATCGATCTGAATTGAGAGTTCTTACCTTCTTAAATTTCGATTATATGCGAACTGAGATATTAATTTTATTCGTCAATTCTTTTTCTTTATTCAGATTTTTAAAATCTAGAAGATTTCGCCTTTATGTGCTATGTTTTACTCAGAATAGGCAAATCCTTAAAGCCAAATCTTGCCTTCTTACTATTAGCCATACAAGATAATCATTACTCCGTTTAGATCTCATCCAATTTCCTTTTGTGGAAATCATAGTTTTGATTTCTCAGCATCTTCTATACCAAGTTGGTCTCCACAAATCTTGCTCCCTGCATAAGTTATATATATTATTAATTGTTTTTAATAAATATTTAATACCCTCCATAAGAAATATATACAAACATTATTTATTTTAAATGCCTAAGTTTTATTGTGAATATTGCGGAATTTATCTCACACACTCCTCCCCAAGTGGAAGAAAACAACACTCACTCGGAAAAAAACACATTAGTGCTAGAGAAGACTATTACAGAGCTGTAATGAGTGATTTAGTAGATTAATTGAAAGCATCCTTTTAGAAGAATATAATCCCAACCTTCATCTCTAAAGACACAATCAAAAGATTACTCATTACACACTCTTCTGTGTTTTAAGGCTTACTCACTCCTGCGTTTGTAGAAACTATTGATAGTTTAGGATTGAGCGGCACAAGGACCTAATACATGCCCTAACCTACGTTGATTCTCCCCCCTCAAGGAGCTTATTAGCCAACGCCTTATAATATGATGCCCCCAGGAATGCAAATGAGATATTGAAATCAAAATTGTTTACAATTATTCCAAATTTGCTTCTACCTCTCTATTATTATCATCAACTCACTTATTGAAGTTGTAACTGTTAAATTTTGACCCTTCTATGCTAGAGAATAAAAAAGGTAGAACTTTTATTTTTCTAGATTGTTTTAAATCTTGTTTTAATTTTATTGTTCTATTTATATCATACAGAAGTTCATGCTTAAAATTTTTAAATGCTAGCTTTTTAAACAAACAAGTAAGAATTTATGTTTTAAAGATTAATGTTCTATTAATATATGAGGAATCAATTTAAAAATAATAAATGTAATATTAACATAATTTTATTAATTTAACTTCCTTATATTTAATTTTAATGTTATTTATATAAAATATTTAATTAATTCTGGAAGAAAATTAGCAATAATATATAAATTAAAAATAAGAAGCAAAAATTAGTTCAATAAACTGATTTTCATATATTTTATTATTTGTGAAAAAGTATGCAGAAATATCATAAACTTGTAATTTCTCTTCTCATAGTCTAAGATATAAATTACAATATTGAATTTATGAATTATATCATAAATGGAAAGAACTTAGAAAAAATGTCTAAATAGATTATAATAACTAAATTTTATTTCAAAGACATTTACAATTCCTCAATTTGGATGAAAGTGATTTGGATTAATAATTGGCAATCCGAAAACATTTCTTCATTTATAATTTATGATGATTTATAAATTATTTGTAGGATTTAGTTTAAACATGATAATATGATTTTACTATGTTGTAGTTTCAGTAAGAAGGGAGTTTTTTAATGACTAAATTTAAAGCATAAAACAAATAAATTCACAAGTAAATTGACGAGATTCTTGTTGGAGATTATGAGTATCTCAATATCGAGGTTGATCTCTTTCTTTATTCTTTTTAAAGACTTGGATTTACCCAATCAGTATTAGGTTACCCTTTCAGCTTCAAAATTGTCTTTTAGATCATTGTAACACTCTGACATGGTTTGTATGTACACACAATGAGATTTTCATTAAAGGATATTTTGGATTGATCCAAATCTAAATCATCCGGTTCATCTTCAATAATTTCCATTTTGTGATGAATACTTAAGGGAGTCATTGGAGTCAACTTGAATCCTGGAGATTGAGAAATCATTAGTAATAATTTTTAATTGCTAGATTTGAAATAATAAAACGATAGCTATTAAGGATTATATTAATGCGTAGTAAATAATTGCTTAACTTTTATTATATTCATAATTATTTAGTATATAATATTTACCATACTATCTATTACAGAAGGTCTTCATTGAGTGAGAAAATAGCCTTTGATAATTCTCTGATTGGTAATTATAAATAGATCTATAGAGTAAGTGGAGATTCTTCGTTAAGCAAAAGCAAAAAATAACGAAAATCACTTGTTGTCCATTTTTAATCAATATAAAATGTTTTGAATCTCAAGAATGCATTCCAGTAAATTTTATTGAGTGCTTCTTGGCATTTTGTATCTTAATTGATAAATTTCAATAAAGCTTGAGTAACACAATTTTACAGTTGTTGTAAATTTAGGTTCATGCTCTTTAATATTTTGAACTCAAAATAAAGTACATTTTTTATTAGCAATCGACATTTCTCATTATCTTCGTTAAATCTGGTGATCTATTATTATAAAGTTAGATTTATGGAATATTAAATGCTGAGTTCACAAAGTAATAAAAATTAAGAAAATAATTCCTTATCTACACTTATATATTCTATTTAAAAATGTTTTTTGAATTTTTCATAAATTTATTCACAAATTTAAGGTAATTCTTAAGCTAAATCTATTTTCTTCTCTGTTTAACCACTAATCTTCTTAATTTATAACTCCTTTGATTTCCCTATATATATTAAATCAATAATACTTGAAGGTTAATTTAATTCTCTCCTCTCATTATTCTATTGTTGCAAATATTATTTGATCTCTTTGTTTTTCTTATGCATACCAATTTAATAGACTCGATTATCTATAAGTATATCATCTTAATTCGTATCGTTCACTTAACCTTGAATTTAAGTCCTAAATCGAAATGCTTTTTCATTTACTTTGATTTCTTTTTTCATTTATTTTTCAATCCTCTATTCAGAAACATAGATAATTTGTCGAAAGTCTGATTTGTGTATTAATGAAAAGTCTCCTCCATAAATATGAAGATCTTCATGCGGTTTTTGATGCTGAATCATAAATTCGGTAATAACTTCATAAACTGTTTTACTGTCTGCTGTCACAATGTCTATAGGTTTTTTGTTTAACTAAAAAGTACAATAGTGGTGTTCAAACATGGAGCTCTGTAAATTTATCAAAAAATTTTAGATGTAGCGAAAAAATTGAGTAATTTATTTCTCATTAAGGAAATCTTTGAACTTTAAAAATTACTAGTATTTATGATTTTATGCTATCTCTTTTAAAAAGTCCTCAACACTCTCAATGATTATTATTAATGAGCCTGATTTTTCTTTTTAAGGAACTATATTTATAATCCCATTTGATGCAGGTTAAGCGTGTAGTTTCTCTACTATTTTATAAGAGTAATGTGAAATATTTCTTTTTGCTTTTGATTTCATTCCAGAGTAATCGACGTTAACTGAAAATGATCTTGGTTTTACGTCTGATTTGTTTATTTTGGGAAACATTAAATTAAATAAATGTCAAATAATAGAAATGAAGAAATAATAAAATAAGAAATTGAAAATGAAAAGCTGGCTTAAGAAAATAAATTTTTGAATCAAGAACTATCTAAAGTCCTTAGTAACTAAACATTTATTTGTAATTAATAAATATTATCAAGGCCAATAAAAGTATGATGATAAAACCTTAAAGATTATTATTAAGATGGAAAAATATAAATAGAAAGAATCAAGTGAATTGAAGTTTCGTCTATTTCCCGAAGAAAAAGTTTTAGAGATATCAGGACTTATATAAGAAAGAGATTAAGCATAATAAAATTAATACTATGTTTTTTTTTAAAAATTGAACCTGGAAAGCAAAGTTACTGGTAAGCCAAAAATCACACAGAAAGAAAGCAGTATTGAAATTATTTTTGATATAAAAAAATTTTGATGATTTATATGCACTTGATTTATAGAAAAAAGAACAAAAAAAGATGGGTATAAAAATAAAAAGTATTAACATTTAAATTTTATATTTTTTTCATTCGGAATTTTTCAAGTTTTCCGCAATTTCTTTAAGAATAGAAACAATTTATTACTTTGCTGATTCAGCAACACAACGTAAATTAAATTATGATGAATATAAAAAAAATAACAATATAAATTGATGATGTGATCAAAGTTTATGAATATTATGCCTTATTATATATATTAAACAATTAAAGAAGGAATCAATTTGACTTTTATTTTTTAACTATATTTATAGATGACTGAGGCCTAGTAACTACTTAATTTTTTTGCTTTTAAACAGTAATTTGAGGTTTACTAGGTTTTGAACACTTAACCATAGGCTAAGCCTAATTTTCTTTATTTGATTTTGATTTATTAAGTTTATTCGTTGGCTTTGATGCCTCAGCTGAGTTTAACTTTTAAAGTAGATTGGTTGTTTCCAATGATGACCTACATCTTGAAAATGGTTCCTTTGATTTCGAAGTTTATATTAATCTTTTTCCATTAGGTGATTAAGAAATCTCTCTGATATTAGGTTCAACTGATTAATTTCGAGTTTATATCTAATTTTCTTTAGGGGTTGATACTCTAGGTTGAGTTTCAAATTGTTCAGTTCTAGTAGTTTATAGCGAATCTATATGTTAGAATGTTTATTATAGTTATAAATTTTGCCATTGAGTTTATATTTAAGGTTATGCTTGCTGCTTTTATTGAATCTTATTCGATTATTATTATTACAATGGTTATTACTAATGTTATTATTATGTTGTTTTAATTATTTAATCTTAGTGAAAATATTGATTAGATTCATCCAATAATTGTGATTCCTAAGGACCTTCTTCGAGAGGAACTCTTTGCAAATAATCATTCATTATTTCATTTTGAAACAGTTTTGGTTATTTGGGATGATCTTATTGTAATCCAAAAAATGGACTTTGTAAATCAGTTTTATCTTCAGATTTTTCTTTGTCGAAAGAATTTAATGTTTTATTTTGTTAAACAGAGTTACTTTCATTTGAAGAATATTATTATTAGGAGTGATCAAATTGTCTTGGCTGTTATTGTCTGTTTTCTGGAGTGATGAAGAAACCTTTTCCTCTCATTTCAGCTTCATCGCTTAAATTAGGTGTTAAGATATCTTAAGAGGAAGCAGTGATGAAATTTTTCTTTGGATATGGTGTTATAAAATTTTATTAGGGCGTAGATGTCAGCTATTACTATTCCATTAGAGTTGTTTCAATCTTTAACAATGATTCTTTAAGATGTTTGATTTAATTTTAGACCTATATTTTTTTATAAAATTTAATACTTCAAATTTTTGTTGATTTTCTCCGCAAAATGTTTCTAATAAGGCTTTTAGTTTGCTATTAAGCACGACTTTCATCTACACAAGAAGTTATTATTATTTGAATTTTGTTATGTTTGTTTCAACTTATTGAGCTATCTTTAATATATCCTTGCCATTATTAAATTAAGCTATAAATTATAATAAGTTATGTAGAGAATCATAAAATTTAGACTTAAAATCCATAACTGATTATTATAATTCCTAATCAACATAATAATAAATTATACATCAAGCAAACGCTAAGGTTATGAATTGAATTTGACAGCACTTGCAACAATATTCGTTTCAAGTTCATTTAGGGAAACATTGAATAAATCACTTATTTTTTCTGCAGCATTACTCATAGTCGTTAATTTTATAATTTATTGAATAAAACCACTAAAAAATATATAGTAAATTAATATCATCTACAAAATATTTTATCTTGAATTTTGGACATCAATAATTAAGTAATCAGAATACCTAGAATGGACAATCATACAATAAAACTCAAAAGGTAAATTTGATATTTTTAAAATTAAATGACCATAAAAATTTGGCTTTTTTGCATTGACTTAAATCTAGTTAGAAATCTTATATTGAGTAATTGCTCATTGATTTTATACTGCAAATTGTTAATGTTAGCAAATTACTTAATTTTATTTCGTTGTATTTCCCAAGAAGTTATAAAATTTTTATCCTAATATTACCAATAAAACAATGTTATAAGAGTATTCAAAGCAGTATTTCCTAACTTTGTCATGATTGCAAGCGAAATAGGGTTGTTACTAAATTTTTTTCTTTAATTCTATTCTTTCAATTAAACAACTTGAATATTTGGTTCAAATTTTCATTAGAATTTGAAGATTATATTTTCCAATCAGTTCTTATTGTAATATTTAACAAGTTTTATATTTGGTTTTCTATAGAATATAAGTATTATAGTCTGCTTTGATATCACAATAAATTTAAGATTATAATTTTTAGTATAATTAATTAATATATATTTATCAAAGTTAATCACAAAGTAAATCAAGTTTTTCAAAAATAAGCTCTATTTATTCATAATCTCCGATTTCATAGCAGTATTTTTATTTTTAGATGAGTTCTTTCATTGACATGGCTACCTTTTTATATTTTTCAGTATTATTAACAGGGGGTAATGAAGTTCTAATAGTTTAATTGGGAGTATTGAATGAAAGTCTTCTTTAATGATCTTATGGTTAGTTGTTGGATCTTGAATTGTTTGAGATTTCTATTTTCGAATTCGGCGATGTGTCAAATCTTATCAAATTAAGATCAGTTGGATTTCGCGTATGTTTAGGTACGACAACATTTTATTAGTGAGAATTGTAATTCTCTTTATTAGTATTCTTTTAAATTGTCTAGGTTAATTATTAGACCGACGGATCCTTTATTCGATAATTTTTTTATGATCTTGGTTATTGTGACAAAATTACGTAGTTGGTTTGACAATAGAATAAAAAGGTGATTTTTTACTGATTCTGGGATGCTTAGATGGATTGGCTAAATCTTGATTATAACAATCCTATCCGAATGTGAATGCTTAATCTAGGTTCATTTAACGAGTAAATAAATTAATTTAAGTTAAGATTATGCAATAAATTTATAATTTGTAGCTTCAAATAATTGATTGAATTTTAAGACTTGTAGAATACAATATTTGTCTTCTTTATTCTCTAGATGAATTGTAGATAAAAAGAATGAGAAAAGTTTAATTATATATAATCATTAAATTGAATTAAAATGATCACGATATTTTTTTATCAATTTCTTAATTTCATTTTTGCTGGCTGTTTTAGTCATGGCTGGTTTTAATTTTAACTTCATATTGCATTCAGAGAATGTTAAAATTTCAATTTTATTTGGTTCCACTTATTTTATCAAATTTCCACTCAAAAGCAGAATGGCTCGTGTAGTTGATTTGGTCGAGGGCACACTATGTAAAAATATTAAGATACTATGGTTGAAAGTCTTGATTCTCAAATGATTTACTGATTTCAATCACAGTATCTTCGTCAATAAATTTTGTGTATTTGATATATAGAAAATCTCTTGGGTCCATAAAAAGTATTTTCTTATATCTCAAGTAATTGATTTGTAATCCTTCATCTGAATAATGAGATTCAAACTAATCCACTGATGAATCTAGTTACTTCTGGAGTTGTAGGTCTCTCATAAACGAAATGTAATTTTAAATTGTTGTGTTGAGTGTGAACTTATATCTCATTTAGGTAATTTGAAACTTTTCGGGTGTTTCATAATATCTAATCCAAAAAACAAATTCATCTTGATTATTCTCAAGCAGTTCATAGCCTTCACAATCTTCAAGTTAAGTTTTAAATATTTCTACAGCTTGGATCCCAATTTCTGTTAGGCTTTCAACATTTTTTGGATCCAAGTTTGGAATATTCTGAATGAACTCTCTAGCTTGACTTAGATTAATTTGATTTTCTTGGATGTCAAAATCATTGGATTTTTCCAACAACTTCTAATTTTAAGATTAAAGTTTGGTTTCTAAATCCTATGTGGCCAATTCTGTTTCATAGTCTAATTTATCAATGACAATTTGCTTTACTTTCATTCTTTAGTTCTACCTTCAAATTATTTTTAATCTCTTTGTCTGGATTTAACTCGACCTAACTAAACTATGACATTTGATAATTCTGGTCTGAGCTTTTGATTTTCGAATATTGAAAAATAGATATGCATTTACTCAGCAAATGCTTTATCCATTAGATGCATTTATTCATATAATAATATTATGTGGAAATAATTCAAAAATATCATTTTAGATTAAAGAGTAGCTTCCAAGTATACTGAAATTCAGAATGCAAAATTGTTCATTTCTAATTCAATCGAATTCAACTTCAATATCACACATGATGTTAATGCCATTTCGAAATTTAGTTATGTTTAAGCAAGAGCAAAATATGCAAAAAATCCAATATTGATCATAGGTAAGTCACATCCAATTTAGAATTCGTTCACATTGTTTGAATATACAACTCTCTATCCTCAATTACTTGGACTATATCACAACAAGATCCACACTGAGATCAATGGAATTGAATAATCATTATTACAAAAGGGAATCAATATTGCCCTCTCGGATGATCCTCATTAAATTAGTGGAATATATGTTGTCGGTTTGGAGAAGAATTGGGAGATCTAAGCTCAAGTAACAACTTATAAAAAATAAAGGTTATATGTGATCTTTTGAGCACAGAAAATGGACTCATTAATGACAAATTTCATTAAGTGGATCAACACATTCCTCTTGAATACTTTTACAATGTTGGAGATAAGAATATGGAAAATCAATAATTGGCAATAGAATCGACTTATAAACTCATATATGGTTAAGATGTCAAGATGTCTAGAGTAATTTCGGACTTTGATATACTCATCGACTATGCAAAATCCATCAAAGATACTCTTCTCTATATAAGTGAGGATTCCAGCTTCATCGTTAATGAAAAATAAATAGAGAAAATATGAATTATAAATACATTATGATGTTTATATATAAAATTTATACAATTTTGATAAAAAAAGCAAATGAAAATGAAAAACAAGATCGTCTCACTTTTTGTCAAAAGAGAACATTTAATTCTCTTGTCCAAAATGTAACTCAATGATTAAAATGAGCTCATTTTGGAAATTGACTAAGTCAATTAGAAGGTTGAAAATACTATATTGAAAACTGAGAGATGGCCTTAATGGGACTTAGATTATTTTTAGAATTCTTTTGTCTAGATAGTAAATTTGACATTCTCCTATTATAAAATGTATTTTCCTGTTAATTCAGCCTTACAATTTCGAGATCACTTGAAGTTCACTCAAAGCTTAAAGTAAATAAATTATGGAGGAGTAACACTCGAAGAAGTCTTTAAATAACAAAGGGTAGAAGTGAATCCCTATAATAGTTACGACTAGTCACCTCTCTCTCTATTCGACTCTCAGAAGAACCTCTGTAGCCAAAAATTGTTAACAATAAACTTGATTTTGATTACATCTCACTCCTACAATCAAAGTATTTCAACCAGAGGAACCCAGATTATCAACAACCTTACTCGATCCTCAATCTTAAACTCCTTGAATTGAAACCCAACACTCGCCCTCTAAGAGAAATATCAATCTTTTCAATTCAAGATGTACCACAATTTCAATTAATCAACCCACAACTAATACAACCAATTATAAATTATGACACCTTATCCAGCACTTACGAATACAAATTTAATAAATTAATGCAAAGAAATTCCCAAATTTAATAAACAATCAAAACTTACTACTCGTAGATTAAATTATTAGATTATAACTACAATGAAAATGATAAATTGAAATCGATATTTCTAGAAAAATTAAGAGAATGCTTATTCACAGAAAATTAGATTAAATCTATTAAACCGGCTAAAATCTAAACTAGCTTAAGTTAAATTAACATAGACACAGAAAAGATTAGTATGCTCAATAGTTTAAATTCAAATGATACTGATAGAAATAAATCACTGCAATAATCAATTAAGAGAGCCAGCAAAAATGAATCTTTTTGTGAACATGAAAAAATTAGAGTTTCAGACCGATAATAGAAATTAAAAAATAGAATCAAAAATTTGAACACTATGATTTTTAATTAAGTGAACAAAGCTAGGTAGAACTAAATCATTCCTGAATAATGTGATGATTCCCTTAATTTTCAATAGAATAATTAAAAAATGATCAAGGATTAATAAAATTTTAGATCTTTGACTCAGTACACTTTAGAGGATAGCTTCAAAGTTGATACTAATTAACATTAAAGCTATCAAGCACCAAAGAATCCTAAGCTTAAATAGCTAGATAGTCAATCTAAGGAGGAAGATAAAAAAATTTAAATCTCTGATTAATTAAGCAGTAGTATAGAGATGTAAGGTTAGAGGAAGAATTATAAATTCAGAAGATCACAATATGCTCCAGAAAATAGAAAAGTAGAAGATGCAATTGGGGATAATAGTAATAATACTGAACATATTAAATAAAATAATTATTCAATCAAAAAACAACATAACAAATCTATTGAACGTTTGACTTTAAAACCCATAGATTATGTCCAAGTATGTTCTGGAGATTAAAAATTATAATAAAATGAATAATTCACTTCCCCAAATAAACAAAAGAGATATCAAACATAAGAAAAGGAGGAATTAGAATTGAATGAGATTTTAAAATGGAAAAAACAAAGTAATTAAAGTTTGAGAAATGCTTTATTATTACTACAATGTGGGCGTTCAGATTAACTGTTGAATTCATTGATGGCCAGTGGAACAATTAAACATTAATAATATCAGTCTTTCTTATAACCAATAAAGATATATTCTAAAGCTAAATATCTGACTCCAAAGTGAATTATTTACATAAAATCAATGTGCTCATAAATTTTTATTATCTGGATAAAGATACTTAAATATGATATCTGCAGTTTAGAATTGATAGTTTTTTAATGCTACATCCATGGCTGTTTATCCATTATACTATATAATTTAGAAATAAGATCATACATTTTGAATTGAAACATCAGCACCATTTTTTATTAAAAATTCTACAATTGAGGCAGCTCCACATTGAGATGCTGAAATTAGCATTGTGTCACCATCATCATTTTAGAAATTTAAATCAATTGATGTTTCTAACTTAAGAATTTCTTTTAAATCCTAAAGTCGATGTTCACAAACCATCAGAAATATTCTTTCATATAAAGTTTTATCATCATTCTTTGTTTTCTAAATCATCATATTTCTTAATAGTAATGATTATGGGTCCATTGATAAATATTTCAGATTATTTTAAATTGAATTCAAACTTATTTTCTAATTCTATTTATTGATATTTTATTATTCTTTTTCTTTAACGATTGAGAGTTTTTATACTTGAGGAGTTTATTACTGTAATTAAAACTTTGAAGATGTTTATACTTGCAAAAATCTTTATGACTGTTCTAAAATTTAATTAATAACATTATATACTTTTAAAAATGTTTTTAATGAGAACTTATTAATTTTAACGACTGTTTTTCTATGTTCTAGAGTCGCTCTTAATTATAGATTATAAATAAATACAAGATTTGAAGGAGATTCTGATCTACTTTTGACAGGAGCAGGAGGTAGAGATAATATCATCAAGTTTGTCTGTTATATGGGAATAGTTTCCACTGTAGTTTCTCTATGATGTCTAGATTTTAGCATATTGGAATATTTTAGGGAAGTATTGTCAGTTAAACTATTACTTTATTATTGATAACACAATTTAACAAATTTTCTCTCCTAATTTTTGAGTTGATGCTTAAAGCAATCTTCAAAATATCCAATACTAATAAGATCAAATTTCTTTAAAAAAGATTTCAGAAATTTTTTTCTATCGTTTTTATTAATTCTAAGGAAGAGTCGATTTAAAGCTTCCAAATCTAAATATATATGTTGTTGATTTACGTGGTTGATGTGGCAAATCATAATCTATATGAATGACTTATTCAACTTAATTTGCAAAAGCCATTATTTCTTGATGAAGTAAAACATTTTTAGATTCATCAGAAATCGTTGATATAACAAATTTGATTAAGTTTTCTTAGATTACACGAGGATCAATTAAATTTGATGTAAGTAGTAGTTTTAGTTTATATCCCTAATCTGTTGAAAAATCAATATTGCTTTTATCATTGAGGAAACTATTGTCAGAAATCATACTAGAATCTTATGAATCAAATGGCTCAATACATCTGTAAATCTCAGAATGAATTTCAACAAACTAAGTGGTTTAAAAGTCTTTCTTAACTATAATTAATAATTACAATAATAGAGCAATCCAGAGGGAATTTCGAAACAAAGATTTATGGTTCTAGTTTCGTATCTTATTTCAGTATGTTCAATGAAGGTTTTGAATCTTTTTTGTCTTTTATTTTCTTTTAATTTATGCATTTTAACACATAATTTTACAAATAGTATCTTGTGAATTAGGTTGCTTTATCAGAGTTAAACTCATCTAATGTTGACCCATTAAGATTCTAAATTTAATTCATTTTTCTAATTTAATTAGATAGATTACTTGCTAAACATATTTTTAGAGACTAAAGAGTAGATATTTGATTATTTTGTATCTTTAGATTCTACTACATTATTGATTAATTAAACTGAAACTAATTAATCCTATTCCATATATTCAGGGGCAAAAAATTCAAACTATTTATATTTCTATTCTTCTGCGCACTCTATTACTAACTTAATTTTTTTCTGGTTATTTTATTGACAATTAGGAGATACAAGACAAATTGATGCTTACTTAATGGGATCTTATTATTTTTCTTTGATTTCTTCAATTAAACTTTTCATTGGTTTAAATGATTCAGCTTAATGAGTTAATGTTAATTATGAACTATATTTTGTATGTCTTTTTGGTATGACTGACAATTATTATTGAAAGAGGAGTTCTCTCTGATTAAAATGAGGTTATTCCGGTAAATAATATGTTTGAGCATGGAAAAAAATGTTAGATTTGGCCATTTAAGTTTCAATCATAGTTTTGCTTTTCAATTCTCTTTCCTCGTTTCTTTCTCTATGAGTTTTAAGTAGTTGAATAATCTTTCTGATCATCCTAGAGCTTTTATCTTAAAACTTGTCATATTCATTTAATTTGGTCTTACAAAATATATGGTTTTTCTCCTTGATTTTGGACTACTTTTAACTTAATACCAACTCTTCGCAAAGAACATCATAGAATTTTGGAGTTAATACTTAGACTTCCTCGGCTAGTGGTTTTATTACATACTCTGGTTCCCAAAGTTGGATGGAGGGCGATGTTTTTATTCTTTGAGAAATTAATGTAGCACTTGGCTTTCTACTAATAATGACTATTGATTTTTTGAATTCATTTTAGGCTATTTAATCCTATTCAGTTTTAGCACGAGCAGAACTGGGCTGCAACTCAGGCAATTTTATAGTTGTCTCATTCTTTCTTCGATGTTTACTTCTGGTAAAGGTTAAATAGGAAGTTGGCTTCAATTCATTTGATCTTGTAACTGCCGAATTTGTACTTACTTATGAAATTGGTTTGGCCATTTTCTTGACAAAATAGTTATTGGCATGTTATTTCATTATTATAAAATGCCTAATTCAAATGAAACAATTATTTTTAATTCTGATTATACTATTAGAATATATGCATCTAATAAGATTTCTCTAGTTTTTAAGTTAAAATTCATCCTTTATTTGAAGGAGAGTTTTTATATTAATGGGAATTCATTGAAAATTAACATTTTCTGCAATTTTTCATTATAATAAGCTCCACTTGAAGATATATATAGATTGGTATACAAATTATACGGTCTAAACTCCATAAAATTATTGTTTTTAAACAAATTAAAGAAATTAAGGGTTCATAAATAAAATTACAAATGTGCCCATTCCTTAATGCTATCAGAATACTAAGCTTATGGTTCATAATAATGGCTGTGTTTGTCAACAAGAGCCAAGGAAAAAGAATAGCGCAGATGACTTGGACCTGTTTAGATAAACTTGGAACTATTTTGTTAAACTTTCACTAAAGATGTATTATATGATTTCATCAATTAATTTTTTACAATGTAATAAAAAATCATCACTCTTTGCATCATCAGTTGCTTAATTACATCCACATTAGCCGTTAAAGGCATAGATATAGCTGACGCCTTTAATAATTTTACTTGTTTCAAAAATGCAGGTTATCAATTTGCCATCATTCGTGGATATAGAAGTTATGGAGCAGTTGATCCAAATGGTGCCACCAACATGAAAAATGCATAAGCCGCAGGATTAATCACAGATGCATATTTCTTCCCATGCAAAGGAAGTAATTTATGAGAATTTACATTTCCTAGAAATCACAGCCGCTTAGTAGGTCTCTGATTTTATTAGTGCATTCGGACAAGAAGAAGAGAACTCAACCAATGGATTATATGGAACTATCTGGGTGGATGTTGAAACCAACCCAAGTACTGGCTGTGGATGGAGCAGCTCTGATTACACCGGAAATTGCAATTTCTTGAATGATTTGATCACAACCTTTAAAAACAAAGGAAAGCTCACAGGTATTTATTCTAGCAAATACTAATGGGAAACTATTTTTGGATCAGCTTCAGCATGTGCTAAATTTACGTCATTACCTCTTTGGTATGCTCATTATGACAATAGCCCATCATTTTCTGATTATGCTAAATATTCATTTGGTGGGTGGACTACTCCTAACATAAAATAATATAACGGAGATCAAACTGTCTGCAATGCAGATGTTGATTTGAATTTTTATTGATTTGCACAATATCATCATCATTATAAATTTACATTTATTTACTTTTACAAGGTGTAATCATTCAAGAACTTATAAGATCTCTTTTGAAATAACTACTCTTTATGCATTTGATACAGATAATATGGTTATCTTAAAATATTAAGGATTATAATAGCAATATAAAATTAACTTAATGAGTTAGAATATTTAGCTTAGTAACTCTGGACAATAACAGAAGGATTTCGATGACTTAAGTACAAAACTAGAAATTGAGTGAATAGTTAAAAAGTTTATGACATCATCATTATTATTATTATTAAAATTTATAATAAGAAGGAGTTTTAATAAATTTATTCTTCAATTATCAACTTATTCATTAAATGTAGGTTCAATCTATAACTTAATCTTTATATTTTAATTTTTAATCATAACTTTGTATTTTTCCTATATTGAGTAAAAAAATGAATTATATTTTATTTCTGAGCTGTCTCAAAATCTTGTTCCTTTTTTAATATAAATTTAACCTTCCTTTTTCATTTATAATGATTTAATTAGTTAGTAAAATATGATCGATTTTCCATAATTAAAATACATTTATAACTCACAATATGATGAATTCTGAAATGAGTATAAATATAATTGAAAAAAAAATTATTATTATGCTCATACTCTTCTCAAAAAAGGCTTAAAGCAAATTTGATAATAAGGATTTTGTAATCTGTGATTGTTGACTAAACCTTTCTGAAAATTTCATTATAATCAAACAAGAATAGTATAAAAAATAATTATAAATTAATGTAATAATTAAGAATTAAATAAGTATTATAATTTAAATACCAGTCCCGCCAAACTTATAAATTATTTAGGATTAAAGCAAAATTACATCTGATTTTTATTAATTAATTTAAATCAGCAAACCTCAATTTTGGATGTCATTGTTTTTCTTCTTCGAAGACTAATAGAATGAGATTATTGTTGAGACTCTAATATTTATTTCAATTTTTTTGGTTCTAACTTTCTAGCTTATTAAGTAAATTAATAAATAGCTTTAGATTTAAGCAGTGTACTCAATAGAAGTCAATATACGAACAAAGCTATATAAAATAGTCTCCATCAGAGTTCGAGTAAAATAAATAACAGCTAACTAAATATCATATGGAAAAATTATAGGAGAATCCTAAGTTTAGAGAATGGTAAGAATCATCGAAAAAGAGTTGATAAATTTTAATTACTAAATTTATAATATATGTAAAACATTATTAATTTAACTCTTTATTATTGTTTTCAACTTATTACAATAGAGTATATTAAACTATACTTAAAAATTCTATTATTAAAAAAAAATAAGATGGTTTAATATGAAAAATAGAATGTCTTTTAATTTTAATATCTAATAAATCATTAAGTTTTCTTTTTAAAAAACTAATCTAATTTTTTTTATTTAGGATCTTCCTATACTTACTATGAAGTATTTGTTTTTTTAATTTTTGGTTTTGTTTCCTTTTTTGTGCTACTTTGTTAATCCCCTGTTTTTTTAACTTTAATTTTACTTTATTTTACTTCTTCTTGATTTTCAGTGATTTTTTCTTATTTAGCTTCTGACTTTTTGGCCTTCTTTTCTTTTTTGTTTTATGGCTTTTCAGCATTTTATTCTCCGTCTTGATTTTCAGGTGCTTGTTCTTTATTCTTTGGTTTACTTTATTTAGATTTTTTTTATTTTCCTTTATTTGATTATTTTTATTCTTCTTGATTAGTATTTAGCTAATTGTGATCTGGCTAATCATTGTCTTTTTAACCTTGTTCATCTTGGTTATGATCTTTGTCTTCTTGATTATTGTCACCTTCATTAGGGTTTCCTTTTTTCTTTGAAGTCTTTGTCTTTTTCTATTAGGATAGTTTATCAAAGTTGAATTAAGTGTTTTTAACAAGGTAATAATCCTTTTCTAAATTGTCAAATTATTTCAACAGCTTATCTTCAGCAGACTAAGATTTAATATTCGATAATTTATTTGAAAATATTCTAATTTTATCCAACTTGTTTAGTAGATCTTAGATGTTCTTCCTGATTGTCAATAGTTATAGTAATTCTGGATTATCAGTTGGTTCAACAAATTTAGTTATGATTTCACTGCTATAATGATCCACACTTAATAATTGTGAGGGACAAGCAGTGTCTTTTAATTCAAACAATTTTTTATAATCATATTTCTTTCCTATATTGTTGTTATTGATATTAATGGTGATAATCTGCTCACATTGTAGGTCGTCTGTGACTTAAAAACCGTGTTCTACTAATTTTTCATTAATCTTGGTTAGCAAGTCAGATTGCTTTCCCCAATAGTGAGAAGCTAAATATTTACCTAATTAGACTTCATCCTATTTCTCAATAATTTCCTTTATGAATTAATCAGAGGCTGGATTCACAGGAAACCCTAATTCTTAAATTTGTTCTTAGATTTTTTTGTAATCAGAACATTTTTTCTCGATTTCTTCAATTTTAGATGATCTAATGTATTTTGTTTAGGTTTCTTATTATTCTTGATTTTGTTGTGTTTTGGCACTTTTTGTTTATTTCGGCATACCGCGCAAATATCAATAATAAATTTAATAAATAATTAAATTTTGGGAATTTTGAATAATCAAAATAAATGAGACTTAATAACAAAACATTATAAATAATTGATTGGTATTTCAATTGAAGAGTAGCAATAAAAATCTGACAATCATCAAATGAAATAGGTTAGGGGTCTGCCTTAATGATTCACTATAACAATTTTCTGCTTGAGTGGAGAAGTTTACTTTTTTGATTGGACATAGTGAGTGGAATTGGACGACTTCAAGAACTTGGAACAATCGATTAAGGAGAAATGTATTTGTTTTTTTCTGACATCCTAGAGAAGGTATTGAAATGTAATACCTATTGATTACGATTTGTATAACTGGTATCTTAATCGAATTGAGTGGTAATTATTTACTGACTGCTAAGGGTTGATTACTGATGCTGGGAATATTAAATATTCGGCAATAATCTTCTGATTTCCAAGGATTGTTGTTTTTTATTTTCATATTTGGTTGACAAAAATATTTTTTCATATAGTTCTATGTCTTTTAATACTTTATCATTAGCGGCGATTTCATTTTTGTGAGTGTTGACTTTCATGAAGTTTTTCATTCGATGATTAATTTATTAATTTTATGCTAAGAATATTTGGTAAATATAGATTCTCAAATCAAAATTTTATTAATTACTTGGAGTTCGTAGTGATGCTACAAATGAGGAAATAAAAAAGTAATTCTACATTCTGGCCAAACAGCACCATCCTGATTCTCACAATGCAAAGGAGAGTGACCAAGTATCATTGAAAATTTATTATAGGAATTGTTTAAAACAATCGTAGCAGCATATAATACATTAACAGATGAGAACGAGAGAAAGAAATAAAATAGGATTTTGAACAAATAACAACAATAACCATAGAGGAAACAGTAGAATTAAGAAACTAGAACCCAATAACCTCAACAATAGAGACAGTATCAATAGAGATCTATTAATCCAGATGCTTAGTTTTACTATGATTTTCGAATGAAGACTTAGGACTTCGAGGAGAAGGACTTTCATAGACAAAGACACAAATTTATTTGAGGACAACCCATCCTTCCATAGTAGGAGGAACAGTCCAGAACTGTATGTATGAGTTTGGTGTTGTTTGTAATAATGTGGAGGTGGAACTCATAGATGATTGAGGAGAGAACGCAATCGAGATATCAGTCATTTCCAGAGAATCCTGAAATCATAAGAGAGAAAGAAAGAGATTACAAGAAGCGTTATGGTTACTCACCTTATCCAAATAAACAAATATTGTACAAAGTGACTGAAACTGAATGCAAATAAAGAGATAATATTAAATAAGAAATATTCTGGTATATAAAATTGGGCCCGTTTATGTTATCAGAGATTGAATAGATTCGGATCATAATAGGGTGCTTAGGTTATTTAAGCAAGTCAAGATTCATAAGATACGGTTAATAAATACTTAAAATTGTCAAAAAAGGCATAAATTAATAAATAACGTGTGGACGAGGAAGATGAAGAGGATGAATCTAAATTATACCAGCAAGCAAAGGTCTTCAGAAGACTCAAATGTGTTGATGGTAATCATCTAAATATAAATATGCAGAATGTGTAAAATCTAGAGGAGAATCAGTAATATCAATAATGATGACTATGATTTAATGTTCTAATTTATTTATTTTGATTTAATAATGTTCATATGAAGAAGAGTGATCTTCTCTGATTCAATATCGGATTTGGCTTAATCAAGGATTGTGGTTTTCTGGGATCGAATCTATCTCCTATAAAATTAGAACAAACATGGGCATATTGGATTGGTGCAGGTATCTACTAAAACAATAACAATTACTTTGATGGCTCCACTGAAATTGTAATACATGTAGCACAGCTTATAAGACAAGGACTACAATTTCTTCAAGATGTTAGGTTCATCGGACATATCATTCACTAAGACATGATAATGAGTGGGCTACACTGTTCCTTAGGTGGTTCTTTGTGAAATCAGATAATAATCATCCTTTCCATTGCTAATCTCAGTGTCGATCAAAGTACCCTAAGGAGGATTGTCTAAGTTTCTAAGTTAATAATAATGAAGATAAGTAACCTCTCTCCAGCATAGAATTTAGCCCCTACTTTTTTGTTGACTGATAATACTATCAATTTGATTGGTTTGTCAGAGTTCTTTTCTGTTTTGACTTGTTCTATGGCTTGTCTGAATTAGGCTACCTCTGTTTCAATAACAGTTTTAGCCTAGGAATTAGAAACACCGTCTCTAAATATAATGATTCTGGATGGCAAAGGACCGTTCCTGTCTCCACAGAAGGATTGCAAGGATTTGACTAAGACTGGACACAAACTGAATGAGAATTCTACTCCAGTTTCCATTTCAATTGATTAGGTCATGTATTTGCTAAAGAATTCATCTTCTGTAGATACAAATGATAACATAGACTTCTTAGCTTTGCCAGTGGAATGATACACATCCATACCGCATATCATGGTAGGTTGATCTGTAAATGGTAATTCTGAGACTCCCCAAGGTGTTCCTCCAACTTTAGCACAAATTTGAACCAATAACTTATTGCAAATAGTCTTGACTTTGCCTTTGGGTTGATTTAAAGTGGAACTCAATATAACCTAAGAGGCTATTGGACAATCATTGATCAAATATCTTTTGATGTCTGTGTAGAGTGGAGCATTCTTCTTTGGCCCATTCAAAATCAATAAGAGCAAGGTCACCTTTTAAGGTCCTTATGATTGTTGGACAATTTAATCTATTTACTTAATCCAATCTTCAATTCTATTTGAATGAAGCACAAAAGTACGAGGAGCCTTGCATTAAAACTTACAATATTCTATACTCTCTCTCAAACAACTCATGAAATCTTCTGCTTATCTACCATCTCTATCACTATAAAGGATTCCCCAATTCTCCAAGCCCACTCCTCTCAACATCGCAGTTTGAGTATCTCTATCTAAATTACCTGTTTCTATATTGATGGCAGTGTTGTTGCCCATCATAATGTTGCCTGGTTTGATTTTAGAACTCTATATCTACAAACACTTAGGTTCCAATTGAATATTCCATTTCTTTATTAATTCTTCACTCTCCTTGTTGTGAAAACACTAAATAAATTGGTCTGCCTATCTCACTCTGTCTACTCCTCTGGGTTTAGTAACAGTGGATAACTATTTCATAGTTTAGAAGTTGTTTCTCATTTCATTAGATAATCCAGTCATCACACACAATTCTGGTATTAAGTAGATGATCTTCTCTTCTTGCTTCTTCCTTGATTTCTCTAAGACCTCGATCAATGGCTAAGTAACGTCCTTGATGGCAATCTTATATCTATTATGTGTTATTATTCTATTCTTACTTATCTTAGTAATATTGCATGTAACTCATCTTCTCTCCTTTTAAATTTTCAAATTCACTCTTTGGATTCATCTCCCTACTCACTTTATTCACTTTATAGAATTTGTAATTGTAGACTGTCATCACGATGGCCCCTTCCAATTAGGAGAAGTCTCTTGAGTTCCTCAATTCCTCATACATGGTTGTGCTCCTCAACATTTTGAATGAAGAGTCGATGTTGATGTAATACTTCCCTTGTTCTTCTTGTTTTATAAGACTGCAACTTACTCCTGGTAATACCTTTGGATAATTAAAACTTAATATACTTTCAATCCGAATTAATCAAAATTAATTAAATTTTTAGTGTTAAAGTACTTTCTTCCGATCTGCAACAATTTCTACTGCTTTAATAACATCTTAAAGAATCTTCCAATCAACCCAGTGTACTCAGGTTCTCCAGGCTTGAGAACAGCCTTCTCTTCGATCGAAATCGAATAACTGGTTCCTTCTTCTTCGTATACTCCAAGTAGCAGTCCCATGGTCTGAGCTCTCACAGGGGAATAGAGGATTTAGTTGTTGGTAATGAAGACCTTCAGGTTCTCTTGAAGACCTGACTTAGCAATCTTGAATATGTCTCTCCATTTGGATATCTATTGTTCTGGAGATAAGAATGGTTGAAATGATAGCTGTGGAAGAATAGACATGCATATCTTACTTGATATCTGTAAATGTGGCTGTTTGGGTTGATCTGGATCTAATAGAAGTTTGTGTAAACTGTTTGTCCTCTCTCAATCATAAATGATTTTAATAATTGTAGAAAGTCGAGAGGACTAATTGCTGCATATATAATCTAAAAAATCTAAGGATTTTATTTATGTTCTGTAAAATTTAGAGTAGCCAATCATCTGTGTATAGCCAAATAATTTCATTTTTTAAATATCCTCATATAACTTTATAAGTGTTATTTACTGAACATCGAGAGGAGAGGAACTTTTCGAAGTTAGAAGTCTGTAGAGCTGGGGAGAGTGAGATAAAAATATCAAGACCAAATTGATATATTGAATTGAAAAACATAATTGTCATTTACTAAATAATTTTTATAATATAGAAATTTGATTATGTGTTGACATACTTCTTTTAATTTCTTCTAGTAATGGAAATAGAAATATATATATCATTCTGTTTTTTTATGATATTGTGAATAAATTGATTAAAGATTCAAGTGAATGAAAATACTTCATCATATCTTTAGAAAGAACAAAACTTAAATAATAGAGTTACTCTGATGGTAGATGATGGGTTGATAAAATAAGATGAACTATAAATTTCATTTAAAATGAATGAACCTTATTTTATATCAATATTAACTTCATGAAAAATAGAGAGATGGGTATTTAAAATAGTAATGCATATTTAATTAATTTGAAATGAATTGTTTGGATGCATATAATTTATTATAAACACTTTTTTAACTAGTTTAATTCATTATTTATTATGAGTAGGAAGACTTGAATCATAAAATGTAGAAATGTGAGGTACTTATGGGTTTGAATCTTTCAAAGAAGTGGCAATTATAGAATAATCTAAACTAGGAAATAATAAAGTTGATTAATGATACATATAAATTCAGGAATCAATTATCAAAAATGAAATATACTTAATAAGTTGTTCATGGTGTTAATAGAAAAGGGCGAGTATTTTATAACTTAGTATGATGAGTTAAATGAATAATTATTAATATAATATATATATAGAGTATCATATGCAATAAACAATTGACAAAGGGTTTTATCAAAGCAAGGTTTGCGTCATCGATAATGGTATTTGATTGAGGTGCATTGTAGGTACTGGGTTTACAAAGATGGGATGGGCTGGGAATACTGAGCCTCAATTCGATATTCCTACTGTTGTGGCAGATCATCAAGAAAAAGTAATTCGACAGATTGATATTAGTAAAAAGTTCAAATGAGCAAGAATACTAATGAGAATTTGGATTACTACATTGGATACGAGGCTTATGACTACACAAAGTCTCACAATATCTTTTATCCAATGAAGAGTGGAATCGTAGAAAATTGGGATCTGATGGAGAAGTTTTGGCATAGGAGTATATTTGATTACCTCAGGGCTGAACCAGATGAAACAACCTTCATTTTGACTGAACCTCCTATGGTAAATATGCAATATGGATATATAGAATCCTCCTGAAAATAGAGAGAATATCGCAGAAATCTTTTTTGAGACATTCAATGCCAAGGGATTGCACATTTCAGTTTAGGCAGTCTTATCCCTCTTCTCTAGTGCCTTTGCTCCTGTGAATGATTATCAAAAAACAGCCGGATTGACAGGCATGGTTTTGGACTCAGGAGATGGTGTGACACATTGCATTCCTGTGGCAGATGGTTATGTGATAGGATCATGTATCAAACACATTCCTTTGGCAGGAAGAGACATCACCCAATTTATCTAAAATTTATTGAAGGAGAGAGGAGAAAACATACCAGCAGAAGATATCAAAAAAGTAGCCAGGGAAGTCAAAGAGAAATATGGATATTGTATAGGAGATGGAGACCTCATCAAGGAATTCCAAGCTTATGACAGAGGAGACAAGAACAAATTCAAGACCTATTATGGAAAGAGCTCAGTTACCAAAGAGAAATACACAATCGACATTGGTTACGAAAGATTCTTAGGTCCTGAGATGTTCTTCCATCCAGAATTCTTGGATGGCAAATGGAGATCTCCCATTGATGAAGTCATCGATAAATCCATCTAAACCTCCCCTGTGGATTGCAGAAAGAAATTATATCAAAATATCATCTTATCCGGTGGATCCACTTTGTTTGATGGGTTTTCTCAAAGATTGGAACAGCAAGTTTAACTGAGAATCGATTCCAGACTCTAGAAATACGAACAAAGGTCTGGATTCAAAGTATTATCTATCTCATTATATATTAAAGCCTGCATCCATCAAGGTCAATGTCACTCAGAACCCGTTCCAAAGATATGCTGTCTGGTAGGGAGGAAGTTTGATGGCATTATAAGTATTTGTGTATATCTAGATCGTAGCCACAATTTGAGAAGGTGTATCACACTAGATAAGAGTATTTCGAAAGAGGGTCCATCCATTGCCAGATACAATGCTGTCTTTTAGCCATAATATTGAATGAATATGTTCACATCACATAAGAAAATTAATATTAATTAATGAGTACTGAATCATACTAATACAAACCTCATGTCATCAACATTTCCTATCAGGAGATCTCGCCTGACATCCCAGAGTTCTTCACACATAAAAGACATGTATTTATTATGACCAATACAGGAAGACCCATTTATGTGAGATATGGGAGCGAAATCAAAGTATTTAGATTCATAACATATCACAAGTCCTCCATCTTTTTAGCCACCATCAATGCCATCTTCCAAAAGTTCCTTCTATTCTTTTTTGAAGACAAAGAAAAACAAACCCTATTTAAGATTTCGCATGACAAAAGCAATATTTACATTCTGCAAAGAAATTAAATCACTTGCATCTGCGCAACGAATGTCCTCCAAGTATACACAACTGCTATTCTTCATAGGACTCGGAATTCATCATTTACCAGATGTTGGATTTTCTCAACACCTAATTGATATCCATAGTCACAGATTAAGCAAATGTCCAATTAACCCAAAAACCCAATTATGATTTGGCATATTCTCTGGGAGGATCCAGAAATCTATTGACGTTGGCCCTAAAGAACGGATTATATTCTCCATGCATAGCCTTCAATTCAATCTGCACTTTGACCATGACAGCCTCATTGAGATCCTTTATACACAATAATTTAAAGGAAACCAAAGTGGCCAATGTGATAGCCTCCTTGTTATTGACTGAAACCTACGTGATCGACATTTGGAGACAAAAGAACATGGAATTCAAGACTTCTGACATCACGATCATACAAAGCATGATCTAGGGATAAGGCCAATTGAAGAAGGGAGAGAACTGGATCCCAGTGTGTCTGCCTGGCCTATCAGCAATGGGATTTGTGTATGCTTACATCTACTTCTTCTATTAAAACACTATTGGGATAGTAATGATATCCGATGACAACTCGTTGGACATGTTCACAAAGTGCAAGGAGGCCTCCTCAACTTTGATTAAGAAATTCGATTAAAATGGTTTAGAGCAAAGTCTATTCACATGTCTTCAAAATAACCCAATCACTCCCAAATGCATAGAGAATTAGACTCAAATCAAGCATTTCATCGTCAGACACATTTCAGGACAAGTGTTCCTGCCAATGTTCTAACCATTCGGAAAGAACTCCAAGACTTTCAAGTTCTATATGCAATAATATGGAGAACTGTATAAGGATTTCATGATCTCCCAATCTCTTGGCAATTCAGATGTAAAATAAAACTACTTCGTTTGGGATTCTAAAGGTTTTGGCATCACGCAATACCATGATGTTATTGTAAGCATATTCGAATTATTATTAGATTATGTTCTGCTTTAATGAATTGATTGAATTCCAATAAATAGTTTAGAATGTTCATACTCTACAAAAAATGTTCAGAACAGAAGACTTGATCAACTTTTTTATATTGAAACCATCCTGATGTTTGATTTATGACAAAGTATATATATATTAAAATTTGTAATGTAATAAAAGCAATTACACATTCCTGGAAAGAGATTAAAACACTATGAAATAGTCAAACTCATTGGATCAGGAGGATATTGCAAAGTGTATCACGTAAAGATAATTTGTTAATATAAAAAGGCTGTCAACGTATAAACCAACGAGAATGTAGCAATAAAAGCAGTGGCTATGTCAACCTTTAAGAATCATGGAGGACTAGTGGGACAATTGCATGAAACAGAAAAATAAAACATGAAACTCATTAAGAGCAACTATGTTGTAAAATTTATTGATGAATTCCAATAAAACAAATATTCATATATTGTTATGGAGTATTGTAATTGTAATACGTCTTTATTTATTTATCACAGAGGGAGACATTGAGAAACTTTGGCTGGATAAAAATAAACACTTTAGTGAATAAGAAGCTATCGTATATGTGAAACAAATGCTTAAAGGAATGCAAGATCTGTAAAAATGTTATGTGATGCATCGAGACATAAAAATGAAGAATATTCTGTTACATAATGATTAAATCAAGTTAGGAGACCTGGGATTCAGTAAGTCTACTTTTTAACTTTATGCATTTAGTATAACAATGATAATCCTATGACCCTGACTATTGGGATGCTTGGCTACATGGCTCCAGAGGTTGTTCAATCTAAATAATACAACAACACTGCTGATATCTTTAGTTTGGGTTGTTTGTTCTACTTGATGATTTATGGGGAATTACCCTTCTCTGATTAGAATCACTAGATCTATTTGTATGAAACCAAAAATAAAAGTAAAATAACACTTTATCAAGAGAAATCATTCATCATGAGAACACAAAAACATCAGAGAAAACTTAGTTCATTCTCAATTCGATGTTAGAATATGACCAAGACAAAAGAATTGCTTGGACAGAGTTGTATAAATATTTTGATCAAATGTGAATATCACAAAGAGAATAAATATATGCATGTGAAGTATATCATAATTCAATATTACCTAAAACCTCTTAAATCTCAAAGGGATAATTAACACTCTTCATCTCTTATAACAAATCATCATCTTTTATTTCTGGATTTTTTAAACTCTAAAGAGTTTTCTCCTAATCCTTGAATCTTGGAGCTAATATCTTCAATATAGCAATTCCACATTTCCATAGGATATGAGTACCATTAAATAGCATCCTGTCCCAAATTCTACCTACAATATCTGGATTCAAAGGTTTTGCAAAGAGAGTCAAGATCCAATCGAGTAAATAATTAGTACAATTGATGTTATATTATTTAAATAGTTTATGAACTTGTGGGATGTTGAGTTTGATTAGTTTTTCAAATTATTGGAATATGACTTGGAGATTCTGTTCATCAAGCATAAATATCGATATTAATTGAGGATGCGTTATTAAACTACTAAAGATAACAAACGCCTGATAGTCATCGAAATACGTTAGCAGGATCGATCCAATATAAGTCATCCCCTATACATACCCAATATCTGGTCTATATAAGCAGAATACTTCAAGAATGGATTGCAAGTTCTCGCTTAGAGGTCCTCCTGGATGAAAGATCTTTTGCAAGCCTAATGATGTTATTAATGGGGATCAATACTTTCGTTTTTGAATGTTCTCCCTAGGTCTTATTTGACATGATTAAATGAAGACAGTCTTCCTAAGGGTTTTCTTTGGTCCAATTTAAATGTTTTACTTTGAACTTGTAAGATATTATAAAGTTCTTTGGTAATTTATAGTTTATTGCCTACAATGAGAGGCCAGACTTATTTTCTGGCACTTATGGGTATGCCGAATTCTGCTAATTGGAATACTTTCACATCTCTTTTGTTTCTTTGCCAATCCTTAGCTATATCTGACCATCTCTTTTTTAATTCCTAAATTTACTAGTGAATAGTTAAACTTTTTCATTTTCCTATTGTTTTTATTCAAATAAATTCTTGCTTCGATTAAACTTAATCGTATTCTCTTCATGCAATGACGAGCTCCTTGCTGACATCATGCACTTATTGGTGAAATAACTTTGGACATCCACCAGATATTCATTCTCTTTATTTTAATTCATTTTGGAGGAAGAAATTTAAAAATATTAGTTTAATAAATTACTTATTTGTTAAATTAACTACTTTTTAATAAAAATGAAATTAAATATCTCAGGAACATCTATCAACACCAAATCCTCACTCAACACCAAGTTAGAATAGAATGCTAAGAATCTAAAACAGAATGAGGACAATCTCTTTTTTGATCTAACAGAATTCTAAATCTCTGACTCAAATACACCCCTAAGCATTTAACTGAAAGAATCCAACTCAACTAATTCATAACTAACCAAACATTTCTTCCCTTCCAAACCAGTTTTATCAGAAAATAAACTACCTCCCTTGAACTCTAGATACCATCTAGTACCAGAAATATCAAGAGAGTAGATTATAAAAAAGAAACTATTTAAAGAAAACTACTCTGTCCTCTCTTTCCCCTCCGCGTAATCCCTGTTTTCATCTAAAAGTCAATCAATCGATTATTAGAAGTTAGGATAGCAAATTGTTAATACTCCCAACTCTCAAGACTATTATAAATTTTACAAGCATTCTAATAAATGTCTAGATGCTCAATCCTACAATGAAACTCCCAATAATATATACGTAAATTTAAATAAGGCTATGCAAGACCAACAGTGCATGCCTAGAAAGATGCAAATTATTGATAATCTAAATAAAAAAGAAATTAGTGTTGCTGGCTAATTGAGTAGTCATCAATATATTAAGTTATTTGCAGCAGGATTAGGATCCTCAACATTCCACTAATTAGAAAGACTCAATGTCAGTTCTAATAATCTTGATAATGAAGATTTGGAGATCATTTTAGATTAATTACCAAAATCAGTTCAATCAGTGGATTTAAAGAATAATAAGATATCTAAAAATGGTTGCTTATTTCTTTAGAAGCTGTTAATGAGATAACACTAATTTGTCATTGAACTTAACTTGGAGAACAATCTAATTGGAGACTAAGGTTTAAAGTACTTAATTGATTCTTTGTAAAATAACAAATGTCTGAGAATTCTTAATCTGTCTCAAAATCAAATTTAAGATTAGGTGATGGAGCCATTTGGGAGAATGATGAAAAAGGTATTCGTTATAATTATTAATAATAGAATAATATCATATAGGAATTATATCTACATTACAATAAAATAACATTCAAAGGAGGCATCTTCTTCTTTAAAGGATTGTGCAAGAATTCTGTGTTAAAGGTCCTGGATATTTCATTCAATAAGTTGGGAGGGAATAAGGATTGCACTAATGAAATCTGTAATTTTATTGCAAGACCTCATCCTGAATTGATTCATTTAGATTTGTCACATAATGATTTCAAAGACAGTGATTCCTAAAAGATTGCAAATGAATTAGAGTTCAATAAAATAATTTATGGATTTCATTTTGAAGGCAATTCAAATTATTAAATAAACCATTAAGGGTATCTAAGAGAACAGAAAAACAAAAAATTAGTTACAGAATCATAATACGATGACATTAATATTGAGGAATTAGATAAGAAACACCTCGAATTGCAGATGTAATAGATGGAATAGTAAACTCAAAAAAAAAAGAATGAATTCATTAGAATTTAGAGTGTAGATATAGTTAATTTGTAATTGGAGAGCTGCTGGATTTGTTAAGGTTGGCTCGAAGTCATGTTCCAATGGAAACCACATAAATCAGGATTCTTAGACGAAGATCCGATATTCATCCATCTTGAGTTTGAGGATTATTAGCCATCAAATATGCAAAAAACAAATGATGGATACTTCACTCTCTATAGAATGTGTCCTCCTAATCAAACTATTAGATACTTCTTTAGCAACCCAGTTCAAAATGTTTAAGTTTACGCCAAGGATCAAAGGACTATCTAAACTTAGACTCATTCTCAATTGAGGAATTTTGGAGTACAGATGGAATATTCTAATGGCAAAGTGTTATAAAGTCAACCTCTGCATACAGTTAATATGATGTAAACCTCATAGTCTACTCCTATTTTTGATAAAAAGAAACATTATCTAGCAAACATTCAGTGTAAACCTAGAGTACCTGAAAAGATTGTGGAATTCGATGTTGAATTAGCTAAAAAAAGAAAATGGACTCTAGATAACTCAATATTCAAAGATTTCGATGAAGATACAGAAGCACATTTAGAATAATGTTTGGAGGCAGATCTAGAGAACAGTAAAGTATTAAAGCATCTAATAAATACCAATGAGGTTAATTCTCTCAAAGTAAATTACAATTGAATTATTTTAGGATTAATTGAAGAAGTATTATAAATACATCATCTCTTGCTATAAATATTTAGCCTCGTAGTAATGCGAATAGGACTTTCCACGAATAAATATTTAAACAATATAAGGGTTTTACTCTCAATCTAAAAATAATCAATTGATTAAATAAGTTGACTGGGAAATATGTCTAATTAGCACTATAGTTATTAAAGAATTGAAATCCTAATATATCCAAGAAAGGGCATTAGTTAGACATCAATTTTTAGAGTTATTGATAAGATTAGCGAAGGAAACATATGCTAAACAAGGAAATTGTTCAAGCATATCTTAGGGGTTTGATAAAATGATGCAAGCTTAGAATGGCCAATTTGGTTTCATCTTAGATTATGGGTATGCATAATAATGGAGAGATGAGAGATATTGGACATAAATTATGGATATGACCATTCGATTCAAATTACCATTTCTAAAAATAATTATTTTCTTATACTTCAAAATTTCTCGAATAAACCACATGCTAAGGAAAAATTTGTTTCTTTTTAAGATTTTAGGATGTTACTCCAAAATTCAGATTGTTACCCTAATTTAATAAATGAGTAGCAACTCTATTTTATCTATTTGCAATCCATCATGATGCAAGTAGATGAAATTACTCAAAAGAGACACTTTGAAATGCAATTCATTGAATTTATAGAAGCTTTAGCAAGAGTTGCAGAGTCTATATCACCAAATTCAAATAATTATTAGATTAAATAGTTAAATGCAAAATAGAGAAGAACTCTGCCATTGTATATCAAATTTGAAGGTAATAAATTATTGTACTATTATATAAAGGTCTATTGTATGTTATGTTCTATAGGATTAAAAGATTCGATGTGGACATCAACGTAATAGAAAAGAGTGTTATAAAGAGTCATGAGATAAAACGATTAGGAATATTTATTGAGGATAATTACAGTAGTAGTAGCAGTGGAGAAGAAGATAATGAAGTCTCGAATTTAAGATTATCTTATACGGATCCACAAAACATTATCAATAGGATGCTTTTTGATGATGAATGTAAGGTGAGTTTGAAGGATACTATGAGCAACTAAAGTAGTGGGAAGAAAAGGTAGAATTCACTCCAAAGACAAGACTCTATTACTTTGAAGCGAAGTTTATTAAGAAGAAATACAATTTAAAATTAATTGCAACAAATTAAGATTGCAGAAATAGAAAATGAAATGGCTGAAATAGCTGAATATGAAGAAAGTACTCCTTTGAATAAGTTAAGAATTCAAAATCGTAAGATTACAAGGTCGAAATATGACATTGTTCTTTGATTTGTATTAATTATTATTAATTCTAATTTATTACATTCTGATAAACTATGTCTGATTATTATGTACAATAAAGCTCAGAATGGTAAAGATTATTTGTCTAATTAGTGATTACTTATTTAAGGTCTTATTGATTGGGAATAGTGGAGTTGGTAAATCATGCATGTTGATGAGATTTAGTGTAATAATTTGAAAATTTAAAAATCTAGGAAAACTAATTTAGAAATCATTTCTATAATACTATCGGAGTTGATTTTGTAAATATTTATGCTTAAATTACAATAGAAAATAAAAGTATTTTAAATTGATAGATCTACTGTCAAATTGTAAATAGTAAACATCCATTAACACAATATTTTAGTGGGACACCGCAGGTCAGGATAGATTTAGAACTATTACAAGCAGTTATTATCGGTATTTCACATTAACATGCACTTCTAGAGGAGCTCAAGGAATCATCATAGTCTTCGATGTCACTGATAGAGAATCCTTTAACTAAATTAGATAGTGGATACAAGAGATTGATAAATTCGCAGCAGAATCAGTCAATAAAATATTAGTTGGAAACAAAATAGATAGTTCTCAAAGAAGAGTGTCGACAGATGAAGCTGAAGCATTGGGTATTCAATTTTATTATTTAAGCTAAATCATACAATATTTCATATATTGAGACATCTGCTAAAACAAATATTAATATTGAAAATTGTTTTAGTTTAATTACCAGACAAATCATCTAAAGAGTTGGAAAACCCAATTAGTAAAGAATTTAGTGTAATTATTATTAGAAATTAAAAAAGTAAAGTAGGAATGAAATTGTAATAGAATTCATCCCAATCATAATAAACATCAAATAAAAAAGGAGTTGAGTAAGATAGTTAATGTTGTATGTCTTGATTCAATTATTGCACTTTTATTAATAATAGATTAATCATAAATAGAATTTGTAGTTAATACGAGTTGATATTTATTAATTCAATCATGATACTCTAAAAGCAATTGACTTAAGGCATCATTTTATTTAAGTTTTTGTGACTCTATTAACTAAGTATGAAAATGTTATTTAGAATGTTGAGAATTCGATTTTGACCGAGCTTCATTCTGTTGTTATTCAGAAGATACCTAATATATTGATGGGTTTTTATTATTCTGAATAGAAATTGGCATTAAACTAGATTAACCATTGAATTGAACTTTACTCAATAGATTATCTGTATATAAATAATCACGTTAGATTTTTTAATTAAATAGAAAAGGTAATTCATATTAATACTTACTTTAATTTTTACTAAGCAATCCTATTGAATAATCTTCATTAAAATATTGATTATTTCTACCTGACTAAATTACTATCTCTTTTTCTATTCTATTCTTCCCTTCTAATAAACCTATTTAAGCCAATTTCTTTGCAGCATGAATTTGTCTTTCTAATTACTATTATTAATCCATCATCTAATGTCTTATTTAATCTAATTCCAAATTCTATTAATCAATAAAACTTTAAGTCTTATTTGGTTTGACATTATTTTCTGTAAATTAATAGTGATATTATTATTAGTATTATTATGGTACATCATCCATCTACTCATTTTGTTATAGCAATTCTGATTAATAATCTTCTTCTTCTATCTCTTATTAAAAATATTTCAGTTCTTCTTTGAATTCCTCCTCATTCCTTGATTCTTGCAATGAATTTGATTTGCTCCTGTTTCTCCCCTCCTATTGCTTTAACTTCAATTAATGCATCCTAATATTCTCCTATTGAATTTCTAAATAATTCATTAAGCATAATTCAATTACTTCCTTATTATTCCTTTTTGAGTTCTTCTTCTTTTTTTTTCTCCTCTTTCATCATTTAAACTTCGTTTTTCCATCTCTCTTCAGCCAATTTGTCCTCTGTTTCCTATTGCTTTTTCTCCTCATTTCTTTTTTTCTATTTTTCCTGTATTTATTCAGTCAATATTTTGGATACAACACTTTTCTATTGTTAAGTTCTGGCTTTGTCCTCTTCTTCTTCCTATATATAATTCTTCTTTCTATTATGATTCTCAGGAGAAAAAGTCTTCTCTTTAGTTTTCTCATGAATTGACGTTGACTACTCAAATTTCTACTGCAGTAAAAGTTTACGATCCTTTTATTGTTTTTCTTCCTAATATTATTTTAATTACTTCTAAATTATTTAAAATTCTTTTGATCCCTTAGAATTTTTATCTTGAGTCTACTCCTCAATTTATTATAAATTTTTATTAGGAGAATCAAATCTTTTGTTATTACTGCCTTATTTCTCCAATATTTACAATTACAAATAATTCTAATATTCTGACTTACTCAAACTGTTAATCTTATTATTTGGTGTGTTCGATTAATTATTAGTAAAGAGATCAGTGCATTCAAGCTTCACCTTTTACTATTTCAATTATATTTGTTTCTCTTCAACTTATTTTTATAAGATATCTCGATATAATGATTATTGCTGCTTTTTATTTGGTGTTACTTCCTTTTTATTATTATCATGACTCAATTTAAATGTCGATGTTTTATTTTAAGAAGCTTATAAATTTTAAAGACTCATCTATTTCTAATCTTAAGGCATAAAGGATTGATAAAATGATTTATAATCCAATTAATTTATTGGAACTGCATAGTTACTTTTCGAGATTGTATAATCATATTTTTTTGGATACGTTTACTTAGTAAACTAGTTTTCAATTAATTGCTTTTCCATTCCTTTATTAATGAAAACTATTCTTACTTTGAATTCTATATTCCCTTTCTTTATCGTCATCAACAAAGTAATCTGTTTTTTAGATCATTAAAATAATTTTATTTATATTGTTTATTATAAAATATACAATCAAATAGATTTGAGTTTAAAGTCTAACAATTCAGGCAATTTCGATTCTTCTAACTTTTTAAAATAAGGCTTTTGATCTTCAAAATTCATGCCTTTAACTAAATCTATTAAAAAGATTGCAAAAATGTACTAATTCGAAGTACCTTGTTTCGATTCAATAAAGCTACCATTCCTTTAACTAGTTTATTCGTAATTAAATGACTAAGAATATTAAAAAATATATCAGTTACATTGCTCTTAATTTGAGAATTACTTCTCATACTTGATCGAATTTAGCCCAAATCCATAGCAATTTATTTAGCTATCATAATTAATACATTATCCACATATTGTTCATCTATCATTTCGTGAGTATTCAACTCTTCGTGTGGACAAGTGTTCTATTGAATATGATAATTAACTCTATACCATTTATTTAACTTGTTTGTAATTTGCAACTAAATCATCATAGTCCTTTTATAGAATCTTAATTATTTCTGACTTGTTCTTCGAAATTGCCCATTATCTGTCAGTATTTTAGCAGATGTCTAACATCTCGTTTATGCATTTGATTGCTTTTTTTAATAAGAATATCATGCAGATTTCAGTTTTTATTTTAGCTGACCAATTATCTAACTATTCAATTTTGCATGTTCCTTATATTATAATATTAAATTTATGTCTTAACTCATTTAATTAAGTTTGAATTTGTTTAACTACACTCTGTGAGGAACTATTAATATTGGATGATTAAATTTATAAGGTTTATTATTAGGATTGTTATTATGATAAGGTTTGCTCCTTTTCTGTTGTTTTTGCAAAGATTTATGCTGAATCATTTTCTTTATTTGATTTTATGTTCTCCTTATCAGAAACATTTGTTTTTCGTTTAACTAACTCATTTGGACTTGTAGTAATATGATTTTACAAGGATTGTTGTGAGATGTAAAAATTTTAGCCTCCAGTCTCAAATTATTATACTTGTGAATTGATTTAATAATTCGAAGCAAAGTTTGTATTGGTTGAATTTACTAAACCAGACATAGTAGGTACCTAATCTTCATGAAACAGTGTTTGCCATTCTATTCTTCTGGCTTAATCAACCTATAACATTCCATTCAAAATGTAGGCAGTATTTTCTGATAGATCTTCAACATTTGGATTGAATTACTGATTTTTATATAAATCAATAAGTTGCTCTTAAGTTAGTGTTTCAGGGAATGGCAATTATCCCAGAAACATCTTATAAAACACCAATCCCAAGGAGAATATATCACATTTGTCTTCATGTTGTGGTTATTATGTCTTTAGTAATATTTCAGGCGCAGAGTATATGAAGTTTTCTATATAATATTTTTGAAATACCAGGATCAAACAATTTCTGACTTGCTGGGGACTTGCAACAAAAGAAATTCTTTATTTTAACGATTCCGTCATTAAAGAATAGGTTATTTGGATTGATATTTCGATGAATGATTTTTTCATGATTTAAAGTCTTGAATCCTCTAAATATTAAGGGTAAAAGCATACTTAAATACATTTGACATAATTTATCTTCCCTCTTATTCTGTTAGTCGACCTTTTTCATATAAATAATTTGCTAACGATCCCCCATTTAAGTGTTCATAGACTAAATAAATATTATTAGCCGATTTTAGCATTTTAATCATTCTTACGATGTATTAATCCTCTAATTTCTTTAATGCTTAGATTTCATTAATTATCATATCCTTCAATATTGAGTCATTTAAAAATCTGTCCAATTTAATAGTTTTCACAGCCACTGCTTCTTTAGATATTAAATTTCTGCCTTTGTGTATTTCACCGAATGTTCCTTGTCCTATACCCTCGATTAATATATAATTATCTATTATTTTTGCCATTTGATATTCAAATTATTTATATAAATTAACAGCTACACATTTTAATTTTATTATCCTCTTTAACATATGGATATATTAAATGGAATATCTTGTTTGTCTTATATATATATATTAAAAGATCATCAGAAATTCTCATAATCGTAGTCGTAGTCAATTGGTGGTTGTTGTTAGATTTGATTCATATCAAGAGTATGGATAGGATTGAGTTGCTTTTGAATTTTCACAGCAGCTTCATGATTGCCCATTTGAAAATGATGTCTCAAGAGTTCTTATAGTTGTTTCTATTTTTGCATGTCTTGTGCCTTAATAAATAACCAATTTATTACAATATTCTAAAATTCATGAAGATGTTAATATTCTCTTTATAATTTTTGCTTTTTGATCAACTCCTTCTATTCCTATTGTTCTTTCCTATTAAAGATTGAATACACAATTAAATTACTGTTTTTCCTTCTCATCATCGAAGGTGAGCATTTCAATTTCTGCTTATTGCAAATGCTCCTTAAGTTGTTCTTTCTCAAACCAAACCTTGAAGTTATAAAACTTTTTGGATGGAAATGTCGCTGTGTTATAACATTCAACGTATTCTTCGAAAAACTTCTTCTCCTCTTGTGGCGTGATTGCTTCAATATTAAGCATCTTAACATCGGAAAGCCACATCAAAAACTCCTCACGTTTTAAATACATGTCTGTATTGCTTTAATAATGATATTATATAACCTAATTGTGCCATATCTTCCCCACTAATTTTTCTTCTATTACTTTTGTTTTTAACCCTCCTTTTTCTATTTCTTGTCTTTTTTCTTATGTTTTTCCTTCTTGTCCTTCTTGTCCTTCTTATTCTTCTTGCTCGAAGATCCCTTCAGTTAAGATTAATCGAAATACATGTTAATCCTTGCTCTTTTCAAGTTCTTTGCCCATTCTAAAATTTGGATAATATAAATAATATTGTTATCAAGATTTATATATTTACAATATATACAAAAATAATATTTAAAATCCAAAATCTATTTTAATGCCCTTTTTGGATATTTAAATATCATCTAATAATCAAATCAATTTTTCAATTTTTATAAGGTTTAATATACATGTTAACCAAATTGAGTATTAAATTAACTTGAATCATATGATAATTTTATTAATTAATTATATTCAAGTTATTTACAGAAATTCTAAATTACATAATTACCATAACAATTATTAGATAATTTATAAAAGACATTCATATTATGAATGAATACTTTTAAGATTTCCTTCCTCATATAAACTGAAATATTTACACTCTTATCAACCACATTGCTACTTAACTATTATTGAATACCTCCCAAATTTATCACAACTCAACCTCTCCAAATTCTTAATAATAGTATTTTGAATCTTATAAACCACATCACTCGGCCCTCTCTGCAACAATATTTAAACGATATAATTCCCATATTGCGACAAGCACAATTCATCTTAGATCGATAATAATTCCCTATAAATATCATTCAACTTTCTTATTCTATATGCTTACTTGTGAAATGGAAGACAACTCCAATATCTATTGGATTAATCTGCACCCATGAGAATCATTGGACAGTTTTTAAATCTACCCCAACACCCCATCAATCAGCCACTCACTTTTCTGAGATTTAACCAGCTCAGCAATTTTCTGAATCACATGATTCCCATTAGTATCAAGCACCAAATTCCTGATTTGAGATGAAACCACTTTGAATATCTAATCAAACTTCTCCGTATTGTAAGAGATCTCCAACAATTTCTAAGCCACTCTACATCCATATGTGTTATAACACAAAACTAGGATTTACTAGGAGAGCTGTTCAAATATCAACTCCCTTTGTTGCTGACTACCCTGCTCTAAGATTCGTTGAACAACATAGTTTCCGAAGATATCATTGGCAAGCGAGGTAATTCCGGGTAACAATTTTTAAAATATAAATTCTCTTTGTTCGTCATCTCCCTTTTCAAATAGACCCTATATTTTCCTGCTATTGGTTTAGTCCTTGCATTTGAGAATCTATATCATAAATTAATGCTTACTAGATCCCCATCCAAATACTAGTCATCATCCAGACTGAATGGTTGTATTGTCCAACAATCTAGTTTGAAGCCAATGATAGGACTTTAAATTTTTTTAATTGAATATCTAATTTATGTGACTATCGATTACTGTGGCTATTGTGCTCTCTTGATTTGGGGAGAGTAGGTACGGTTGGTATCAGATCTGGTTTAGGAGGGCGAAAACGATCTTTCGTCATCACTTTCTAGGGCTGAAAAATAAGATAGGATGCTACCATTCACAATAGAATCAATGATTTCCTAATCATCTTCAGGATCCATTTAATTATTTATTAATTATAATTTTACAATTCAATCTTATAATATCTTTAATTTCCTCAGGAAAATGCATAGTATTGCAATAATTATTTTTCCTATGGACTTGATGAGTTTGAGGAAGGAAATGTAATTCTAATTGAGAAATATATTGCTAATTCAATTGCCATTTATATTAATATAAATAAATTAAAAAGTTCAATATAATGACTACAAAACCTTTATTGGAGACATTGCCCAAAGATTTCCATAAAATGCCACCAAATTATGATTTCTCTCACAGAGGTAGTTTGCTTTGATATCCTTACAGGAATTAACTGGAAAGATTACGAAAAAGATTTTGTATTGAGAACAGATGCTGTTTGGGAAAAGGAATAATTGAAAGATTGGTTCAGATTGTACACTAAGGTAATATCCATATAATAAATAGTGCTTCTATTTTGATACTACAGCTAACAAATATTCATTAATGGAACCAGATGATGTTTACACAATATTATTCGAAGGATGTAATACATTTATCTAACAATTTATAGGGGCATTGGAAGATTGTCTATTTCCATTCAGAGGTACTACACCAACAGGCAGAACTAACTGCTTTTAGGTTGGATTACCTCCCAAGTAGAAGGTGTATGTTCCTTATCCTACTTATTAATCACAATAAGATTATTTTACATTGTGTGCTCTTAGATTTTAGAAATGGTTTGATTGTGACTAGGCTGAACACTTCAAAATGGATAAGACAGAAGCTGATTACTTGAAAAGAGCCAAAGTATATCCATGTTACGCAATGTATTATGAAGCAGCATATGCATGCACAGTAATTATACCTTAATATCCTAGGACGATATGTTCGATTTCTTAATGGAATTAGCTTATACTAGGAGATCAAATAGAACTTTTGAGTACAATCACTTCTAACATGAAATGCGTAGACCACCAACAATCTATGATTCTCCTAAAAATGCAGAGAGAATCAAAAAAACATATTGAAATATCATCACAGTAAATATAATAAATAATTATAATGATCTAATAATGCAAGTATAAACACATCAAAATTCACTATTGAATTGAATATTATATAATTGATTGTGCAACATTTTCATCGCCATTCCCAATTACATTTTCTATTATTGCTAAGTTTATGATTAAGTTTCAATTTCTTGTGAATTCTCTACTGCTTTTGAAAATTCAATTCTTTCTTATTTCTTAATAGACTCGTATTCCTTTGAAATTGGATGATTGTTACTATAATATGATTGATTCTATATTGAATAAAAGCAATTATTACAGTCTAAACTGCCTTCTTTTCTGAACTCAAATGTGAATATGGATTATTTAATAGCATATGCTTTTCTTCTTTTAATTTTCTTGCTTTTTCTTGTCGTTGAATGAATGAGTCCATTCCTTTAGTATTTCTGATGTCTACTTCTGGTATTTAAGGAGAGGGTCCTAATTGTGGTTAAAATGAACACTTTTCTAGACTCTTATCCTTAGCGCCATCTCTTCTCTGATTAATCTTTTGTTTTCTATCTTCCAACCATTTTAGTTGTCTCTCATAAAAAGGCTTATCAAGTTGTGGTTCTACAATGTAATGATGATTATTTACAATTTTGATTGATTAGGGAAGGCTTAAAAGTACATTCTGGATCAAGTTCTTTATCTTTGATTTCCTTTTCCTTAATTTTCTAGATGATTTCTTCCTTCTTACATGATCCCTTGTTTAATTTATTAGAATACCCTCTCTATTAGAGATTCCCAAATAGGCTTCTTTGGAGAATCCTCTTCTGTTTTCACTATGCTTTTCATCATATTAATTTCAATAATATTTATTACAATAATTTTAATATGGATCTCTAATACCAAGAATAATTAAATATCAAAAGAACTTTAGGATATTGGATTCCTGGAGCATCATTAGAAACAATGAAATAGAAATTAAGTTTAAAAAAATCAGTTTCTCCATTCAAAAAGGAAGAATTCTTGGTTGAAATCAAAGTTGGAAAAGTTAATGTATCCTAATAAGATGATAAATATTTATCAGAAACCGAGAAAGCCTATTTGATTGCTTATAATCCTGAAAAAAGAGTTCGAAGCGATTATGAATGCATGTTTATGAGCAATGACGAAAAAACATCTGATAGAGAAGAATAAACAAATCAAAAATGTGAAAATCCAAATTGTCCTGGAACTGATACAAAATGGATTGAATGCAGTGAAAAAAAATGTTGGTATCATTAAAGTTGTGCAGGAATCCCTCTAAATAAAACACAAGAAGAAATCGATTAGATGGATTGGAAATGCAGAAAATGCAGAAAAAGGTGATTAAATTAAATAATATTTTATATTGTGATCTATGTCTTAATAATTGGAAGATTTCTTAGGATGTTTGCAACTATTAGATACTAGCATCTATAAACCTTAAGAATAGGCATGTATTCCAGTTTTTAGATCCTTGCCGCCAAACTTAAGGACAATCATTTAAAGAATGGTATTTTTTGAAGAAAGAAAAGTCCCCGAAAGTATCATACAAGCTCAAAATTACTAATAATCTCCTAATACAATTCTAGATCTAGCAATTCAATTAAAACTAATTACTAAATAAGAAGAAAGATAACAATAAGCTGTAAATTCTTATTACTATTTGGATTCTAATTTTTAAAACTCATTGAGAGATTCTATAGAAGGAAAAAGCAAAAGCATACTAACAAAGATTGGGGATTGTACTGAAAACAAAGAATTATTAAAACGAGAATGTAGTAGAAAGTGGAAGGATTTATTTGATCTGATTAGTAGAAGAGATCGCTCAGATCTTTCTTGTTATAGATAATAAGTGAGATAAACCTTAATAGAATCCAAATTACTTGAAAGAAATTTAGGAGTTGGATTCTCTTTCATTTTGAGTTCAACACATAAATAAATTAATTAAATTCTCAAATATTATGTTACTAAATAGTCTAGCAATGTCGTAAGGTTTATACTTTGTTTGAGTGTTTTGGATCCAATGAAGATTTATCAAATGCCAAATGAAGAATGGCAGAAAAATGTTATCAAAGATTTATAAGAATTTGGTTTAACACATTATCAGGATTAGTAAATGAGAATTACTTTCCTATTTTGGAACTTTCTTTATGAACCCCCCAGTGTTTCAATAGGAATTTAATGCAACATCATTGTTGAAGCTAATTTCAGAATTTATGCGTACTTAAACTCTGGTGATCAATAGGAAGAGGAGATCTTATGCAATCTATTAAATTTGTTTTCAGAAATCAAAAAACGATTTAAAATCTTAATAATTGCTGATCTATCTGAATCCAGCATCAGAAAAGCAGTTAGGGAGAATTTATAAGCAAAACAAATTATTTAATTCTTAGAAATGAATAGCAAATAATTGAAGTAATAAGCTGCGACTGAAAAATAACATAAGAGCAATGATGAATTAAAAAAGAGATTAGATTTTCTTAGAGTGTTTTAAGAGGGAGTACCAGAAAAAGCTATCATACCACATAATGTTGTGCAACAAATCTAATATTGGGAAAGTTTTTCGAATATTAAATGAATTATTCATTTCTAAATAAATTTTCATAACAAAATTATTATCTCATTAAACAATAAAAGATTAATTATTTGCAAAGAATTTTTCTTTATTTACTAAATTTAGATCATAACTTGAAAAACTTTTTGGTTTTGAAACACAATTGTCATGTTTTTATTTTGAGGGATTCATCTAAAATGGATTTAGAATTGAACATTTTACTGGAAATTCATCTTCGATTTCTGTATTCACTATAATTAATTTAATATACCATACTCAGCAAATTCCTTAGTCGAAAGTCTTTTGTCCATTGATAGAGTCATACTTAATTCATTATTTGATTCAACTATCGTACGCAAATTTAAGCGTTCTTTTGTTACCTTAACAAATTCTGTTTTTAGATTTTATTTCACAGTTACAAACCATAAATGTTTTAATGCATTTTCAATAGAAATATTTTGGGTAAGTAATTGATTCAGTAAGTCTAACTAACTAATTCTATACAAGAATTTGAATTGCTTATTTTCTGCGTTCATGTTTAAAAATAATTATTTTTACTATGTAATTAGATTTTGATCTATAATTTATTTAATTTTATCCTTTTTTTCATAAAATATTATTTAATAAAGTAATTGTCCTAGATTTAACAAATCCAGCTATGTACCTTTGTTATTATTGGATTAATATTTAGGAAATAGAAGGAGTATTTATAATACAGCATCTGATATATTCACATAGATTGATTTTAAGTTAACATTTCCATGATATATTCCCAAGTTTTTATATTTTTGTAAAGTTTAAAGAATGAGATAGATTATGCAAACTAAATGAGTCTCTCTAAATTCAAAATCTTAGAGAATCAAAGATTCTAATGATTATAATTTCATGCATTTCAAAAATAAATAATACATTGAATTTTCTTCGTAAATTTTAACTATTTTTGTTTATTCACTGATATAATTCATTATAATAATACTATTATAAAACTAATCCCAGTCTAAATCAGTATGAATTTATCTCTTATCTATCTATAAAACACTAAACATTTCTTGATTCTATTTGATAAAAATATGGTTACTTTATAATTTTAAACAAATGGTAGTTAACTTCTTTATTCAATTATATGATATTTATTTTAAAAACCTTTACTCACACAAAACCTTTTTATCACGGCCTCAATTTTGGTAAACAAATTGGAATTGCTTATTATTAAGAATTCCTTTCCTTTTGAATTATATAAGATAACAATATAAAAACCCTCATTTTATTTCAGCTTAGTATATCGCATTTCATAAAAGCACTTGCACAATAGAATATATTTATTATCATTTAAAAGAGAATTTAATCCAAATTGAATTTGCTATTAGACTAATCCTTTTTTTTTATGATTGTATAATAATAGTATACTTCTTTGAATGATTCCTTATCTTCAAACTTTTATATTATTGAACTTTCCATAGTTTAGAATAAACTCTTGGTGTCAATCATTTTAAATTCCTCTATAATTTGAGGATGATATTGAATGTATTGCATTATATTATTATATAATTATTAAACGATTAAATCTAGACAACTTTATTATCTTTGCATTCTATCAAATATAAATCTTATTATAGAAATAGAAAAAAGTATGTTTAGAAATGAATATTACTATGGAGTACATTTAAATATTCTTAATAGTTATTCAATTATATTAATATATTTATTCAGCACTCTGACCTATGCAATTATGATGGGATTTATTTGCACCCACACTAATTAAATAATTATAGCATTAATGGTTTTTTAATTATGCAGCTTTTATCAAAGGTGTATCACCTCCTAATGTCTGAGCTTCTATTTTTGCTCCTTTATTTATCAATAATTCGACATTGCCCTAATGACCATAACTAGCAGCATAATGCAGCGGAGTTCTTCCTATCTATTGAAATAAATTTAGATTTATACAGAATCTGTGATTTCCAAATTTTAAGATTTTTCAACAAAATATTGCAAAATTTCTATACTGGGATTGGAGGCAGCAACATGTATTAATTTCATTTTCTAAATGCCTTGCTCTTATTCAGGGGAAGGATTATACTTCTTTAAGTCTTAGATGTTTTCTTTTAATATTAAAATTTGTATACATCCTTTAATTGCTTATATTATTTATTTAATATTATTCATTTATATATATATTGTAATTTTGCAAATTATTAAATTTTGAATACGTAAATAGAATGACATGGAAGAAACACATATAATTTTAAAATAACAGACATAAAATATTTAGTAAATTGCAATCATCTATTATAAAACAATCCGCCATAATTCCTCGAATATCCATTTATTGTGCTTTTATTATGATAATCATTTAATATAAAATCTTTCTTCTTCAACCCCGATTAGGTCTGTATTCTGGGCTAACAATTCCTTAACAACCCTAGATCCTTTAGCTTAAATAAGTTCTCCTTTAGATGTTAATTTGTCAGAACTAAGTCAGCTTCCCTAACAATCGATTCTATAACAGGGTTTTTTTAAGGCTTCTAACCATAACGACTTGTTTATAAATTGTACAATGATTCCTTTAGTTTTTTAGTGGCAACTTGATTCTCATATAATGATTAAGACCTAGCTTTTTTCTGGCTCAACTTTGGCAATTTCTCTGACATAATAATTTTAATTATAATATTAATTTTATATTTTATAAATCATAAATAATTAAATCAGCCAAAACAATTCAAATTTTATCGTGTTTTATGCTAATTTTGAATTAAAAAGAATTTCAAATTTCTAGTATGTAAATACAAATGCAATTATGAAGATTCATTTTGTTTTAGATTTGAAAAGTTGGCAAAATTACAATTGCGAAATGCATAAAAAAATATAGTAAATTTCAAAAAAGGTCAAAGTTGTTTATGTCTAATGATTTATGGGTGCATTTTATTTAAATCTTGGGAATTCAGTTTATGATTAATACAAAAATTTAATATTGTATTATATTCTAATTTTTGTCAATTGAAATTAAGTGAAATATCGAAAATTAATATTTTTAATAATATGTCAGAAGAATTAAATTCAAGTTTAGACTCTTTAGAATTAGAAATTTATCATAAGCCCAATCCAAAAATTCAAGGCATTCTAGATTATCTGAGGAAAATCGAATTAAAATTCTGCACTGATCCTAGAAAGAAATAGGATGAGTACAGATCAACTAACTTCACAACTCCTAAAGAAGATTTTAACTTAAAAAGAAATAAATTCTTTACAAGAAAACAACCTAGTAAAATTATAGACTGTCCTATTCTTTAAACATCGTAGCTTTGATTACTCATTTTATTTATCTCAATCTTTATATAATATTTAGTTCCTATAATATGTTATTAGCTATCTAAATATCGATCTACTTTAAATTGATAGAATCTCCTTCATTAGGCGAATGATGTCTCATTTAGAGTGTAAATGAATTTAAATAAATTAACAGATTTATTGATTCATTTAAAAGAGATCACAGATATATATACTTATTGGCCTTATTTGTTTTATATAATATAGCGAAATAAATAAATTTTATTATTAAGATACAAGCTCCTTTTCATTTATATAATTTATGTCTAATGTAGTCCATCTTGTTGGTGATTACTTGTAATAAATCTGCTTTTGAATATTTATTAAGGATTGAAAAATAATTTTGTTGTTCCAAATCGATCTGTTGGATGTCCATGCAATTTTCAAAAAATTCATCTAAAATTAAAGATTCTAAAGTTTTTTCAATATGCAACAACTACCTATAACCATAATGTAAAAGATTACTTGCTACCCAATTGAGGATTCTTATCTAAAAACTGTTGTAAATACTGACTTTTTAAATCTTCACAATATTTTAATACAATTTTTTTCATAAATGTAATTGAGATTTCAGATGATGACAATTCCCTTTAAAGTTCAGTTTCGAAATGAGCAAACTCAGTTCCCTAATAAATGTGTTATCCATTATTTTATGACTTATAAAATTTGTCTGCTTCATCTTAAAAATGTTTAAACATCTTTCTAGCTGTTTCTACTTCCTTCTAGATGAGAGTGCAAAAGCTTTTATACTCAAAGGTCTTTGTAATATCATTTTACAATTCCTATTTCTTAACAAGATGAGGAAAAGCTGAAACATTGAATTTATCAACCAAGTTCATTCTGATCATCTCTATCAAATAACAGATATATTTCATAATCATGTAACCACAATATACACTCTAAGATTCTCGACTTTCTTCTCTCTAAAAAAAATTAATAATTATTAATTTTATATACTTCTTCTTTGCTTAACTCTAAGACTTCCTCGACAACTTTGTACAGATAAAATATTTTGTTTCTCTCCATCAATAAGTACTTAAAAGCCTTTGATTCCTTATTCCTTTGTGAATTCAAGGTTAACTCCTATTGTATCTAATTGGCATGTTATTCGTTATTTTTAGTTCCTAAATCATTAATCAATGTATACTCTCTGCATAAGTCAGTTCCCTCTCAAACAATTCTTTCCAATTAATTCTTTTGGTGGGATCTTTTGTGAGCATCTTTTATAACAAATCTTTAGTTGTTGATGATACTACGTTAACATTATCTAAGAATTGAATTTCCCTCTCCTCAACAGCCAACATTAATTAGGCCATAGTTTTCTCCTCAAATGGACAAATTCCATATAATAATTCATACAAAACACACCCCAAAGACCAAATATCAGCCTTGATTGAATATTCCTGTCCCTTCAATATTTCTGGAGCCATATAGATTGGAGAGCCCACCATAGTTGAAGATAAATCTTGAGGAGAATTCAAGGCTTTGCAAAACCCAAAATCTCCCAACTTAACCTGTCCATTATGTAGCATAATGTTGCTTGGTTTCAAATCTCTGTGCATAATGTTGTCTTAAATTAAGGATTGGAATGCTTAAACCAATTATCTGAAGTAATAGAGAGCCTCCTTTTCAGTTTGAACCCTTATTATATATATATTTATACCCTTGCTCTTAAATCACAGCCTCAAGAGTTTAACCGTTACAGTACTCGTAAACAAAATAGTAATTTCGAGAACTCTTAAGCATTTCTATAAATTTGACAACATATGGATTGTTAATTCTGGCCAAGGTTTGGATTTCATTCATTGTGAATTCCTCCAATTTTGGCACCTCTTTAAATTTTTCTATCTTGACCACTTTCACTGCGACTAAACTATTATTTTTTATGTTCACTGCCTTATACACCTTACCGTATTGACCTGAACCAATGACTTCAAGAAGGGAATAATTTTCAACAACCTTTGCGCTCATACTTTAAATAAAAATATAATATCAATTCTATCAAACAAACTATACTTCTTGTAATAATACAATAAACAAATAAACCTATGATCATAACTAAACATCTGGAGTTGACTCATTAATTAAATAACTAGATCATTGTTGATGTCATTGATTAAAATAAATTTCATCAAAATCAACTTAACATTATTATCTAATAAAATTATTGAATCTTATATTGACTTTCTATTTATAACAAATAAAATATTACTAATTATTATATTGTATGATAATTTGTTTTCATGAATTAATAATTTTGTAAAAAATCTAAATAATCGTATTGATTTTTTCTATTATACTTGACAATTGCAATACTTAGATTTATAAATTCATGTATAGATTCTGAATTAATATATCTAAAGAATGTAGTTTATCATAGGAATAATATATGAATATTAATTCTTAATTTAACATTGAAAAATTTATTCACAAATTACTTGACAATTTAATTTTTATTTTATATTCTAATTTTTCTAAAAATTGTAAGACCTAACCAAATAGAGTATGCATTATCTTAAATAATTTTATAAATAAAGTCAATAGATAAGAAGGACAGGTATATCTAATTACTTTTACATAGCCAATTATGAATGATTTGAGTTTTTGCAATAAAAATTATTCTTAATAAATTGCAATGATTCACATTTTTGTTAAGTTAAAAATTAACGAATTGTTTTAGAATTTCAATCCCTAAGTGTGAGACTGTGAGATGATTTTAACTAGACCTGTGTGCAAATAATTTCATAATGAAACATTTTAAAATAATTTAATAAACCACATAATAGTATATATACATCATGACGATTATTGAATCGTAATTAAATCAATTATTAATTTCATAAGAACTATCCTACCATTTACTTAACATCATTGATCGAATTAATTCTTCTCGACTTTTCAAACCATAATACCAATATATCAAAATTCCAATCACAAATAATACAAATAAGACCATAAAGATGCCAACAGTGACTTTAAAATTCTTATCAATACCTATGAAACCTAATTTGCATAATTACACATTAAATACATAAGGCCCACACAAATATAATTAAGAGATATGTGACAACGATGATGCCAATTAATCCAGCCCACTCTTGAAAACTGGCTTTATTAGTTTGCTTTTTCTTAAAATTCTACCCTTCCAGACTGGCTGCATATCTCTTGGGTTTACAATCTTCTTAAATATTTTCATTGTCTTCCAAAATGGTTCTTTGATACATTATTTATATAGATTGAATTTTTAATATATTATCATTTTTTTATATTGTGATTATTCTATAGTTAAATTTGCTGCATTTTGGTAGTTGTTTTTTATAATTGGATCTGGCTCTCCTGAAGACTTTAATTAAATTTATCAACTTCGTCATCTGAATCATACATCAACATTAAACATCCACCACTAACTATATAACTAATGTGTTACATTTCTTCATTATTATAATTAAAAACTGTTTATTTTTATTATGACATTAAATATAATTATTAATGACAAATAAAAATAATTAGAAATCTTATATCTCTTGAAAAATATAATAATTTATGATATAATTTTAAAATGACCTCTATTATTATTATAGAGAATATTATATATAATAGATTAATCTTTATTTGAAAAAAATAATTAATATATGCAATCTAAAATAATTAATATAGGAATAATTCATTTAAGAATTATACAATTTATTATAATAAAGCTTTTAATTAGCAAAATCATATTCTCTAAATTTGAAATGGATCAAATATATTAGTTATATAGATTATCTTTTATTTAAAAGTTGAATTTTGATAAAAACTCATTATAAGGTGTAGGATTTTACAATTAAAAAATTTATTTTCAAATAAAATACTTTATTAATTATTATTTGATATTTTTCATAACATTAAGCAAATAGAAAATATGGTTACCACAAATATAGATTTTTACAACCTGAATTGTATATATATTATATAAAAATATTAATTTTGAATTTCGATATATTAGTTTAAACATACTAAAATAAATTTGCTTAGAAAATATATTACTTTATGGATAATAAATATAAGTAATCAAAAGAATCTTTTTTAGTATTCATCTTTAATTTTTTTTGCATTTCTTAAACTTCCTAATAGTTGAGTAACAATATCTTCTTTCTTTTTATTAGATGATGCATTGATTGAAGATTTGATACTTAGAGATGATTTGGTATTAATAGATGATTTAAGAGGAGACTAGAGTTAAACTTTATTTAAAATTTAAGAGTTCTTTCTGATCAGATTATGAGCATTATCTCTAAAATCATAGTATAAAAGAATACATCAATTAAATAATATGTTTTCCATTTTTAGTTTTGCTGTTGCTATTGTTTTCGATAATAATTTAGCTTTCTGCTAATTAGATAGTAGACTATTTATTAATTGGTTAATCTTTTTTAATGCATTGTTGAGATTTAGTGTGACGTATTTTATGTTTTTAAGGTGTAATTAATTCACAAATATCTAATTATTGATTTTCATTATTGAAGTTCAAAGAGGATCTATGCTCACTCTGATATTCTGAAACATATGGTTATTTATAGTCATTTTTTAGAGTTTCTTATCGAGAATTGCATTGTTCAACTGATTTGAAATGTTCAGTTTGACTAAATTTGGTGGCTGATTATGATTCGTATTTGTTTTACACAGATTTATTGATTGATTTGTTTAATGATTTTTATCGGACTTTTTCGACGATTCGATTGGCAATTGTTTCTGCTTCTTTCTCAACATCAGTAGATAGGTTGTCTTTCAAGAAAATGTTGCCACTTATTTTATAATCTTTATCATCTAGTTTTAAGTCGAATTACAAACGGCCATTTATTTACATTATTTTAATATTTTATTTATTTAAATGAACAAAGAAGAAAAATAAGTACGTGTTTATGCAGATGGAGTTTATGATATGTTTCATTATGGACATGCACGCCAATTAGAGCAATGCAAGAAGCTTTTTCCTAACACTTATTTGATAGTTGGAGTGTGTTCTTAAGAGGATGTTGAGAAATTTAAAGGAAAATCTGTAATGGATGGATACTAAAGAACTGAGAGTGTAAAACACTGTAAATGGTAAGTGGAAATAATTATTTTAAGGGCTGATGAGGTTGTCTATCCTGCTCCATGGATAATAGATGAGAAATTCCTAAATGATCATCGTATCGATTATGTTGCTCATGATGATATCCCATATTAGACTGCAGATGTGGATGATGCTTATGCTTTGTGCAAGAAACTTGGAAAATTTAAGGTATGATAAAGATACATATATGAATATAGGCAACTAAAAGGACTGAAGGGATATCAACTACTGATATTATTGGAAAGATCTTGAAGGACAGACACAAATATCTAAAAAGGAATATTGAGAGAGGGATGAGTAGACAGGAATTAGGTATGGGATTGTGGGAATATTATTAATTAAAATATGATTGGTTATTTTGCTAAGGGAGAAAAAGAAAACAAGATTGATGATATTGGTATAATGTATGTAATATATCAATGTTTGGCTTATTATTACTTTCTCATGGCTCTGTAAAGATTTTAGACAAGTTCAATCTTTCTTTTTCCTCTTCTATTTGTACCCAATCTCTTAGCTGCCAATTTTCCTGCCTTCTTTAAATCTTTGGGTTGATTGGTTTTGAACAATTCAATAATTCTCTTTTCATATGGGCTCAATCCTGCTACTTCTTAGATGACTTTTCTGACGGAAAGCACTCTCTTACCTAATGTTCCTTTTCTTTATGATGGTCTTCTTCTCAATTGCTTCTTTGTTAAAGAGGATGTTATGAATCCTCTATTCAAACCAACTGCAATTCCTGTTCTGCCCATTTATTTTAAAAATGATATTTTTATTTTTAAATATTAATCATTCAATCAACTCATTATTTTAGATCTCGAATTGCTATTGTAAATCCTATTCATATTGCAATTTCTCATTATTCCTACTCACAATATTCATCTTCTTCAATCTGAGAACATTCAAAAACCTTGAGAATTATTCCCCGTTTTTAATCCCCAATTCATCCAACACCTTTTTCCAATATTAGCAATTGTTATTGTCCTATACATTAATTAAATCATAAATACATCTCGAATATAAATCTCAGGATTATTTGGTTTCCGAATCATATTGTTAAAAATGAAATAACTCACTAAATATTTATCAAATTCCTCTAAGTTGTTGATGTCCACCAACTTATCGAATAGTTTCTTGCTTAATTGAGTATCTATTTAAATATAAGTATCCTCGTCAGCATTTAGATCATTATGATTTTTCTTCATAAAATCATCCCTTAATTTATGCAATTGATCATTTAGTTTCCTTGTCATGTACTCCTTGAATTGCATTTTCACTTTTTTATCCTTTATTGGTATTTTAGCTTATTTCAACTATTTCAATTGGACAACCTCATCAAAAAGCTCATCTTCGTAATTTTTTTATTTCCTTGCTGCCTTAGTCTCATTCTTATCCTCATCTATCTATTTATTATTCCTATTATAGATGTAATAAGATTGCAGTCTTTCATTCCTCAATTTTACAAACTCTAAAATGAATATTATGCAATAATACTCTATTCTATTTGACTTTTTTCATCCTTCTTCAACTTATCCATTAATTCCTCAACATGTTCCACACAAAACAATAATTTCTTATCTTGTATTCTCAAATACGGTTTCATGTATGTGTATAGACAATCCATCGCCTTCTTATTCATTATTCCTCCATTAACCTTCAAACACCCTATGTGAAATGCCTCTTAACATCCTTGATAGTAACATTCTAATTGAAAACCATCAGTCTTTTGACAATAACGGCATTTCAAACCTGTTTGAAGGTCTGTTTCACATGAGTATAAATTATGACTTTTTGGATTTTACACTAAAAATGGGTTCCATCTCAAACAAATTGAATGAGCCTTAATTTATAACTATCTATTGATACCCATTGCTATTGTCCATTCAACTATACTTATTCTGTAATTTAGAACTATTCTGGACAAAATTAGCAATTTATCTGTTGATCTTTGTTGTCGTTCAATGCCAAACATTTCTAGCAATACCATTTTGCTCCCAAATTTACAACATGATAACACTCCTAATGAACTGTAACATCGCATCCATCACAAAATACTATTTAGTTTTGTTCTGTATAATCCTATTCATCACAAATCAAACAGAATATATTTTCATCTTTTATATGGTCAATATTCTGAAGAGTATTTTTATATAATTTACCATTTTAGAGGCATGCTTTTCCGATTTGCTATCATACATTTGTTAATTATATATTATTGCTTACTCATTTTATTAGTTAAAATAGGCTATTTATATTACTAAAATTTGAGTGACTTATGCAGTGAAAATATAGATTTTATTATATTTTAAGTAATATTTCATAGAAATATATTTGAATGTAATCACTCATTAAACATCTTTGACTGTATGTATTTCAATATATTTTATAACCATTCTTTGAATTAATTAATAAAAATATTATGATTTTTGATACAATAATAGGTATGTCAATATACAATCCTTAATTAAGCTAGAGCAAATGATGGGTTATTGCTTTGCGAAGTACAATCAAATGAAAAAGTCTAATTAAGCTTGGAATTGAAAAGATAGATAAAATTAGTATTGAAACGTGGCAGTTTATCAATGGATGTATAGTTTCGATAATTGGATTCCCAATAAAGCAATGTAAAGGGTACTGATACATTTATAATTATAGCGGTTTATAAGACTTCCAATGGAGTTTGTTATATTGTCTTTTATGATCCTAGTTTTAATCTGGCTTGCTGCTATCTTGATGAAATTGAAAAAGGGTTCTAAGATGTAATTCACTTTTCTTTAATAGGAATTACAAATCAGATATGGGACCTCTAATGTTAATTATAGATCTAAATTAGAGACTATTGAAAGCAACGATTCATATTGTTTTTAATAATTTGGTATTTGATTATTTTTTATTATATAAAGAAAGGTTTATAAAAAAGAAGAAATAAGAATTCTAAGATTAATCATCATCCAAGAATCTGGAAAGATTGAAAACTGAAATGACAGACCTCAAAAAAATAATGAATGAAAACGTCAAATTGCTCTTTGATAGAGATGAGAAATTGCAAGGTTATATCATATCATTTATATTTAGACATGAACGAGAAGGCCAAATCTTTGAAGGAAGACTCTAAATTAGTAAGATTTTCCCCTAATATTATTTCAGTTCAAGGACAAAGCTGCAGAATTGGAATGGTCTATTTGGTTTAAGAAAAATTCTGTTTGGTTTATTTTTGCAGGATTCCTATTGGTCTTCGTAATTTTTAAAATTTATTGATAACGATATATGGGTTATGTACATGGAATTTTTATTATTTTAAATCATTATTATTATATATATATAACTCTAAATCACATTTGAATTTATTCATTGTCTGTTTATTTATTGTAAAAAGTCTTATTCTAGATGTTTAATTGAGAAATTAACTAATTATGTACTGTGATTGTTTGTTTCAATCATTTTAGTATTTTATTTATTAAATTACTAAATCAGATTTTTAAAGATATCTGAATTATCTGTTGTATTTTCTTAAATCAACAAAAGATTTTCCCATTTCGTTATCAAGGTTTCTATTGAATCTATAATAAAATGTACCTAAAAACGAGTGCAATTCATTCTAAAAGTAATCTCTTGCTATCTGATGAGTGACTTTACTATTTTCAAAAAAAGACATGGCTTCATATTCATCCAATTATTCCTCTTATAATTTAATTATGATGTTTAAGTGTAAGTCTAAAAGGACATTTTTCACCATAGATATTAAATTGACAATTTCAAACTAAAATAAATTATCATAAATTTACTTTATCTTATTAGAAATTTCTTGATTTGAAGAGTAAATCTACATTCCTTAAATACTATTAAATTTCTTAGTATTCATTCTAATATTGAAATAATCCAATAACTGCCTTTGATTCTATGACTTCTAATAATCCATATAATTTTTCAGCAGTTCCAATTTCTAAGTTTCTGTCTATCTCTTTTATAAGATAACTGATATCTTTGAGCTTTTGTTCTATTTTACTCTTGTCTTTTGATTATTTTTTTAATTTTTCAATTTCCTTAATATCTTATTCCAACATCTTTTCCTTGTCCTTAATCATATTTTTGAAGAAAGAGACTTCATTTCTAAGATCCTCATTCAAAAATTTAATCATAGCTTATTAACTTTGAAATTCAGAATCTGCTTTAGATTGACTAAGATTATAGATCTAAAAAATAGCAAGATGAGGATTACTTATTGCTAAAATAATTCCAGGAATTCGTTGTTTTCTGTATCATAAGCAAGTTCTTCTTCCACAAATTTAAACATCAACTATATAGACTCAAAAGCAATTCTTTGATCAATTCTTTAGTCCTATTTCTTTATCCAATTCATGATTTTCGGAAAATATCGTTCTAAATTAATTCAATTTTCTATTACCTGTAGCAGTCTATCCTATGAATGAAATCTATTAAGATAATTAAAGTAAGGATAAAAGAAGTATAATTATTGGCATTTATTTTTATTGTTTTTTCTAAAATAACGAATGTATTTATTATGGATAACTACTTAATAAAACTGAAATTATTAATATAAAAAGTTAAATTTTGCTAATTAATCAACAGACATATTAATACTACTTTCATACAAATAATTAAACAATATAAATTAAAAATCAATATTAAAAGATGATTTGGTATTTAGGTATGTGTATAATTAAATTATATAAGCTGAGTTATTGGGATTCATAAAGGTAGATCGTAGCAAAAATATGGAAGAGTATGTCAATCATCCATCTTATGCCGGCAATTTTATTAGATTTGGAATGGATGGAATTGTTGGTGAATACCTCTCAACAGTGTGCTAAACATTTTTATTTGCATTAGCCTTATACTTCACTCTATCATGCTCATCTTATTATTACTTTTTCAAGAAGAATAAGCTACTGTATTTGCCAAAATTAAATGCCAAATTCTATATCTTCTATGACATCAAATGGTCGTTGATTAACATGTTTTTTGAGACCTTCCTGGTCTCTATAATAAGAGTTGCTTAACCAAGATTCAGCTTAATGTATTATAATATTAGTGATTATGGATATTGGTATATTCCTATAAGTATAATTTTACATATTATGTATGATGAAACATTGACGTATTAAATTATCATAATAATTAGATATTGGGTCCATAGATGGCTTCATACATATCCTTATTTATATATTAAATTACACAGAATCCATCATTTTTCAAAAGATATCACACCATTCAGCGGATTCGCTTTTCATCCATTAGATGCATTTGCTTAAGCAGTTCCCATGTTCACCTCATGTTTTATCTTCCCAATTCACATGAATTTGTTCCTTTTCTTCGGTTTATGTACGACCTCATGGGTAAATATAATATTATTAAAATCAAGGCTATGTGAATATCATGATAATGTCCCAGCTTTACCATTCAAATTTTTATTATATAGTACTCACCATACAATTCATCATGAACCTGGTCCAGGTGGGATGAAAAATATTGGTAAATTCACATCAGTTTGGGATAGAATTATGGGAACTTATGAAGAACCAGATAGAATCAACTTTGGATGGAATAACTAATAAAATCAATTAGATAAACTCAAAAAAGTCAATGATTTGTATGAGTCTATCCTCCCGAGTGATGTTAAGAAGATTAAGAAAAATAAATGAAATCATGTATAATAAAGATTAGTTTAATTTAAAATATAATAATGATTCATTAATCATCGCCATTTTAATCAAAGTTTACAAAATAAGTAGATATTGTAGTATTATTTTAAGTCAAATAAACATCTTAAGCAAATTCAAAATCGAAAATACCGATGCATTCATCATCACTTTCTATCAAATCCTTTGTTGCTTAGCTTACCATTATTTTACCTTCTTGTCCCTTTGATTCCATCTTATTGGCTGTTGTAACATCTTCTCCATAAATATCATACCTAACAACATCCGTTCCTACAACACCTCCTATAACTCTCCCTGTATGTGCTCCAATCCTCATATTTAAGTGTTAAAACTAAGGATCTTTATTAATCTATTGGATAATCTGTATCATTTTTAATCCAAATAGAACTACATTGATTGCCTATTAATTTATAATTTAAATACTTCTCCAACAGGATCTCTATTATTTGCATCTATAATACCCATACACACATAGCAATCTCCAATTGTGTATAATTTGTAAACTTGAAATTTTTGGCAGGCTTCATCAAATTATTAAAATAATATTCTCAGCATATTAACTACTTATTCTGGCTCTACTGAACTTGAATATTTTGTAAATCCTGCAATATCAGCAAACAAAATTGTACAATTTTCAAAAACATCAGTGAAGTTGTCTGTTGTAGTGATGTCTGTTGAAAAGAATCTACCTATTATGTGTTAAGGCAATAGATATTATAAAATCTATGTTTATTTTGCATTTTTGGATTCAAATTATGAAAAGCATTAATAATTTTCAGCTAGTAACTTCAACTCCTTTTCTTGAATTAATAAACTTGAAACTAGTATGCAAATTGTAAAAAGAATAATATCCAAAATATATTCATTATATAATAAATTAATTAAGATTAATATTGTGTATACAGTTGATAATTTTATTCGATCCATTCGATTGTAAATCTATAAATAAAATAAGTTCAAATAAACAGCAGTTATTTGACTTATCTAAAAGAATATTTCCATTTCTATATTATGAATAGAGATAATTAAAATATTAATTATGCAAAATATTAGGAAATAGAATCCTATGAGTAATTTCAATGCTAATATCTTCTTTAAATGATAAATTATTATTGAAAGTATCAAACTAATTACTGATTAACAAATAATTATCACCTATAATCTTTCACTCACTGTTGATAATAAATAATAAAACAAATTCTTTATTATCAATAATATTACGATAAAAACAATAAAAATCTTTACCTATTTTATATCAAAATCTTTATATTGATCATATATTGAAAAGTATGTATCATGACTATCACTTTTATAATCAGACTCTTAAATACCATACTTTTATAATTCAACCTTTTCTTCCACATTTTTTAAGTCAAATTCATTTTAATAAATGCTATCTTCTATATCAATTAGTTTTCTTATTTCCAATTCATCCATATGAGATTAGATTTTCAACTCTTTTGGGGTCTTGTGAGCTGATAAAGATTCAATCCTATCTATAAAATCCATTTATTTTTCAATAATTATTCTTGTTCTCTTTCTTTTAACACCAGGCAACTCAGCTCTTACACTTTCTGCCAATTTCTAACCGCTTGTACCCATTCCTAAGAGCTGCTCTTAATCAGTTATATTTGTTTTAGTACCAGCCCTTTTATAAACTGATTTTCTTGATTTAGTAGCATTTAATTCTAAGGCTAGATTTGAAATTCTTTTTGTATATGAGCCTACTGCAGCATAGCCTCCTAAAGGAATGCTCGATTTTAATCCATCGCCTTAAATATTATTAATATTAAATTTTTCTTTTTCTTCAAATTTATTTATTATGTTATTATTGTTATTATTATTGTTACTATTGTTATTTATAATAATATTATTATTATTATTAATATTATTATTAATATTTATATTATTGTTATTATTATTGTTATTATTAATATTATTATTTTCTTATTCCTATTCATTTGGTGTAAATAATCCCATTTAGTATGAAGAATTAAATACTGACCTAGAGGATGCTCTTATCATTGGTTATATTGATTAAGGAGTTACATTAGGTATTAACTTTGTATTTACGTTCACATTAGTATTTTATATTGTTATTGGACCGGCATCTTATTTTTCTTCATTTAAAGAAACCTTTTTTAATATAGTGTTTTGCTTATTCTTCAAATTTTCTTGTATTTTTTTGAACATCTAATTTTACAAATGTGGATTTGGAGATTTCGACACATCATCAGCAACCTTCAGAATAACTTACTATTATTTTTTATTGCTTTTAATAAACTAATAGGTTTTTATAGTTCCTTTACCTTTAGCTTCAACCTCTCTTAATTTAAATTAATATTTTTTATTACTAACTTTCTCATATGCTTACTAACTTAGAGTTATAATTCCTGGTTCAGATGTTGAGCAAACTCTACTTGTTGTATTAACAGTATCTCCTATTAATGAAAATTATGGCTTATGAGCCCCTATTACTCCTGCAATAACTCTACCATAGTGTATACCAATTTTAAGAATTACAGCCTTTTTATCTCCATATTTCATAGTTTTAACACTTTCCTGCATCTAAAGAGCAGCATCTAAAATTCTTTCAGTTGGATTCAAATTATCAGACATATTATAATCTTTTAACCCACCTGCTGCCATATAGGTCTTTCCTACCGTTTCAATTTTTTACAATTCATTTGCTTAACAGAATTAATCAAATTGACGATACAAATTATCTAAAAATTCAACAACTTTGATTTATTCATTTCTGATAATGTCATCAAAATCATAAATATCGCAAAATAAAATGGCGACATCTCCTTAATCTTCTGATATTTATATCTATCCTTTTGACATTCTTTCTTTTATGAATCGAGGCATCAACAGACCTAGGGCATCATTTAGCTTTTTATACTCATCTAATAGTTTATTTTACAAGATATATTAATATCTTTAGAGGAATTCTGTTTTATAAACCTGAAATATTAGTGGAAGGCTCATTTCTATAAGAATTAATCCATGATTTAGAATATAATAGGGATTAGCATCATTAAATATTCCAACCATGAACATATCTAATATTGTAGAAATAAAGCAAACACAATAGTATCCATAAATTCCTAATAAAGGATGATGAGCCAAAGAAATAGAAATCATAAACATTAAAATTTCATTTAGGTTAGTATCCAATAATGCATGTAGTACAATGAAAAATAAAAATCTTAAACTAAGTAAGACTAAAGGTTTAAATTTAGATATTTAAATTAAAGGCAACAGACTCATTACTACAAATTAAACTACAGAAATAACTAGATACGCTATCTGAAGATTGTTGATTTATTAATAGATTCTGATTCCAAATATAGTTAGTTCATAAATAAAATAAATATATTTATTCTATGGCTTGAGTGAATTTAGAAAATCCTTTTCTGTTATTTTATCTGTAAATTTTAAGTCTTTTTCCATTTGATCAGTCATTTATTAATCTCCCTTAATTTTCTTTAAAAGGCATTCATCCATAAAATCCTTTCCTTCAAATAATTTTTCTATAAACTATTTTGCTTCATTTAAATTATTTTTGTTCTATTATTTAAAAAATTGATTCAGCTACTTTATTTAATTTTGATGCTCAATATGAAATTGGATATCATTATTGCAAGGGAAGCTAAATTCTGTTGTAATTAAAATTTTTTATAACACATAAGAGATTGATAATGCAAAGATTAGTCCAAATATCCAAAAAATAAAATTTATGTTTGATAATTAATAAATTATATCTGTGACCAAAAGACCATATACTAATGCTAATAAAAATAATAAAATTAGGTAAGAGAATGTTAACTTAAGCATTTTTCCTAAGTCATAATATGAGTTTAATTTTGTTATAAAATATTTTTGCTTTTCAATTAATTCAAGGATTATGAACATAAACAGCGAATAGTTTTCCAATTCTTAATTTTAGATTATATCAAATATGTTAAAACAAATTTCAACTAAAATAGAATCTATCAATGCTAAAAATATTATTTTAATTATTTTAAGATAAATATTACTATTTTTAATGAGCTCCAATCTCATTCTATATATTTCGAATTAATTATTATCAAATTTGTTTTAATGAATGAAATTTTCATAATTTAAAATACATGTAGCTATATTGCATGGGACTAAATAAAAGAAAATTAATTCATTTAATGTATGAAATGGATTTTAATAGTCGATCATATAAGATAAAAACCCAAATAAAAATCCTCTATATATTTAGATTAAAATTATAGCTTCATAATTTAAATAAGTGGATGGACAATAAAAAAATAGTAATTTAAACATTTAATCAACTTTTGTGATTAAAAAATTTGGGTTAGAAAGTGCACATTATGGATCTTAAGTTAATAAATTAAAGGAGTAATTCGATTTATAAAAAAAATATTAATTGTCTAATCCTGAACCAATAGAAGTTATATATCTTTCAGTAATGGTAATCAATTTTAAAAGTTTCCCTTTCTATTTCTCATCTAATTAATAAGCTCCAACTCCTTATGAAAAATAAAAGAGCACAACAAAATGATATTTTAGATAATCATCTTTTACAATTGCCTCAAGTGTTTCAGCATTTATGACAATAAAATTTTCAATTAATTTTTATTAAGATGGTTCAAAAATATTTTATTTTTCTATTAAATTTTGAATAGATTATCTAAATTTATACTGAATTGAATTGACTTCTAGAAATAAATTGATTGAATTTTTTTACGATATGTGATAAGTTCTTAAAAAGGACATTAATTCTTCATACGTATCAATCACAAAACAAGTTTTATAATTGTGTTCTAAAATAGTTTAAAATAATTTTTCTTATTTAAGATTGTTATTACAAATTTCTTAAGATACTAATTAAGTTTTCATAGGTATGAATTACTTCAATCCTAAAATAAAGAACAATTAACTGTCCTATTCAATCTATTAGTAAAGATCATCTAATTCTTCCTCTCTATTTCCATATGTTTCGTTTATAGTGTTTAATTTATTGAGGAATTATTATGTTTGTTAGAAATCAAGTTATTTTTTTAAATATTTAATAGACTTCTATCCATCCCAAAACAACTCTTCTATAATCTCGTTAGTTTATGGAAATCTTTAATTGTTATAATTCTTTTCACAGATTTCTTGTCTCGTGTATAATAATGCTCCTTCATCTAATTCAAATGATTCGGGATCTTTTACTAAAATGGATAATGTATTCTATCGATTTTCTGTTGGCTACAATAATGCTATAATATCAAAAATTTTAACAACTCCTTATATGGATACAGCCTTCTTTATGATTTGATCTTGTTTATATTCAACCTTAAAATTATCAATAGTGGAACTTGAAATAAATCTGTAATCAAATATCTTTACAAAATCTTAAATTGATTCATCCAGAGAATTATAATAAAGATTTTCAATTTTTTTTTCTTTCTTATTATAAACACTTTCAATATTATTACAGATTAATAAAACGATTAAAATTTCATTTGATATTACATCAGATTTGTTAAATAATTTACTTATGAAATCTTATTCATTATATACATCCCCAACGATTTAATCATTACTCAAATCTTATTATGTAGGAATGATGTTTTTTAATGATCCTCCCTATGATTTATTATTAGTGTGTATTTAAGATTAAGAAAGATGGTGACTACTTCTTTACCTTTAGATTTGAGGTGAATTCTAATGTGAAATAATATTCTAAGATTATGAAGGTAACGAAACATCTTTTTATTGTTAGGCAAGTGTATTAGATTGGAATAAGTTCCTCACACTTTATTTTCGAAAAGAGGTATAAGGATTAAATTTTTACATGTCAGTAGTTTATTTTTTTAGTTCTTTAGAATCTTTCAATTCTTTTTGTTAAAGGCATACCTTATTTTAATCTTTTAAGAATCCTATTTTCTAGAATGTTTTTTTTTCTTCTACAATTCTTAAAGATGGCTATTGCTTCTCTGCCAGTAATAAATCTATATCCTAAGTTTTTTATTCATCATAGGCTTAAAACCTATTGGTATCTAAAAGCAATTTATCATAATTTTGCTTTTAACTTGGAGTAGCTTTTTCAATTAGGTTTTATAATTTTTCATAATTAAAATAGTATCTAAATTTGTCTTAAATGATTAAACAAACTCTAACATTTTCTTTTAATATTTTTTAAGGATTTTCAAAAACTATAACATCTGTTTTCATAAATTCTAAAATATTCTAATTTGTTAATTGATTATATTGATAAATTTTACATTGAGCTGGATTTTTTTTATTTAAAGCAATATTAACAACAGAATTATTTGTTGATGCCACTTTTTAAATCTAAATGAGCACCTTCTTATCATATTCCTATAGAATAGGATCAGGTTACTCCAAAAATTATTGTTGTGGTTATTAAATTTATGGTTATTTTTTGTCATTAGATTCTTTGATTTCTAATTTATTTATATTTACCTGATGTATTAGTAACCAAACTTAATTTATTAAAAAGTAATTTTAAGGTAATAGTAATAGACACATTATTATAGAATTTTGATAAGAGGGGAATTCATAATATTGTTGACTGATTAATTTTGGAATTAAAAGAATCAAGAAAATTAGAATATTTATCAGAAATAAATAAAAGCTATTCTAATTGTAGTGGTTCCAATTGTAATATCGATCTCTTTATTAAAAGCATCCATGTCCAACCTAGATTGCAATTCCAAAAATCCAATCAGTTTGATTCAAAATTTATCCTCTATTAATAATGTTTGCTTCTGTAAATTAAGTAGCTTTTGGATCGTTTTTTAATTTTATAGTACCTTATTTACAACTTTAAAACTAGATCCATCCACTTAAATTTATTAAGAACTTCGTCATTATTCCTTTCGTCTTTGAAGCCTCATTAATATAAGTGCAAGGGCATGGTTATTTGAACTTAAAATCTATTAATACCTATTCTTAACTTGACTCTAAAATCAAAATATCTGCTGGACACTTTTATCCCTTTTTTAGACAAACAATTTGACCGACTTTTAATTGCTACCATTCAATTTTATTCGAGGGCTTTTTGTTTTAGGTTTAGAGCAATTAATCTATATCAGATAGGATTCGACATTTTTATGTATTAATGTTCTCTTCGAATTTCCACCTTTATTTAATATTGTAAAAGAGAATCAAGTATGAAAAAGCCATATCCATTAATAAACACATCATAGTGTACATTGTAATAAAGAATTCGGACCAAAATAATTCTGGTAAAGTAAGTAAATAAATTAAAGGAAATATAGGGAGAGTTTCCAATTTCAGGAAAATTCTAACTATTTCTTTGATTACAGTAGAGGCCTAGTTAAAACTAATAATACTTGGATCAATTGGATTTTGTTTGATAACACCTCATAATTGTAAGTTTTTTGGACTATTCCATTAGTAAATTCAATCTATTATATGATCATATTTTACTCTCATAGTTTATGAGTTTTCGAATTCTATATCTTTTAGTCTCTATTGGTACTTCAATGGAATTTGTTTATAGACCTTTTCAATAATCCTATACAGCATAAATCAACTTTTAATATAAAATTAAACAACTTAAGCCTATAATTAGAATATAACAATATATAATAATTATTCAGGTCTTCAGGAATACAATGACAATCTCATACTGTTTTTGTCAACTGAAATTTATTAATTCAAAAAGATTTTTAAATTCTGTGATCAATTTATAAAATATCACAAGAAGCAGAAATATGAATTAATGAGTATTCTAGGTAAAAATGAAGATGTACTTTACAAAGATTTTCGTAATATAAGAGTAAAAAATATCAATATTAATAAAATTAAAGATTATTATGAATTGAAGCATCTATTTAATGATGGACCTAAATATTTGAGTGTTAAGTACAATCATAATATATATATATAAATTATTAACAGTCCTAAGAAATCATAATTTCAAAATTCCATTTTTTATTAATTAACATATATATATTTATTCAAAATGGATCAAGAGAGGAAGTTTTTATTGCTAAAGAAGAGATTGGATGCTTTGCATTATTGTTAACCATTAGGAATAGACTCTGTTCCTTTAGTTGAAAGATTGCTTAATGATCTAGTTAAAACAACTGAAGGCTTTCAATAATTAAAAAAGCAATTGGAGGAAGTACATTGATATTATATCTAAATAGACTAAAATTAATGCAGCTAAGTTTGAACAATTATTATTACCCTTAAAGAAGGAGAATTAAAGAATTGTTAATGAAAATAATTAATTGCATATGACAATGATTCAAATTAAGGAAGAATGTGATACTAAAGAAAATAAGTGGAGATCATAAGTAAGGATGTTAGAGAGCGAGAGAAATGACTGGAAATTTATATTAGGTTAAAAAAATAATGCTGAAAAGAAATTACAAGAAGAATTATTTAAAAAAAATAATGAAAATAATTATTCATAAAGTAATCAACCAGATAAAACATTAAAATTAGTTGACTAAATCTAGGAATTAGAAAGGAAGTATAATTTTTATGATTATCATTTATAGATTATTATAAGTGCAATAAGATTCAAGAGATAATGACAATTCGAAAGTGTTATTGGAGGAAAAATGCAAGCATTTGGAATTTTAAATTGAAAACAGAGAAAAGGAGATTTTGAGATTAAAGTCAAAATTGGATATATAAGGAACAAATATTGAGAAATTAGCATAAGAACATATTCTCTCAGAAGCATAATAAAAGGCATAAAGAACTTAAACCCAATTAGATTTATTAACTGAAGAGAACACAAAGTTAAATGATGAATTATCAAATTTAAGAAAAGAATTATAAAGATTTAGGAAGAAGCCTAGTCAACCATAAAATTCAAGCCCGAATAAATCTGATAAAAAAAATGAATTAAATTAGATTAAGTAAAGATTATCTGTAATTGAGGATGAGAAAGAAAAAAATTAAGAGCAATTCAAAAAAATATTAAGTCAATTAGAATATGAAAATTCATAGTTGATTGAAAAAGTATAATAATTGTAATAATAAAATGAATAATTGTAATTAAAAGCCTTAAATGCAGAATAAGTGGTCTCAGCATATTAAACTGATAAAATGGTATTTAGTAAGGCTGTGAATAATTTGAAGAGTGACAAAGAGAATACTGTTTAAACATTAAAAAGTTTGGAAGAAGATAATTAAAAATTAAGGTTTTAATTAAATGAGATGGATGATTAATTGCAAATTCAAAAGTCTGAATATTAACAATTATAAAGAGAGAAGGAACTATACGATAGAAATTATAAGAAATTGAATGATGAATATGAAAGAGAGAAAGAGTTTGTTTAATAATTGAGATAAGATAAAAGAGATTTAGAACGAGAATTAGATTAAGAAAAATAAGTAATTAGAGAATTGAAGGTAGAATTTGAAAGAATGGATGTTTCTAAATAAAATTTGGATAGTTTATTATAAAAATTTAAATAAGAATAAAAGAATTAATAATAGTCTTAATAACATAATCCTAATTAAGGCTAATAGCTTATGATGGATCAATTAAGGAAGGAGAATGATTTATTAACTAAGGAAGTGTAAACAACAGAGGGTCTTATTAAATCAATAAAGAGAGAATTAGGAGAGAAGGATAGAGATAACTATGAGTTAAAATAATAAAAGCGTTTGTTGAATGATTAACTAAGTGAATTAGCGTAAAAGAATGCTAATCTGGATTCATAAATAAAATTGAAATTGTAGGATATTGCTTAATTAGAATAAGAAGTAGAACAATACAAAAGAGAGTAATCAAAGATGAGATTAAATTAATAGAGCATCTTAGAATAAAAATAAAAGATTGAAAATGAAACAGTTGGAGAATTAAAATTACTACAACAATAGAATAATTCTCTAAAATTATAAATTTCAGATTTAGGAATCTTTAATTCTTAATTAGAAGAAAAACTTAAAATAGCTTAAGAATTACTAAATGAATAAAGATTGGAAAATGATAAATTACAAATGAATTTAAGATAATAAAGTGATGAAACCTTCAAATACTAATAAAATGTATTAAGAAATAAGGATAAGGAAATGGACTACTATAATTTGACTCATGAAATAGAAAGATTGAGAGATCAAGAAAGAAAGATTTTAATTGAAAAAGAAAGATTTTAGAGTGAAAATTTAAAACTAGAATCTGTAATAAATCAATAAACTAAACAAATGGAATTTTTAAATAAATTGAAAGAGGAGGCAATGAAAGAAGCAAGAGAATTAAGATAGATGATTAATGGATTGAAGACAAATGATCATGAAATTAAAAATACTTCTATCAAATTATCGGAGAAGGTAAATAATTATGAAATGTCTTTATAAGATATTAATGAATAATTGTAAAAAGAGATTTCAAGATCTAATAAATTGTATAATGAATTAACCGAATCATAATCTTAAATATCGTCACTTAAATTATAAAAAACTGATTATGAAAACTAAATAAGATAATTAAAATTATTATGTGAAAGTTTGGAAAAATAAAAAGAAGAATTACTTTAAAGATTATAATAAAAGAACAGTACTAAAATAGAAGATGAAAGATAGGTACTTTAATTGAGAGAATTGAATGAGAATTTAGAGGATAAAGTAAATTAATATTCTGAACAAAATATTTAATTAAAGAGATCATTAGAGCAATTAGATCTAGAAAGAGATGAAGTCTAAAATCAATTAGATGAAGTTAGAGAAACTAACATCTCTTTGTAATAGCAGATTAAACAAATGAATAACGAAATCTAGAAATAACAATCAAAATTATCAGAGGTTAGCACTAAAGGGGAACGTGGATATGAAGCTGCTTAATAATTAGAAGAGAAATTAAGAGATTAAATTTATAAGAATCAAAAGTTATAGAATGAAAATGATAATGTAAAATACACTTTGTAAATCAAAGAAAAAGAGTTCCATGAGATGAAATCTGATATTTAAATTTTAAGTAAAGATAATTAATCTTTAAATAATTAACTTATCAAATCTGTGTAAGAGAAAGAATTACAATAATAGTAAATCCAATTTTTACAGTAATAAGAAATTAGACTTAAAGAATAAATTAAAATGTTTGATATGGAGATGCATGATTTGCAACTTAATTATAGTGAAGTCTGTGCTGAAAATCAAAGACTTACTGTTTCAATCTAATAAATATCATTACAACATGAGGAAGTATTACAAAGAGGAGTAGAATTAGAAAAATAAGAAGACTTTTTTAAAGTTCAAATGCAAAATGCTTCAAAAAGAGAAGATCAATATTAAATTTAGTTACAATAATATGAGCGAGAAATAGAAAGATTGAATAGAAAGTCTGAAGAATATGAAAGACAAATTAGAGAATTATTGAAAGATAGAGATGTAAGAATTATAATAATATTTTTAGTAATTGGGAAAAGAGTTTCATTCACAAAGAAAAATATCCACAGGATTTTAGGCAGCCCAGGAAGATTTTAATAGATAAATTGCTTAATTAGAAAGAGAAAAACAATATATTGAAAATGCTAACAGAGACTTATAAAAATAAGTAGACCTCAAGGATGCTTAGTTGTCTTGGGAATAAAAGAGAGTAAATGAAATGGAGCAAGTTATCATTTAAGAAAGACAAATGCAAATGAATACATTATAAGAAATTCAACAATTAAAAGATCAAAATGAATAGCTTTTATAGGAATTAGAAAAAGCATATTAACCTCAAAAATATAGTTAAAGTAACAACAAATAATCTATGAATTTAGATTATAAAAACGAATCTTCTTACATCTCTTAATAATCCTAATAGAGTGGAGTAAAGGACAATAGTTAATTAGATTAATCTTCTGGATGGGAAAGATTAAAATAAGAGTCTGAAAATTTCAAAAAAACATTGAGTTAAGCAGCCATTTCATCTTAAAACTTAAAATAGAAAATGAAATCTCTATAGAGAGAATATGAAATACAATAAAATCCTCAAAATTAAAGATACATTTGAGAATGATAAATATAATTATATATGAATGCTTTATTTAAAAACAAATAATTTTCTCAATGATGATTTATTGTGTTAATGCGACCAACCTTCTTTGTCTTAGGCATATCTTAAATAAATTTATCTAGTTATCCCTCTTATTTTAATTTCTCAAAATCTTCTAAATATTCTCTTAAAACTTTGAATTTGAGATCCAATGGCTTAGTTGGATCATATTCTTCAATTGGATATTCTGAATATTTCTAAATTTGATAAATAATGAAAGAATACCTTCTTGACAATCTTGTTGTCTCCTAAAAGAGCTAATTTTCTTTATTTTAACGACTCAGTTAATTAGATAATAGCTTCCTTTGTAATAAGAATCGATTTAAATTTAAGAATTTTAATAATATTGAACTCCTTCACTGTACAAGTTTCTAAATTTTCTAAATTACGAGATGCTCTTAAAAATAAATCATCAGGATCAACACTGGTAACTATCAATAATGGCTATGTAAAAGATTCAAATCCCTTCATTAATTAAACCAAATGTTTAGTCTTTCCTTCATTTAATTTTTCAGTATCTATAACAGTGAATTTACCTTCAATAAGAGCAGCTGTCAAACCAACTTTGTATGCTTATAATCTAACTTTTCTTGGTAAATCAATTCTTAATGATCTTATCTTTCTTCCATGAGCTTTAATACCTTTATTTCTTCCAGGCCTTTATCTATGCCCTTAACGTGCTCTTCCTGTCTTTTTCTATGGATGATTTTTTGCCCCTGATGCTGCAGCGTCTCTCAATGCTAAAGTTGCTTTAGTGACTTTTTTATCATACAAATCTGTATATCTAACCAATCTTTAGACCAAATCTCTTCTGATAGGCTAATTAAATATTTCTATTGTGAAATATAATTAATTAAATACCTTAATCTAATGCTATTGATTACCCAGTTGGCTATGCATCATGAAATCTGATAATTGGTAGAGATACCTCAGTTTTGAATGGTTTCAATGACCATGGTGTAGCTAATGAGGGAGTGTTCGCAGCAAAGCTAAACCTAAATATTTTGAGGCACTGCTATAACATATTTTAATTATCTATATTTAATTTTTATATTCATAAATATATTATCAAAATATTAATCATTATTTTTTATTATTTAATAATTTGCTATTGCTTTTCTTTAAGTAAGTAGCCAATAGTCTTTGCGTCAATGGTTATTTGAGATTGTATTTTTCACTTCTGATCAACATTCTTGGTGTTTTAGATTCAAAAATGCTAAGGCTGTTTTTTTTTAAGTTTTCAAGATTGCTAAGATTTGGTAAATAGAAAATTGGTTTTTTTTACTGGTTAGCAAAATAGTAACTCGATACATCTGTTTTTATCCGATATTGAACTGAATTTGGAGATTGTTTGAAGGATTTCTTCTTTAATAAATCTCTTTATTTAGTGATATCTATTTCTTTAGGGTTTTAAATTTAGGGTTCAACATGTTTACTCAAGATTTCCTCCTTGTCATCCAGTTTCTTCTGTATTTTATTGAATAAGCTTTCAGTTTATGAGTTCATTTTAGATTTCAAATCTTATTCTATTTTATGAGTTCTACTTATTTTTTTCATTAGATTTTAAGCCTATATCAATTAGATAACTGGAATGAGAGATTCTCTAGCACTTCTCTAAACGACTTATTTCTGATGTTTGTCACATAAAAATTAATTAATATAATACTAAAATGAGCTGAGGAACCAATTAAACTCAGATCTTTGTTTGAGGGTCTAACTGTTTAAGGTTAAATAGATAACTTAGGTGATGCTGGATATCTTAATTTCATAGCGGAGAATTGATAGTCTCTTAATTCCCTGTTGCAAATCAAAATTTTCTTTTTAACTTTTCCTCCGCATTCATTGCAATGACAGCTTTAATTTAATTCTTTGTTGTCAAAATAATGGGTTTATTGAAATGGAATAGCAAAATTCTTAAACAAACTTTTCCACCCTTTTAGTATTGTATTCTTTACTTTTTTTAAAGCATTTATCAAATCCAAACAACTTATAATTGTTTTCACTATTCTTAAATGAGACTCTCTTATACAAGAGATTATCAAAGGATTTTTCCTGATCCATTTCAGGATAAATTTCAAATAAATTCATAATGTATGATATAATTATTAAATATTATATTGTTTTCTTTAATTTACATTTATTATAAATAAGATCATACCTCTTTTTTGACTTTTTAATTTTTTTAACGTAACTGCTACGACGCCGAGCGTAGGACTAC